ATCTTGTGAGGAAGGAACAATAGAAAATCAAAATATCAACAAAAATACAAACAAAACCAAAACTTGGACAAATAGTCAGCACAAAATAAAGACAGACACATTAACAAAAAAGGAAGCAAGATATTTGCATGACAACCATAGCAAACCTGAAAGAGCTATTAGAAACAATAGAAATCAAATACCAGGTAAATACAGAGATTACATAATGCATATGGATGGTGAACAAATAACACCTAATACATATGAGGAAGTATTAAAACTCCCTTATGAAGAAAAGGAAAAATGGGAACTAGCTATGAAAAAAGAGATGGAAAGTTTGCAAGGATTAAATGTATTCACACCTGCGACTGCACCTAAAGATAAAACAATCATAGGTACTAGGTGGATTTATAAAATTAAGAATCTAGAAGGAGGCAATACTCTATACAAAGCCAGATTAGTTGCACAAGGTTATGCACAAAAGTATCCGGAGGACTATACTGACACATACTCTCCCACAGTGAGAACAGAGAGTGTTAAAACAGCTCTGGTAGTGGCATCTGCACTCAATCTTGATGTATTTCAATATGACATACAGACTGCGTACTTACACGCAAAACTAGATAAGGAAATATATGTAAGGGCACCACACAGTCAATACACTAATAAGAATGAAATCTGGCTATTGAACAAGAGTCTATACGGGTTAAAACAATCTGGCAAAAGATGGTATGATTGTTTGGTAAAAGTACTTAAGACCATGGATTTTAACGCTACCACCGCTGATAACTGTTTCTTTGTAAAAAAAAGTGATGATCACATTGAATTCGTGTTAATTTATGTAGATGATATTTTATATATAGGAAAACACAAGGAGAGAAGAGAAACCTTTGTAAATAAGCTAAACGAACATTTTTCGTTGAAGTCTCTAGGTAAAGTAAACAAATACCTTGGTGTACAAATTAACAAAACTAGAAGGGAATTCAAACTTACTCAGAAAGATAAGATTATTGAACTTCTAAACAAATGCAATTTAAATAATGCTAAACCATGTGACACTCCTATGCAAACTGATTTCCTTAGAAACACTGATGAGTCTTCCCCTGAATTCAAAGATAATACATTTTATAGATCAGTCATAGGTTCACTTCTTTATATATCTAATTGGACCAGGCCAGATATTGCATTACCTCTCAATTTATTATCCAGACATGTTAGTAAACCAACTATGTATCATTGGGAAGCTGTCAAAAGAATTCTAAGATATCTAAAAAGTACATTAGACTTTTGTTTAGTATTAGAACCTAGTAATGACAAAGAACCAAAACTTACTTGTTACGCAGATGCGGATTGGGCTGGAGATATATCATGCAGAAAGAGCACTTCTGGTTATATTTTTCTATTAAATAACTGTCCAGTTTACTGGTACACTGGTAAACAAGAACTGGTAGCCACTTCAACCACAGAAGCGGAATATGTTTGTTTATCCAAAGCTGCAAATAACCTTGTATGGTTTAATGATTTGATTTCAGATGTCTGGAAAAAACCTGCTTTACCTTTTGTTATGCATGAAGATAATAAAGCAGCCATTGAAATATCCAGATCCGATGCCATTGGACAAAGATCCAGGCATATAGATATAAAGTTTAAACATGTGAGACAATTGTCTCAAGATGGATTTATCAAAGCAGTGCATTGTGATACCTCTGAACAATTAGCTGACATATTAACGAAGCCTTTACCTTCTAAACAGCACAAATATTTAACTTCAAAATTATATGTCTTATATTGTCCTGAATCTGAATGTAATTGGTGTTGTATAGCGAACCGGCATTTAGAGGGGGATTTGTCAGATGTAAATGCCTTATTCCCTAATGTGTAAATAATGTATATATGGGATATCGGGGGTTAACTTATTCTTTGTTTCCTAATGTATTCATAATTCACCACTCCCATTCTTGACTCCGCCCTTTGTATATATAAGGAGCCACCCTCACCATTTTCCTTGCTTCTATCTGTGAATATTCAGTGAATATAGAATGCCTGTTATGATTAAAGAGAAATATATATATACCTCTAATCTTTATTATCTTTATTGAGTCTGATCCTAAAAATATTGCAACACTTACAAACATTGCAGTGTCACATGATCAAAATTTAGGCAGTTGGCAACCAGCTTGTATTTACGACAATTGCAGCATCGTAGAGTCACATGATTGTTGTTTGCAACTTTCCCAAGGAACTTCCAGCAAACAAAAATCTACCTGGGAAGTCAGATTCACTTAAAGACAGCATGATTCACTTCACGACTGTGACAATAGGTTGTAAAATCAGGCACAATTCATGATTAATTACCATAATCATTTAGTAATGGGTGCTCCTGTCCCAGTTGTGGCCATAAATCAAGGGCTAATGTGGTATAATAATTAACATGAGATATACACATCAAAGCATAAAAAAGTTAAAAATTAACCAATGGTTAATGCTTAGCCTAAGCCATTTCTCAGTACCCATAATCATGCAGATTCCGTTATTCTTAATGATTCCTTGCCTGATTTTTCATATCACTATGTAAAACCTTGTGTAGCATTTTAGGGTTAATGTTAGAAAGTGCTTATACTGTAGTGAATCCTGTTCTGTTGGTCAGGAGTGAGGTAATTAGAGCATTCCAAGATTGCCACCCAGAGTCCCTTGGGAGTTGGGCGGCATAGAAATATGATAAATTAAATTAAATTAAATTAAATTAAATTAAATTTTGTATAAAACTGGCAATATAGAAGAAATTGTTCTATAGTTTCAATATATTCCTGAGTCTCAGAGACATATCTATAATGGATAGGGTATCTTTTTCTTTCTTCCAGTCAGAACTACTGAAGGGGGAGCATTACCTCAAGCTAAGGTAAAGGCCACTCTCTGATTTGGGATGTTAACCTGTGTGAGATAGCTGTGCTACAGAGCATCTCATACTATCTGCCCTGGAAAGCTGAGTGGAACCACTATTATCCATTTGGCGGTGTATGTCAAACAAATGCTGCTTAAGTGTGCCCTTGCTTGCTCATAGTCCAGAGACAGTAAATAAGTGGAATAAAGTCCTAGGAGAGCTTGTTGTAAACTTGTTTCCACCCACTTTGAAATCTGCCCTCTAATGTCAGTGGTACTAAGCCTATAGGGAAAAGTGTTAGTTTCAACAGTAGCATTGCAGAGTTTGTCATATTCCGGTCTCATCATTCCACCCATGTATAATTCACCATTGGGGACACATCAAGAGACTTGGAAAATTGGGGAGTAGTCAAAGTTGAGAACCATATTATAATTGAGCTAAGGGCTTGGCCTCAAAGAGCATTGTGGCTGGCAGTATATATTGATGACTTCTGTGGTGAAGAAATCTTAAAATGGCTGCTGCATTCCTATGTACAGTTTATGATGCCTAGATAGCAGGGGTATTTTTATTTCCATTAACCTGGAAGATTACTCACAGGTATCAAAAATATTCCACTTTTTCAATGGCATGATTGTTAATAGCAGTATAGTAATATCTCTCTCTGCTAGTTGGGTGGGTGTATGTTTGGGTTCTCACATCATTTATATTAAGATTAAATAAGAGATATGCCAACATGCAGGCTGGTTTTACAATCTTGGTAATTGAAAAGGTGCTATCTAATATCCTTGATAGGTGCATCTTAAGTGTTCTTTTTTCATTTAATGCACAAATAAGATACAACAATCAGCAATGGTGGTGTTATACTGGTAGCCCTCAATTTACGAGCACAATTGAGCCCAAAACCTCTGTTGCTAAGTGAGACATTTGTTAAGTGAGTTGCCCAATTTTATGACCTTTCTTGCCACAGCTGTTAAGTAATCACTACTGTTGTTAATAACATGGTTGTTAAGTGAATCTAACTTCCCACTGACTTTGTTTGTCAGAAGATCGTAGAAGGTGATCACAAGACCCAGGATGGTGTAACCATCATGAGTCAGTTGCCAAGCATCTGAATTTTTATCATATAACCATGGGCATTGTAACTTCGAACAGTCACAAAATGAAGTGGAGGATTACCTGTACACCTTGTTCTATAACTTAATCCAAGATAGAGTCAAATACTGCTTCAAGATTAACAAAAGCTGCCTAAAGAGCAGCAGTACAGGTAGTCCTCAAGTTATGAATGTAATGGAGCCTGCCCATTCCATTCATGCCTTGAGGACTTGTGGGAGTGAATCTTGTACCTTGAATTAAATCACTCCCTGTTTTCATCCACGCATTCTCTAATTTAATGCCTGGGCAAATGCATGGTTCGTTAAGTGCACAAGAGGTATCTCAAGGTGGGGAAGGCCATGGGGAGCATAGTGATGAAACAGGCCCCCAAGGCCTCCCCAACCCACTCCAGGCTTCCCCCTCCCTGCCACACCGGACTCACCTTGCAAAGATCTGTCTCCTCTCTGCCACGGTTTCTTTTGCTTTGAGGGAGAGGAGAGTCGATGGAAACTCCTGGATGCGAAAAGTGTTTGTGACACCTGTCCCCTACTCTTCCTCCCCTCCAACTCCTTTCTGCCACTACTGGTACACTTTTCTCCCAGATGGAGACCTGACAGATCTGCATGCAAATGGAGCCTTTATAAATGGAGGGATTCTGATTAATCCATTCTATTACACTATATTTCTTACCAGGAAAGGTATTGGTGAAAACTATTGATGTAAACTTGATTTAGTTTCCTTTATTTCCTGCTTTTAATTTCTTTTGCTTTCAGTAAATGTTGTATAACACTGCTTATCCATAACAGAATAGTTTGATGGATTAATTAATTAATTGTTGGTCAATTAACAGTCCAAGTAATTCCAAGCTAAAAAACCTTACAATTCTTTCCTATATCAATGTTTGTAATACAACATGTTACTGCTAAACAAAAGTGAACAAATAATTTAGCAATAAAATGCTTTCAGAGCTAGTTCTACCCACTGCTTAAAAAACTGCGTGTGAAAATTGAAGCTAGCTTTATATTGCTGAAGAACACGGTAAACATGATTTAATTTTTTTCCTTTTATTTAATACACAAAATATTAAAACTGAAAAAATACACCCAAATATTCTAACATAAAATACCTGAGCAGACTGAAGGCAAAAACACTCATCATTACATTCAAAAGCATTTGAGCAAAATAGAAATGCAGGTAACAATATTCACAGACTGTGGTAAATGGTCTCTTGAGTGGCACTTTTCATAAATCTCATGTATTCCATTGAAAAAGTACTAAGATATTCAATACTATGATTTGTAATGGAACTTGATGTATAAAATATTGGAAAATTATGCACACTTACAACTGACTACTTAAAATATCATTTGGACATAGAGAAGAGTAAGCATTTTTTGAAACAAAAGAAAGCTTTGATATCCATTCTGTGATTGCTGGCTTGATTGGAGCAAAATTGTTCTCAAGGAGCATGTGCAGCTCCTTTTTCTGCAGGATGAAATACTTCTTTCAGTCTTAGGACTCCATCTTCTTCTGGGAGATCACATGTTGGCAATTACGGTACTGGTGGAGGAGCTGAAAGTCTCCAACTAAGCATGTTTGGTACATTTAACTGCTCCACCAAAATTTCCAGAATTCCCATAACAGTAATTCATATTTGAATTGTATAATGTATAAACCACATTCAACACAGCTAAAGAAAGCCCTATTCACCATTGTCTACAGATCTAAATCTGAGGTAAAAAGCCTATCACATCAACTTTTGATTTGCAGATCTATAATTGAAAACTAAAATACAAGTATAAATTACACTGTTCAATAGTGTTTACAAACATCAAATCCTATGTTTTACTTTCAAGTGATATCATGGTCACTTACTGTATATAACAGAAAAAGCCAACAAAACTAGTCATGTTTATTATGAAAATAAAGTTTATGGTCTCACAAATGTAATCTTTTTCAGAATAGTACATCAACACATTGCAGAAATGGATATTTATAATCTAAGAATGACCAGTGCAAAAATGCTTGAGCAGAATTCTTTTGCAACAGAACAGTCCTGCTCTTTCTTCTAAAAACTGTTTCTGAAATCTGCAGAATATGCAATGTGACGTTTGTAGAATGGAAGCTACAACTGAAAGAAGTGATAGACAGATATGGAAGACAAGTCCACACTTCTTTCATCCTTGCATAATCCTACAATCAAGCCAGTGATTGTCTTAAGAAATTAATAAGAAAAGTCAGGTACAAAGAGAAACTAGTTGTCAACAAAGAATTATGTTAAGAACATTACTTTCAGATGCCTAATTTCTCTAGAGAGCCATATTTTAATTTTCACATTTGAAATAGAGAATTAAATTGAATAGTGTAGGTTATTTAGCACTCACACACACACACACACAAACATATTTCAGAAATGAAAATATATTCAAATGCTGACAGAAATATGATACCCTTGAATCATTTAAGTGATGATTGATAGTAACTGTCTTTGATTCAAATGTGTAATATTGCCTCAGGGAATGGAATGGTTCCATTCAGAGATCCATGTAGGCTCAAAAATATGCACACATCTGCCTATGGCAAGATTCAACAAGAACATGGTGAGAAACTTAGCAATGGACTGCATTTATCTACTGAAATTAGTAATCCATAAAAGGAGCATATTTATGAGACTGTAATTCTATTATGTGCACTACAGCATCTGTATCTACAAATAAGCATTTGACCATAGTAATAAGATTATTTAAAAACTGATCTTTATATTGTTAATTAGCACCAAAAATGAACTTATCTAACAAAAATGAAAAATAACTGTTTTTAAAAACTCAAAAATATATTTAATTCAGCTAATCATCAGCTTCACAAACTTTAATCATGGATATTTGTAAAAGACAACAAATCTTATTCTAGCTTATAAAATGACCCTAACCAAACCACTAAAAATCAGTCAAAACTGCTTAGTGTAACACTTTATAGAATAACTGACTTTGCATATCAAGCTTCCCAGAAATGAAGAGAACCTTGTGTAACAGGAACACTAAGATATTGGCCATTCCATCAGTACACTATTTTGTAACAGAAATGCCTATTGTAATTGACACAGGGTTTAAGTAAGATGAAGGAGTCAGTCAGTGGAATTAAAAGATTCTATTGAGAAGATTAACCTCCACTGGAACTGAATGAAGAGAACTACATTTCTTTCCTCTATGGCTTTTTTTGGCATTCCCCAATAATAGTACCCAGCAGCACTGTGCTTGTCAACATATCTTCCCAGCTAATAAATTTCCTCCCCAACTTACTTTTTTTTAAAGTAAGCTAGCATGCTGCAAGAACCAGAACCAACCTATATTTCTAATGATGCCTCTGAGCCCTATATTAGGGACCAACCTGAAAAATAAAGAGCTTGTGTGTGCATGTGTGTAAAATCCAGTGTTTGTTTGCCTTCTGTTATGACTGGATATGCCGATCATAGCAAACATTTAGTGGGAATGCCTGCTAACAGGCTTTGAAATTTCCAAGTATGCCTAGTGGCTACAAAAGACTAAGGAACTCTGTCTTCAAATAATTAAGAACATATAATTTGCAAGTGTCTCTGGGACAGAATTTTTTATTTATGTATTTATTAATTTATTAAATGTATATGCTGCCCATTTCACTATTGAGCAACAATACAACTAAAATTTATTGTAAGGAAATTTACATTTTTGGTTTGTTTTTATACATTGCTATAAAAATGTTCTGAAGTTTATTGTCTCCAACATCTGGAAATACTTTGGAGATACTATCTAATACTTTTATCTATCTGTTATCTACATTTTTAAACTTTTTTTAGTGGATGGAAATCTTTATACATTTGTTTTAATCAATGGCTTATTTCATTTGTGATGAACCCTTTTTACATTTTTAAATGTTACTTGTTTACATGTAAATGTTTACATGTAAATATAATTAATTATACTAAATAAATGTTTAAATGTATATTTGTAAAAATGTGAAGTAATGTCATTGTTTGATAAAGGATAGTAGTCCTTTTTGAATCCCTTCCTTTCTATGCTGTAGTACTGCAAAATTCATTCAGGATTGTTTATTTAAAAGTACCCACTTTGTTTTTTTCACTAAAAAAATTCCACTCAAATCAAATTATGAAGAGGATATGAGCCATTATGGGTATGTATATCAAGGGTTTCAAGAGACAATTTCTCTCTCTCTCTCTCTTTTCTAGTGATGGAATCCTTTGCAACATGATTTTCTGTAAATTTTTGAAAAGGAAAAGAGTAAAAAATATTTTAAACAATGGATACTTAGGATGTAGTGGTTCAGTGGCTAAGATGCTGAGCTTGTCGATCGAAAGGTCGGCAGTTCAGCGGTTCAAATCCCTAGTACCGCGTAACGGGGTGAGCTCCCGTTACTTGTCCCAGCTTCTGCCAACCTAGCAGTTTGAAAGCACGTAAAAAATTAAAGTAGAAAAATAGGGACCACCTTTGATAGGAAGGTAACAGCGTTCTGTGCGTCTTTGGCGTTTAGTCATGCTGGCCACATGACCACGGAGACATCTTCAGACAGCGCTGGCTCTTCGGCTTTGAAACGGAGATGAGCACCGCCCCCTAGAGTCGGGAACAACTAACACATATGTGCGAGGGGAACCTTTACCTTTATCTTAGACTTAGAAAAGATTTTTAAAATCTCCAAAGGGACAGGGGAGCAGAGGGAATTAAACATCTCTCCTCCTCCTAAACTTTAATTATATTATGAGTGATATATCAGATTCTACCCTTTTACTATTTTTAAAAGTCTTGTGGCAACTTTGTTTATGATAGTATGCCAATAAAGTTTGACTTAATCCAGTAGCCTATAGAAAATAGACAATATAGATAATCCTTGATTTACAACCAGTTGCCTAATGGGGCAGGGCAGTCATATACATAAAGAGCCCACGCCCTACCCCCTGTGGTCATGTGATTGCACTTGGCAACTGGCACGCAATTTATGATTTTTTTGACAAACACTAGCATTTACTTCCGTTTTCCAGCAAAAAATGTCCATTGTGGACAATGGATTTGTTTAACAACTGCAGCATTCACTTAACAACCACCGCAAAAAGACACCAATAGTCTTCAACATACAACAGTTCATTTAGTGACTGTTCGAAGTTACAACAGCAATAAAAAAAGTGACTTACGACCAGTTTTCACACAACCATTGCAGCATCCCCATAATCACGTGATCAAAATCTGGATGGTTGGCAATTGATTCATATTTATGACAGTTGCAATGATCACCTTTTGCAACCTTCTCACAAGCAAAGTCAGTGGGGAAGCCAGATTCACTTACCAACTGTTTTACTAACTTAACCACTGCAGTGATTCACTTAACAACCATGGCAAGAGAGGTCATAAAAAGGGCAAAACTCATTTAACCAATGTCTCACTTAGCCACAAAAATTTTGGGCTCAATTGTGGTTGTAAATTGAGGATTACGCGTAGCAAAGTTGGGGATGGTCTCATGGTGACATGGTTAATGACTAGCACAACTTACTACTTGTAATTCTGGGGTCATAAGATCATAAGTCAAGGCTTCCTGTCCACTATATTTTAGAAACTGAAATCACAAATCTAGCTGCATCCCAGAGCTTCCACACATATTCCTGTCACAATTTTGACTTCCCTCCATCCCTTGAAATATCATAGTCTGCACCTTTTTTTAAACTTTAAAAGCAACATGTCATTCACAGAAAGTAGAGCTATTATTAAAATTCAGGAAACTTATCTAGATGTCCAAGTTTAGTGCTCAGTACTTTGAAACAGGATTCATACTGCTGGACTTTCAAATAATATTCATTATGAAAATATTACAGCATATGCTCTTGGGTGAACAATTGTTCACGAGAAGATGAAAACCACTAGAACTGTGAATTTAACTATAATATTTTGCAAGTTGGTTCACTAAAATGCCACTACTGAATAATCAAGCTACGCTTTTTTTAATGAATGAAAATATTTCAAGTATGTTTCTCACCTTAAATATTTATCACGCAGATTAGCATCAAGTTTCAAAAATCTATAAAAATTAACTAAAAAGGTATTCTTTACTCGTTCCAAAGCATGGGTAAGCTGTTCATACTTCCTTGGCATAAATATCCAGAAATATATTAACAATTACAAATACTTTTAACAAACGTCATGTATTTCTAAAATAGTTAATATTAATGTTGATCTAGCTACACTATCTTATTTTCTAGAAAAAGGAAGCAAAAGATTAATATTGCAACTGAAGAAGCATCTCTCAGGTTACAAAATTAACCCTAAAATCAAGGCTACTTAGGGACTAAAATATTTCATAATGTTCAGAATATAGTGCAGTGGACAGAAAGATACTTTATTGCACGAACAGTACAGAGCCCATGCAGATGTTAAGAGCTATGAGTTATGAAATGAATAATTCTATCAACTGTATCGCACAAAATGGGTCTGAGATCCAAGTGTGTAAACAGGTCATCCTTTACTGCAAATTATTTCTTTGCTAGATAATTTCTTTTGGCAGATACTCATATTTTTTTTTAGAGGCACTAGAGATCAGAAATGGTGATTGAAATCTTTAAGGATACATCTAGCATTTCTGAATAGAGGTATTTATAAATTAATGTTTGAGGCATGTGTAGCCCACTGGCTAAGCAATATTAAAAAAAACAAGCAGGTTTGAAAATCAAAGTTGCACAATATATTTATGCTTAATGCATAATTCCAAGATCTGAAGGATTGGAACATGCCCTCCTTTCAACTGCAACCCTCCAGGCCCTTCTGAAATTTTCGAAAGTCTACTCAGTTTCTCATGTTTTTAATATAGTGGTTACATGAGAAAGTTGCTCTTCAGGAACCAGAACCAAAAACAGTCATCCCTGAATCACATGGACCTAGGCATGGAGATTTTGAATATGGTCCCTCCTCTTTTCTTATTAGTTTCTCCAACAGTTCTCATTACTGTTTAACCCTCCATGCCAATTACACATGTAAGAATTCAAAGTTTTATTCTTAAACAGTTCTTATTTCCAAATTGGTTTCTGATCCTAAAGATATACAGAAGTCAATTTGAATCTTTAGGAAAAAGCATTTTCTCAAAGTCTAATTGAGGTGCGGTGGCTCAGTAGCTTTGTGAAACTGGAGATGGTTTCTGCTCCAGTGCTTCAAGCCCTAACATTGCATGGTGGGGTGAGCTCCCATCACTTGCCTCAGTTTCTGCCCACCTAGCAATTAAAAACATGCTCTATGCAAATAGATAAACCAATACTGCTTCGGTGGGGAGATGAGCTGGTAGTTCATGCTGCTGGCTCTGAACCTGAACAGTTGTGACACCCATTTGTGAGGTGGCTCCGGTAGAAGGAGGGGGCCTTGGATGAGGAAGAGCTGCAAGAAGAACTGCTCATCTTTCTTTCTAGTGCAAATCTAGTTCACCCTCCTGTGGTGCACCTGAATGTGTACAACAGAGATTGGCAGCCAAACTAATACTCTGCATTAGCACTGTATTCTTCTGGCTAATGTAACACTGCCATCTTCTACTACTACTACTACTACTACTACTACTACTACTACTACTACTACTACTGATGATGATAATGTTTAATTCAGCTGTGGGAATTTAATATGGCTGCTCTTGTTGATTCCTTGAGACTGCCTAGATCATGGATGTCAAACCCGATCACGTCACATGACGTATTGTGACATTTTTTGCCTTTGCGGAGTCGGGGTGGACATGTCCTGCACGTGATGCATCCATCCCACGGGCTGCCAGTTTGACACCCCTGGCCTAGACTCTATTAAAAAGTAGTGATGTTTTAGTTTTAAATTTTCCTTAGACTACTTTCTGAAATACCTACAGTCCTACACAGTTGCATGTTTAACTGAAGAAAATGTCATTCAAATGGGCTTTCTTGTGCGTAGCCTGGCTACAATTACATTGTTTCTTATTTTTTTAATGGACACTGTAAATCCAAATTAAAAGCAAAAAGAGAAGGTGATCCAAAATAGGAAAAAAGCAAAACATTTCAGATAAAAGTGTAAAACTACTCTCAATATACAATCTAAAACTATAAATTATTCATTTATAGGCAGGTACAAAAATATGTAAAAAGGATAATAAAAGTACTATACATCCTATTTATGCACAATTCACATAGCATGTAAAATAGCAGCCATTCACTAAGAATATGATTAGAGATTTCTCAATTCACCCACTTCTCATACACAGGTATCAGACCACAATCAGCAGCTTTGATTTTCTAGTAATACATACCGGTAAATCCATAATAGATTGTCCAAAGGTGTTTTACAGATTCTAAAGTGTATTGGATAGCTCCTTAACTTCTAATGCTTTCAGTCTGAATAGCCATAGATTATGAACTGGTATGCAATAAGCTACCATGTTAATAAATATTAGCTACTATGACACACACATATCCACACCATATGCACTGCAAGTTATACAGTCAAACAGAGCCTTTACTAAAATCTATTATGACTTTTAACAATTGAAGTTCTCATCGGCATCTGATTAGAAGGACAAGCTTCCCAGGAGATGCCAATGCATGAATTTGAAGAGAACTTTTGTGCCCTTAGCTTCTGCTTGAGAATGGATAATTTGGCAAGTACCATTTCCCTTGCTGTAGCACTGACAAGAGACAAAAGGTCACTGCCAAAATTCTATTTAGCATACAGCTATGAGAGACATAGAAATGCTTTCCAAGGTCAGTCTTCATTGAACGAGGTCTGAGAATAGATTGCACTACTTAATGCTCTGCCAGCTGTTGGCAAAAAGCCCAGTATTAGCAGTAAAAAAAGAAACTCGTTGCGGATGTTGTAAGTCATCCATTAAGTAGGACACAGAATATACCGATAGCTCAATTTAGTGCCATAAAATCAGTTGAAAATTAGATATTGGAGGACTTTTTTCAAGAGACTTACCTAAGAATGTTTTAATATCCTATTAAAAGTATGTCTGAATACCAAGACTGGCTTGACCTTGAAGCATTCCATGTAAAGATGGTAACATTAACACATGTAATGATTCACACATAGCACAATCTACTAAATTGTTAATATTACAGAACAATTCTATAAATATTTTTTTAATAAATTAGGTAAAAAAAATGATAAACAAGAGAGACAAATACCTAACCAAAGGCACTTTAGGCAGGAATTATAGTGGATACAAGTAAGGAAAATACATATTATAACTTTGTTTAGAGGAAGAATCTCTCCAGGAAGAGGAAATTAGCCATTATGTAAAAGAGCTACTAAGAAATACTATGATTGCCAAGTTTTAAGCTCATGGCAATATGCAAAAGCAGCAAAAATTTATCTCTAGATATAATGCCTTATACATTTTATTTAAAGAACCAAATATTTGCTGCTTTTTGAATGGTTATATGTAACATTAACATAGTTCTGTCGAAAGGCAAGTCCTTTTAAAACTTCTTTGTGCACAGATAAGTATTGATTTCTTTAACGCCTACATTTTATCAATCCAAATAATATTGAAAGATTTTCCCAATGAACTAGAAGTGCCTAGCTCTATACTAAGTTCTGATGGACCTAAGAGGTGCTGAATGATATTAGCAAAATGTTACTCTAATGAAATACTTCCTGGATGCATTTTTAAAATCTCTGTATGTGGCTCTAAGGAAGTTTTCTGAATTGTCTTGTTTGTCTATCTTTAACCTGGTCTTTCCAACATGGTTATTATGAATTATAAGAATTGTCCAGTGACGTATCTAGAAAGAAATGTATTAGAGAAATGATCATTTACACAATGCAGGGTTTCACTGCCCTTGAATAAAATGGCTTCTATGCAGAAAATACTCTATTAACGTTCCATTTCTACTGTGGCTGGATGTCTAATTCTTCAATTCTTGAATTCAAATAATTATGTAAAAGGTTTTGGTTGTATGAAGTTATTTTGCAATACAAACTGATATCTTATTTACTCCAACAGTAATATTGCCAAAATAAATATGGGAGTGGTGATTCAATGAAGTAAGTACACAGAAATATATTGGACATAAAAACTTGCAATTTTAAAATAAATAAGTATAAGCCATTTGCTTCAATACCAAGGAACCGATGCAACCATGTTTTCCTTCAGTATCAAGAACAAAGTGCTTACTGAGTAACAGATTTATGCATTTCTTTTAAAAATTAGTAAGTAAAAATATTGTTCTCTTGTCATGAAATATCCCTTTGGAAACCTAAAGCCCTTCCATTTTCTACCACTGATAGAAGATGTGGCTTAGGTTTTCTTATATTATCTATACTTCTGCATCTATTACTGTTTTGGCCAGCTAAAGATTTTACACAATGCTGCACAATGAATGTAAAAAAAGAGGAATTATTACAAAGTATGGCATTTGATATAAATAAACAGGTGCAAAAACTACAGCAGCAACAGAGAAAAGAACTGGAAAATATGCTGCAATCTTCAATAATTTACTGTAGGAAGAGAAAGAAAGAGAATAAAATAAAATTATTCAAGCAATAAGATGTATGAGTACTTTTGTTAATCTTAGTCTTTCCTAACCTCATGTGGTATTTGATTTCAACTCCCACAATTCCCAAGCCAACATGGTTATGCTGACTGGAGATTCAGGTACAATTTATTGGTAGATGGGCAATCTAGCTGGAAAGGCTAATGTAGCAAATAAACAACAGATATTACTGAAGCAATACTATGGAGTAATGTTCAAGATAGAATTTCTTTGCAGTAAAACATCCTAGAATATGCTAAGATGGGAAATTGGAATCACCTCAGCTTGTAGGAGAACCATCTACCCCATTTTTTTTAAAATTTGATTTATATGCCGCCCTTCTCCGAAGACTCAGGGCGGCTTACAATGTGCTCAGCAATAGCCTTCATCCTTTTGTATATTTATACAAAGTCAGTTTATTGCCCCCCACAAACTGGGTCCTCATTTAACCTACCTTAGAAAGGATGGAAGGCTGAGTCAACCTTGAGCCTTGGCGAGATTCGAACCCTGCAGTAATTGCAGGCAGCTGGTCTTAAGCAGCTTAATAACAGGGTGCCTTAAACCCTTGTACTACCAAGGCTCATGGCTGACATTTAAAAGAAAACAATGTATAAAGTCAATATAGACTTCCATTCCCTCCCTCACCAGTTTATAAGAGAGCAATTCATAGAATTTCTTTATTTTCTGTAATAATTACTATGAGAGTTGTCAGCTAGCAGAATTACAAACTGATCTGAAATGATCTGTAAAATTTACTTTATTTTTAGTGTAGGAAAAGAAAAAAAATAGGTTTGGAACAAGATGAAAATAAACAAATCTCATCTCCATCCTCTTGCTGCAGAGAGCTTTTGTTGGATTTAAAGCAGTTCTGAAAGCTAAAAAATTCTTCTTTGCTTTGGTCCAACTCCTAATAATGTACTATAAGAAAGGAATACAATGTGATACAAGAGTGTTCAATGTAGTACAATTTAAAACAAAGATAATTAAAGTACCTTGATTTAAGTTTTGTAGTACTTGTATTCATGAGTATACCCAAAATGACTATCAGAATAACAGCAACAAATCTGCATGGATCAGGATCAAGTCTGATATGGTATCTAATTTAAAAAGAAAGAAAATACAAATTTGCAATTTGTATTACTCACATGCAAAATTATTTTTCTAGTAACAACAACAAAATGCAGTAAGGAGCTGAAAAGATTCTTGAAAATAAAACAAGCAGAGAAATAGGGAAAACAATACCATGTCATTAGATGGTCCAAATGCAACTTTTTCTCTTAATTAAAGCTGCTTTAACAATAAAAATATTGAATTACTATGAACTACCTCATATTTCAGAAACTGTAAAAAAAATCAATGCCAATTTTAAGATAATGAAAAAATATTTATAATGGATTTTTCATTTCAAGATAGGTTCCCAGTATGCTAAAATTTAAAACATTTGTGGTTCTACATTTTCTTGCAGCCATTTTTTCTTTCAACTTTTAAATATTTTTTTCTCTAGTTTTCTGCCTGCTAATGTACTGTGACTGCCTCTCACATTCATAAATCATCTGGGTTGATTTCATCTACACATCCAAATACTTCATGAAGTCTTCTAATAGCACATACATTAGCTTATAGGGCCATCTCATAACAGATTTTATAAAATAAAACTTGCAAATTTGGGGTGATTACCTGATATTTTTTAGCCAATAAATTAAAGATGGACAACTAAGAAGCACAATCCATGTGATTAAGTTGATGACAGTAACATGCATCTTAAGGCTATCTATAATGCTGTCATTGGCCATGGTGGTGCTAAATGAGTTTCTTGCTTCTGAAGGGCAATCCTCTGATCTGCAGCTGTTCCTCCCTTCGTTTTCTGAATCATCTGATTTAGGTTCTGGATTCTTTATGGGCTATAAAAATATAAATATATTTCAAAAAATTTTCAGCATTAGTTAATACAAGTATAAAGAGTAAGTTGAAATGCCCACAAAATAATTTAATAATAGCATGACATAATTCAGTCGTTTAAATTCATGAGATTATATATTATTGTTTTATTTTAAATCGGACTCCTTCCTGATGAAGGATTATTACTATTTTTAATTGCTGTCCCCCTCTTGGTTATTTCTTGCAGTTTAGCACTCATTCTACGGCAAAATTTTGCAGGAGATACTAAAAATAAATTAAAACATAAATAAATAATTAGCTCTTTGTGTGTGTTTTGAGGGACTACCTTGCCCTGAACAGAAGTAGATCATTTCTTTTTCTCCAATCCTTTCCTTTATATATTGTGTCTTTTAGATCAGGGGTCTCCAAACCCCTATAGACCCCTATTTTAGATAGTGATCCTAAGATTGAGAATTATAATTATTGTTTCTTCTATAAAATACTTGGGGAAGAATGGGACATAAACTGAAAAGAAATAATATACAAAGAGCTAGAGAGCCAACAGTGACATAACCAATGCTCATATGAACCTATTTTCTGCCTCACTTCCTCTCATGGTGTTCAGTTGCTCAAATGCTTGGACTTCCTCTCATGGTGCTATCTTGACACTGCATTGTTATGAAGATTTATTCAAGCATTGGAAACACTAAAATAAAACAGCAAGTAATCTATTTCTTCTTTAAAAAGAAGCTAGGAGATCGGAGACAAAAGATTACAGTGGCAAACTAAACCTGATCTAATAGATTTTTTTTCAGCCTTTCACCATGGGGGTGGGGAAATAGTAAATCCCCATGAAACAATGTGGCGTAATGATATTCTGCAAGCAGTAGGCAAGAACAGGAACTCTGTATATGTTAAGACATGAATGTTCTTAAGCCAACCACAAAAAGCATACAATAAACAGACTTACCGCATTACAAACACTTAGTTCAGATCTTAAATTTGAATGGAAATTAACAACCTGTAACAACAAGCATATATTTTAGTTCTGCCACAACATTATATGCCTATGATCATAGCTCCTTAAAGTTAATGGTTGTGCTCTACTATTCTGTACTTCTTTGTTCTACAGTTTACTCTTTAAATATTTTTAAAGCTCTTATCTGGCATCTTTGTGGTTTCCTTGTATTGCTTGAGCACTTTACATTCTTACCATATTATTGAATTCATATATAATCCCTGCATACCTGGACCTTCTTTGGGATTTTACTGCTACATTATTTATAATCCATTTTTAAAATATTTCAGTCTGCTTTCTTCCTTGGATAGAAAGATTAATGAGCAGGGAGCATTAGCCTATTTCAGGGGCAAAGGGACAAATTGTATAACTTGGTTGAGAATTATCCAAAAGCGCTCTCTCCTTCTGACTTTTCCCTAGAGACACTTCTGTGTTGATTACCAGAAACATCAGCAGTAAATTTTTACACATAGGTTGTATATATACTCATATATAGGCAGGGTGGATGATCTAAAGGCCAAACTAGCAGAAGCCTATGAACTTCCATGCTTAACATAAACTAGTGGGAAATTAACTAATCAGCCTGTAGTCTAAAAATGTCAATACTATGTTTGTATTGTATTATATCACATAACTTTTATTGTTTAAATACCTTGAATATATAATGAAAATAAGTCATCATTATTGCCAGTGCTCCACAGGTAGTCCAGCTAAGAAAAAACATTGAAACCGCAACAGAAAACCTTAATCGGGTAATCAGACTGTTGTCAGATGGAAGTCCAGAGGGTCTAACAAATACAAAATAAACACATTTATGAAATAAAATATTAATTATATTAAAAAACAAAATGACAGAGTTTAAACTTCACATCAAACGGTGGTTTATGGTAAGTACCATTGTGACTCAAGCTGCAGACTGACTTTTTAGAGCTCTAACATTCAAATGTTGGTTGAAAGTTGCTTGGCTGTTTTCCATTATTTGATTACTCAATATTAAATTGAGATTCAGTAGTCTCAGCAGGAGTCAACATTTGAAATGATTTGTTATTTAATTGCAACCTTGGCTTTGCCAAATCAGAAATGCTAAGTTTCTTAATCAGAGTTTGCCATGATACCTAAATGCATAGTGACACAGGTTATGCATAATGAGCTTATCCCTCCTACAATTAGCTCTTTCAGATTTTGTTGCACAGTTTACCATTATATGGGTGGATTTTCAACATCTTGGCTTATTTTCTTTTGAAAGCAGGCATTAGAATTTCATTTTTTAATGTGAGCAGTGGTGGGTTGCTCCCGGTTCAATCTGGTTCTTGCTAACCAGTAGTAATGGTGGCGGGAGGCTCCGCCCATCCGCCCCGACATCATTACTGACGATCTGCGCATGCGCAGAAGCTTCTGCGCATGCATAGAAGTGCGTGCGCATGCTCCCGTTGCAAACCAGTGGTAAAGGTAAGTGGAACCAACCCCTGAATGTGAGCCAGTGTGTTCATGGAAAAAAGTGACAATAAAGGCTATCTCGTCTCATCTCATTTCATTTCACCCCACCCCACCTTATCCTTTTTCCACTTAGTATGTAATAACAATACACCGAGGGAAACAATAGAACAAACACAAAAAAGATACAAATGAACAGCTGGTTGTTCTACTTAGCATAAAATTACTGTTTAAAAGTACCGTTTAATTAAACTACAAATTTGTTTATAGCAAGAGTAGGCAGGCTGAAGTATTTCAAACTAAAATACTCCTAACAAATTGGCAGCAGCTTTGATAACCTACACTGATAGGCGTGAAATCTAAAACATCTGGAAGCTACTATATTTCCTATCCTTGGTCTATGATATAAGGGTGGGAGGATTTTATCAATTAATTGGTAGAATATTTTACTCATATTATATATTGTTATAGTTCTTCCAAATGAGTTTAAAATTTAACATGTCTGTTTATGAATACATTCTATGCATAATATATCCTGCCTTGCTTAAAAGACTGTTTCTGAATTCAGAAGTACTTTTCAGGAAGATCAATAACTTTCTTAATAACAATAACAACAAAGTTTTAAAAGTCGCAACTTTTCAATTTCATAAAATTAAGGTAACCAATTGTCCTCCTTTAGGGAGGACAGTCCTTCTTTTGTAAGTTCTGTCCTCTCTTGAAAAGTGTCCTCCTACATGTCCTCCTTTTCGATATTTGAAGACTTATCTGTAAATCTCCATATCTGATCGATGCCGATCCGATCCGTTGTGTGCGATGTGATGTATTTGTATTTGACATGACGATTTGTCAAGGCTCAGTACCATGTGGCGAGACGTGATTATGAGACACATGCGCTCCGCACAGGAGAATTGTTTGGAGAGAGTGCACTGCGTGCAAGTGGCTTTGTTTACTTCTTACCAAAATACGACATGGCACACACACGTGTCCTCCTTCTCATTGTAAAAAAGTTGGTCACCTTAATAAAATTCCCAACAAGATCCATAGTGTCTTGGAACTATGATTAGTAGAACCCAGCTAGATTATTTGGAGGGATTTTTCTTGCTTCTCAATGAAGCAAGAAATGAAGACAGGCATTTTCTTTGAATTGAAGCATTTATCAGGACAAAATTTGTATGTCTGAAGTTTCTTCCCACATGCCAAAAGTGGGAAAATATTGATATTCAGAATTAATTACTTACCCTTTCTCCTTTTTGCCCTAATCCAATTAACAACTCTAGAAAATTCAAAAGTTTGCACATAATTTTGTGAATTTTTCATTGGCCTAGCAAAAAATTACTATGTATTATGAATACATAGAGATTTTTCTTCCCAATTTTATTGTTTTATTAAAAGATAAAGACATTTTCAAGTTCTATTCTTGGTGATCTTAGACACATCCAAATAGTTTACTTGGCAGCAATACTTCTGTTGTGTGTGTGTGTGTGTGTGTGTGTGTGTGTGTGTGTGTGTGTGTGTCATTTCAAGTGTTGTTAACTTTCCATTCTCGGAAAAGATGATCAAGTCACTTAGAACAAATATGACCCATTTCCAATCTGTCAAATTGCTGGAGTCATTTTACCTTTTGTACAAGTGTTGCCTGTAGAACACAGAAATGTAGTAAATAATTGATTCCTGTTGCCTTTTAAGTTATACAATGGTTTGTGTGTAATACTAGTAACTACAGGTTCAGAGAGTGTTACTTATCCAAACTAGGGGCTACATCAGAAACCTTTGCATTGTGCTTGTGATATTTACAGGTGCTTCAGGTTTAAGATGATTTTAAAAATGTCAATTCAGAAAATATTGCATTGTTGTATACGGCAGGGAGATACTATATCATATACTTCAGCAAGTTTGCCAAATGTTGTTTCCAGCAATACCATTAAACATTTGCATTTATTTATTGGTTTTTACCTTGTCAAAACTAATTGCAATGAAGATAAGAGCCTTATAGACGATTCAAGAAGTATGCCACCCCAATAGGCTATGCCAGTCCCAAACATAAAGAGAATCAGGGATACAAAAGGAAACCACAAGTCCTGGTTGTTCACTGTGACACGATCCAGCTCTGAATTCCTGAGTCCTTTAAACCAGTTAAGTCTAAAAAAAAAAAAATAGCATGATAGTCATTTGGTTTGATTACCTGCATTTCCCAAAACTAGTAATTAATCTTAGCTGCAAAATTAACGTTGTAAATAGTTATAAAAATGCAAATGTTTGAGAAAAATTATGTAACTAAGATAAAAATATGTTAAATATATTAAAAAGAAACATACCCCAACAAGAACTTAATCATGTATGCTATGGGTTCTATTTTATAAGGCTTAGCTGCTTTAGTAAGTGCAGGAACAAAGTCTGAACACTGACCTGGAACAAAAGAAAAAATATCTGAAACCACATGTTCACAAATTAAATAATAAAGTTAATATTTATCTTTTTAGAGTACATTTGAAAATGCTTAAAAATTATACTATTAAAATCAATTACTTCTCAGGCTATCTTTTTACTTGAGCACAAACAGATATTTAAATATCTATATTTAAATTAAAATAATGTTTAGTTCCATGCATACATTTCCATGTCCAGTTTACAAGTCTTATTAAAAAGCCCAGTATAAGGCAATTCTTTAGAAATATGCTTTTCAAAAGATTTATTCCTTCGAGTTATGATAATTCATTCAGTGACCATTTGAAATTACGGAGGCACTGAACAAATGGCACTTAAGTGCAGTCCCTGAAGTTACGACCATAAGATCAACCACAGGGATGCTTTAACTCCTCTTACTTATCTATCTCTCCCCCATTTCTGCCCTTTTGGCCCCCTGCACTCCCAGGCCCCTGCTTCCCTGTGTTCTCCCCACCCCAGATGATTTAAAAACAGTTGGGGGGCATTGCAGGAGAGGTAGTCCCTTACTTTGGAAGAACTGGGGCTCGAGCCTGGGAGGGATCTAGACAGGAATGGCTTGGATCAGTATGGGTCCTTGTCTAATGACTGGTGGGATTCAACAACAACAAAGGGAGACCGGGATTGCTGTTGCTAAGGGATGCAGTCAAGTGGAATCGAGCTTTATGACTGCATTGCTTAGTGACAGAAATTCTGGTCCCAATTATCATTGTAACTTGAGGACTACCTGTGTTGTAAAAACCTTATTTTAAAATATGATCCTGTAAAAGTCAATAAGCTATGAAATATTCATAATTCACTAATTACTAATAATGCAAACATTTTATCTCTTTACATTCTAAAAGGGATTTGTTTCATTATAAATAGTTTCTAACAAATGTCAGCCTTGTTTTAAAAGCGATGACACAGAACATAAAAAACATAAAATTAAATGCAATGTGAACTAGTTTTTTTAGCGATAAACAAACCTTGCTTAAAAATCTTTTCATGTAATGTTACCTGTTGACACTAGGGACCTTAACTGTCTTCTGTAGGCAAGAAGAATATTAGAAATAATGTACATAGGAAGAGTGCCACCATGGAATCTTATCACCTACAAAACAAAGATGTTTTTTGGAAAACAAGAACATGGACAATTCATTCCACCTTTTCCTTGATTCCTATACTAACTACCTTAGTCATTCTTACAATTCTTTGTACAAATATAACAAAGTGTCTTGTTTGAGACCATTCTGAGTATTCATGGAAAGAGCAAGACTTGCATAAAAGATTTCCAATCCTAACCAATTTACTCACAAAAATCTATTAAGCAAAAAAGATTAGGAAGTGAATCTATTTTCTCACTGATTTGTAGGAAGATCATATGTTCCAATATAAATATTAAAGAATAGCAAGATAGCATGAGTTGTAGAAAACTACATGTCTATGAGCTTTAGTAAGTGCTTTAAGCCCAAAAACGGCACAGTGAAATCCAATTTAGTCCAATCCTTTATTTGCTCCTAATGATCCTAATGGACAGAATCTTGCTGAGCTAAAGCTATAACCCTCTAGCCTATTAGATATATCCAGAGAAATTCTAGCTCAGGACTGCAGTTTCTTAATTTGAGCTTCTCTCTGGAATATACTGTCTCCTTCCTGAGAAAGCTCTGTGCTGCCAAGATTCCCTTCCAATGCTTCTTCAGGTGGATATTCTATCACAATATGTATGAGATCAGATCAGCATAAATATTAATATCAAAGTGTGGTTAGCAATTTACAAAAAAGCTTGGAAATGTTCAGATTACTTTGGGACTCATTAGTGTCTTACTGAATGATCAGAATCTAACCTTCATTATTTTTTTTAAAAAAGCATGGACGGTGATATGTGTACCTAAAGTATCTAGAATGTGACCACTTACGTGGAAAATGTTTAAATTAAGGCAAGATGGATTTAAATGAAACTAATCTGGGAATTTTAATACACTAACAGACAATATCAGCTGCCATTTTGTTGCTGTCCCATCCTGCTCCAAAACAGCTCATTGGAATTTTTCAACCTGTTTAGAATGTTATCTGTAATACTGAAGTGTCATCTACAAAACTTCCTTTAAATAATTTACAGTAAATTTCACTGTAGCAATGACAATACTATTTTACAAGCTTGCTGAAACTTTCTGAAATGTGTGTGTTTTTCAGTTTATGCTTTTTACTTAAAAATAGTAACATTGCTTTACTCAATATCTAAATTTCTACTTCAGCATATATATATATATATATATATATATATATATATATATATATATATATATATATATATATATATATATAATTTCAATATTTCCTGTAAACAAGTAACAGATCTGTAATTAAACTATAGGAATCATCTCATATTATACTATACCTAATGACCCTAGACATGCTAGCTCAAAGTTCAATTTAGTGCAATTGTTTAATTATATACAGTAGTTGCATTAAGCATAGCTCAAAGATTTTTGAATATACAAAAAAAATCTCCTATGAGAGAAGGTGCATCTATCCAGTGGCAAAGGTAACTACTACATTTGCTCAGAACATTTCGCCATTTTAAATTATTTTCCTAGTGCACTTCCCTCCCACAATATTGTTACAGTAATTACACAACTACTTTAAATTCTGCCTTAAAACAGGCAGGTACACATTATTTATTTTAACACAAAATGAGGATTCTATGAATTCATGATTGCTTATTTATAATACAGTATAACGAGGCAGATTTATGTCCCATTCTGCTGATACATTTTGTTGGAAAAATATAGTATGTGAGTACTGAAAAGCAGCTGGAGGCATCAGTTATTCACACAATTTCCTCAATCAATCAGTTTATTACGACCCCAAGGCCAAATACAATAAAATATCTAATAGAAAACAATGATAGGATCTAAATAATTAAGAAGAGATATACTCAAATAAAATAGGATATAGAGAGCAGCATACTAGCATGAGAGTTAAGAGTTTCTATTGCACTGCATGGACCTAACCAAAGGTGCACATGAGTACCTTTAAACATCCCAAAAGAACTGCTGAGGGCCCAGGTAAAATGAGGGCCTTATGAAATGTCAGAATTGTAATGAATAATAAGTAGGAGGTTGGAGTGAACCCTTTTGGAATATTGGGGTGTGACACCTTGCTTAAATTTGTTTGGTGATCCATATCCCAAATTCATTGTTTGAAAGTAATTTTAATATTATCAAAATCTATTGGGCACAAACCTTCCATAGAGAAGTCTAGTAAGTGAATTTTATTTAGGGCTTTATAAAGCCATGATTAACCTTTTAAAGCCACTATTAAGCCTTAAATAATAACACTGCTCTAACAGTAACAGATCAATTAAAAAATGTATCAAATTGCATTAAGTTGCAAATTTTACTTCTCTTAATCTACTTAAACATAATTGTATATAAGCTATTAAATAAAATCTTACCTGACCAAGGACCTGCAGAAAAGAGGTCTTGACAGTTACCTAGTTCAACACATACATTGAAGAGTTATTATTTAAAAACAAATATTTGAGATAAAAAAATTAAAAACTTTTACTGGAAAGTTAAATGCAGTAAGTGCCCATAGTACCAAAATGCCTTCTAGTTTAGATTGTGCATCAACCCCAGCCCAGTCTCTCCTACCCTGTTTCCCCCAAAATAAGACATTCTCTGATAATAAGCCCAATCGGGCTTTTAAACCCATGGCAATAAGGCCAAGCGCTTATTTCAGGGTTCAAAAAAATATAAGACAGGGTCTTATTTTGGGGGAAACACGGTAGATGAAGACTCCTTGTCCACAGTGATCCACATTTTAAGTGATCTCCATATAAGGTTACTAAAATGCTTTACAAAAATAAAAGTTACTTCTGAAGGTTGAATTTCATAGCTTCTCTCTCCTATTAAACTACCTTAAGCTTCCAGTCTCTTGCCAAGTACAGATTGAAGTCCTTCTGTTAATACTAATCAGATATTCTTTGGGTCTTTTTTACCGTCCAAGTCAGATCTTCCAAGGATCGAGTGTCTCAGGTCATACATCTCCCAGAGAGCTTGTTAACTCATATGAACACTGATGCTTTTCACCATTAGGTTGAAACTACCCCTCCTCTCCCCACCCCAAATCAGCATTAATGCTTTTCCAAGTCCAGAAGTTCAACTAGAACTAGAAGGTCATTATGTTGGTTTCATGGCTTCAGCTGTGCCGTTTATACAGTGATAGATGTACTTCATTCTTGCTATTTTTATATCTTTTAAGAAATACAATATAAATAGTCGTCCAGTCACAAAGACATTGGGACCAGGATTGCCATCACTAAGCAACATGGTTGCAAAGTGAGACATCATGTAATTGTATCGCTTAGCAAGGACAATCCCAGCAATCTAGTTGCCATTGTAACCCCAAGACATGCAGATTGTTAAAACAGAAAGTGGAAAGAATATCAGGAAAGTGCATGTGGGTATACAGGTGTGTGGAGGAAACTGACAAAGTTCATGCACAAATTGGGGGAGGCTGGTGCTGTGGCACTGTGCAAGCAGAAGATTGTTGGGTTGGTGTGAGTGCAGGAAAACTGGGAGAGGATAATGCAGTATCAGTGCATAAAGACTGGGGGGAATCACCAGTGCAACTTGCAACCTTCCCTGCCAGCTTCCTCATTGGCTTTGCTTGTGAGAAGCATGCAGGGGAGTCACAAACAGCAATCATATGACTACAGGATTTCATAAGTGTTTGACTGCAGCAATGGCCAGAATTTCAAGGACCACTCATTCAACAAGCCACTTTGAATGGTCACTGAACTCTATACATTTAAAATGAGCCCGTAAGTCACAAATACAGTACATTAAAGATGAAAGCAAAGATCATTTAGCCTTAGTTTTTCAAAAGACTTTCATTATTTTTGTATACAATCCATAGAAGTACTTTGTGACTAAGGTGTTATATAAATTTATAAAATAAATAAACAAATAAACAATATAGGCTGCCTTATTCTGAAGAAAACCTGAAGGAATTGAACATTTTTATAGTTTTTACTTACTTCATATTGACAATCTGAAGACGAATATATTTTCAACAAAGGAACTGTAGAGTCATTTTCAGGCTGTGCAATGTGCAATTTTGCAGAAATCTCAGTCAAAGAATCCCTAAAATAGTTAATTTTAAAAACTATTAATCTGCAAAGTAAGGCATCACATCTAAACACAAATCAAACTTAAGATGGAGATAAGTGCTACAGTCACGAGGGAGCAACTACATGAAACATTAACACTTAATTTAAAAAAGCATACACTAAATATTTTTGTGCAATTCCATCTTTATTTATTATATATTAATCAAATGTATACCCTACTGCAATCACAAAAAATTCTTGGCAGCTCACAAGAAATAAACAAAAATAATAACAATACATTTTATAACAAAAACCTCTAGAATGGTCCAGTTTCATATTTTGATAAGTGGCCCCTTAGTTTCATTTAACTGCAAAAGAAACTTTAAAAGATGATACAATCTAATTAAAAACTCTAATGAACCCTGCTTAATGTTAGTCAGAAATAAAAATAATCAGACCAGGATTGAAAACAGCAAATGGAAGATGGAAAGTGTTTGGAAAAATAAGAGTTAAAGGGAGTGATACAGCCTCTTCTTAGACTGCTGTCATTTTTGGAATTATTCCATAACATACAAATGAGAAGTATCATGGATTGATGGAGGAATTTCACCATGGTGTGTGTGTGTGTGTGTGTGTGTGTGTGTGTGTGTGTGTGTGTGTGTATCTGCATGTATACATTTGAATATTTTCAGAATTCCCGTAAAGAAAAAAATTGAAATATTCAACATCACATGCATGTGCATGTATTTGTGCACACAAATATTGTATATTCAATAGGCTATAATGCTGAAATTCTAATAAAAACTGATAAAACAAGGACCTACAGTGCTTATATTTTGTAATACATTTATAACTGCTGTAGATGGAACAATAAAAGATAATACAAACTAAAAAGAAAGAAAAAAAAGGTGCAAGAAAGCAAAAATAAACCCTCCCCCCTAAGAAAGCAACTTTCCATCTGCACCGTGACAAGTATAAACAATTTCATAATCTCTTCACCTCTTCCTTGTTAACCTATTTGTTAACTAGGAAGAGGTGACAAATAGCTCTTCATCCCATAACCTCTCTCTTAACAGGCAAATCAAATAAGTAATGTTTTCTCCAATCCAATTCAGCCAAAAGCTCAAAGAGAACTCTAAAACAAATAAATGATCTCCCTCATAAAATCCAAAGAAGTACAGTTTCTTTAGTAAATATCTCTTCTAACTATCACTGAAATAATCATCTAGTATCAAAAGGGATACGTTTGCAGGCAATATTTAAGCCTTAAGCAATAGCTAAAAAATTAGTTAAATTTTACTTTCACTCTTAACAAAGGACTACATTTGAGACACAGTGTAAAACATTCAACATACATATGAACATGTAAGAGCTGGAAGGGCACATTGGTAGATAAGGATAAGTAATGCCCTACTCCCAATCAGAACGTTCCAGTTGCCGAAGTTAATATTTGAAGATTGTGAATGACATAGTACTTCCCTTACTGGAAGTCTGAAAAATAAGTCTAAGATACTGAAAGGCCTTGATTTGCTCAATTACATGGCCATTTAATTGCCACCTAGAGCATTTAGCAAATATTAGGATTTTCATTTTTTATTTTTTTCAAAATGTATTACTAATTCTTTGTCCTTACAATAAAAGGCAAAGGCTCTCAAAGCACACTTTAATCCAGTTAAGGTCTCAGATAGGAAAACTACATCATCAGTACACGAAAGCTGTGGTAAATCTATAAGCTACCTTTGGGGAAAGAAAATTAGGACTGTTTTGATGTAAACCAAATAAATTATTCAAATAATACTCAGCTTAATGACTATTCAAGATTACAAGAGGCCTGGAACTAGTGCTTTATGGCCTGTAAAGCACTTTTAGCCATCATAAAATACTGTGCCACCCCCCTGGCAGTCACATAAATGCATTTCAGGTGTGTTACAACCATCTTACCTTTACAACTGGTTGCATTGTCACTTGGCCACAATTTGCATTGTTTTTTGCCTGTTTCAGTATTTTTGCCTGTTTCCAGTTCGGCATTCTGAATGGGTTCCATTTATGACCATGTTTAAGAACCATGGATTTGCTTAATGATCATGGTGATTTTGCTTAACAAGTGCCACAACAAGTGTCTTAAAATTGGGTTTGTCATCTAGGTACCTCAACTTACTACCATAATGACTTACCATAATGACTAGAAATCCGGTCCCAATTTCTGTCAGAAGCCAAGATTCCTGGTTATTCCTGCCTGATTCCCCTTACTTACTTGTTTAGGCAAATGACTGTATACGTAAATTGGATTTTTAACTTACAATTTTCATGAAGCATATCTATCTATCAGAAGTAAAAAGATATCTGTTTTGTAAAATAGGCAGAAAATACTTTATAGCCTATTATATTTCAACAATGTAAATAAAGAATGAGAAATCCTTACTGTGACAAAGTTAAGGAATCTTCATGTGACCATGGTATATGAAGTTGATATACACTGGGTTTTCTTTCTTAAGGGACAAATGAAAGCACAAAATAAATCATTTTTAAGTACTTCAAGTTTAACAAATCATAAGGATAATTGGGTAATAGCCAATCAGTTCCTATCAAAAGAATAGTTTTGAACAGTAACAATTTATTCTTAAAATCTCCTTTTGGAGTTGTGGAAGTTTATGAACATCCCCAATCCCGAAAGTAGAGTGTAGAGGTCCCATTACAGGTAATCCTTGTAATCCTGAAGTTACGGTGGACCCCCAAAAAGTTTCTTACAACCTGATCCCAAAATTACAGGCACTGCAGTACCCCATCCCAGTCAGTTGCCCTTATGACAGATTGCAACAATGCTGTACAGCCCCTCCCCCCCAGCCTATTTTCCCCCATCCCCTGCACTAGCTCACCATAAGCACTTACCTTTTAAAGAGTCCTGGAACTCTGGTGCTTGCATTGGGGAAGAAGGACAGGCCGCTCCATAGCTGGGTTGTGTGATGTGATCTTGGAAGTGGCCACCATTTTCAGCAACGCAGTGGCCTGTCTTCCTTCCCTAATCTGAGCTCCAGAGATTTTCAGTATGAGATGAGAGATACGGGATAAGGAGGAGAGTGTCAGACCCAGTGGAGTGAGAAGCAGACCCAAGGCATGCAGGGATCCTGAGGAGTGGGAAGTGGAGCACAGGATGCTTTAAGGGGGTGGGGAAGGCTTTGGGAGGCCCTAGACAGGGTCTACACTAGACCTCCTAGGGCCTCTGAGTCACTCCATGTGTCACTAACCTGTGTTTTCATTTAATGACTGTATTGGGAAGAGCAGTCACATGGGCATTTCACTTAATAGTTGTCATAACTTCTGACTGTATTGGGCCATATATTGCTGGATCTTGAGAATGAGAGTATGCATCGTTTTTGTATAAAAACTATAAGCATTTGTTCCTTATCTATGAGTTGCCTGAACTCTGATATCAACTGTAGCAGTCTTGATGATAAGCCCTCTTTTAACATAGGTAGGCAAAAGAATTAAAACTTTCTCAGTGGTTGGCCCTCTACTTGTGGGATTCCCTGCTGACTGACTGATTTATGGCTCCTAAATACATACTTTCAGATTAAATCTAAACTAGAACTAAGGAGAAATTTTCCCACAGTTATGATAATTAATCAGTGGAACAATTTGCCTTCAGAAATTGTGGGTGCTCCAACACTGAAGGTTTTTAAAAAGAGACTGGACAATCATTTGTCTGAAATGGCACATGGTTTCCTGCTTGAGCAGGGGGACAAACTAGAAGATCTCCAAGATCCCTTCCAACTTTGTTATTTTGTTATTCTGTTATTGGTTTCAGTAATTTCTCATTTTGTCTTGTTTTGATACGACTAGTCTGATTTAACAAATGATAAGAATGCAATAAGATGTGCAAGTAACAAACAAGAAGCATTTTTATATATGAAATGATATTCAGGAAATAAATTTACCTTTGAGAATCTGGCATTTACTCTCTATAAAGATGTTAAAAGCCTGATATATCTAAAGAAAGATAACATACTATATTAGTATTACTTCCCAAAACGAATCCATATTAGATTCTACCAAACAAATAATGTATACACTTCAAAAATTAATACCTGGCCAAAATGTTGGAGCTGAACAATGTGAATAAGGCCAGTTGAATTTAGTATGATTTTGCTTGAAGAAAATCCTGCAGAAATTATTGCTTTGTTAGTTAGAATTAACAAAAGATAAAAATTAAAATGGATTTTTAGAAGACTTATTGAATGTTAGCTGTACAGAGACACACAAATTCCTTATTAATAAAACATAAAGAATAAGATGGGAAAAAATAACCATTTTATAAAAATGTTTTGTTAAAAGACAAGAACACAATCTTATTTATATCTATCTAGAAACAGTGAGAGCAATTTTCAGAGAAGTCTGTATAGGATTATAGATTTAAAATCACAATTGGAGGAGAAGGAAGAAGAAAAATTAATCCATATGTCAAATGCAATGAACTGAACCTACCAAAGCTAAAAAGATGGGTTACAGGGAGTTGCACTGTTCTTGAAACTTCATTAAAGAACTCACAGTCCAAAGTAAACTGCAAGACAAACAAAATTACTTATTGTCATATTAAAACTAATATGTGGATTTCTATCCATTCCAAATACAGTATGTCATTTAGAACTTGTGTTTATTTAACCCAGATACTGAAGAAAAAAAACCCTGAAAGCTTGATCAATTGTGTACCCATATAGAAATCTTTCTTCAACCTTTAGAGCTTCCAGTGATGCAACCTTTACCATTGTAACTGAAACCAAGCAAGGCTTCATCCATTATAAATATAAGATATCAACTCTCCGCATTTATTGCAGCTATGGTCAAACAGAGTAAGATTATTGCTGTAGCAATTTCACCATGATGTAATATGTAAATTCATTTAGGATACTCACATTTCATTTCTGAAAATTCTGTTTAAATTTTTTTTTACCTTAATACCATTAACTACTGGAACATGAAGCACAATATGAGTCAAAGATGGATAATCTTGAAGTTTCAAAGTCACAATCTGAAAAACAATGCAAATAATAATAATGCTTGAATATATTTTTAAAAATTGAGGTTAAAGATTATCTAATATTTAATTGTGTAATCTATAATAACATTAGAACGAAACATTTTACTAAGTCTGAGATGATACTTTTCATAATAAGTCACATACCTATAAATTCACATACCTAGTGAATTTTGAGGTTCAGAATAAATACCTTGACCGTTGGTAGTAACTCAGCATTCCAAGACAAGTCAATTGCTTGCAGACTGTGAAATGTATATTAAAATGAAAATATTAGAGCTGTTATACAAAATATTCATGAATATGTATTCAGAATGAAATGCATAATAATCCATTCAAGACTAGTGCTTTTCTTCAATTGACCAACAAATTTAGAAAATAAATTTAATTCCACTATTATTAATACTGAAAACAGCAGCTGAGACATAGTAAAAACAAAGTGCCCACAGGAAGCAGTTTCTCAGAAAGCATTTATTTTTTATTATTAAAAATAATGCTATTTTTTTTAAAGGGACAGGAGTATTTTGTGGTACTAATTTGCGAAGAGATAAAGACACAAGAAGTAGACTGTATTTACTAATAAATAGCTTGGATTCAACTCTGATGTATAATGATAAGGATTTAAACATATTGCAAAAAACACCATTGCAAATTTTTTTTGGGAAATAAACATAGGATGAAGCTAGGAAAGAAAGAAGCAAGGTATTATTAGAGCAGGTACATTTTGGAGATGGCAGCAGATAAACAGGCCTAGAAGTAACTAAATTAGTTAGTCTAACTAAAGACTGAAAGAGGGCTAGGACTAAATTTATAGAGTGAGTAGAAGCAGTTTGCAGAGTAGAGTAGGCTGAAAATGACACACCAGAGAAGGACCAGGAAGATCTTGGGAGATAGATACTTGTGACAGTGGGATATGGACTGATCTGTCATGGAAAAAGAGCTGTAGAACAGATGAGAAGGCTAGGAAGGTTTATGGGATAACCTACCATATTTTCCTGAAAATAAGATCCGGTCTTATTTTGGGGGGGCTCCTAAATAAGCATTAGAATTTATTTTGGGGAAAACATGATTTCAGGGTGATCAGCCCAGCTGGGTGCCCCCCCCCGGCATGCATCCTGGCAAAAGGATGTGAGCGCGTGGAGGCCGACATTGTCCGACAGCAGCTGCAGCCCACTGGCCCATTAATAGGCCCACTCTGGGGTTGCACAGCCTGTGCAGCAAAGATGAGTTGATTAACTGTCCAAGCAGCAGACGGCGGCAGAAGCATGGTGGGGGGAGGCACACAATCCAGTTGCGCCATGAGGGTTGTGGGAAAGTTGAGAGTCGGTGGGGCCTAGCAGGCAGCCGGTTGCAAGAAACTTGTCTTTGCGCGACTGCACCAGCAGCAGATGGAGGCAGAGGTGTGGGGGAGGCATACAATCCAAATGTGGTGCGCGGGCCACAGGCAAGCCAAGAGATGGTGGGGCAGAGTGGGCGGATGGCCATGGGAGGCTTGTCTTTGCATCTCTCAGTTTGCCTGTGGCCCACACAGTGTGTTGGAATTACCTGCCTTCCACCTCTACACATTTGCTTCAGTCTACTGCCAATGCCACTGCATGAAGACAAGCCTCCCACAGCCGCCCACTTTCTCCAGCCGAACGACCCTCGGCTTTCCTACAGCCCACATGGTGCGTCTAGATCACCTGACTTCCCCCTACCCCGCCTCTGGCTCTGTTTGCTGCCAGTGCTGCTGTGGGAAGATCAGCCACCTGCCCACTTTGACCCACCATCTCTCAACTTTCTTGCAGCCCACCCAGCACGTCCAGATCACATGCCTCCCCCAGCCTCTGCCTGCTGCTTGGACAGGTAATCAACTCACCTGTGCTGCACAGGTTGTGGCTGCTGCCAGACACCGTTGGACCCCACACCCTCACCACCTTCAGTGCTGGCCATGCCCCCCGCTGACCATAACCTTAAGTAGGGCTTATTTTTTGGGTAAGGCTTATATTAGGATCATGTTTAAAATTCAGGCTAGGGCTTATTTTCGGGATAGGGCTTATTTTTCAGGGAAACATGGTAATAAGATGGGATAAGGTTGTTTTGCACAATTAAAGCAACATGCAATCTTCTCACTCTCAAACCTTCCTGCAGGTCACCAAAGAGTTTTGACTTCTTTCTACATACGGAGGGGAAATCCTTCATGGGGCTACAGGAATGCAGCTGAAATTCTGAAAACTAATGTCCCCTCTGCTTGCAACCTTCCTCATTCAGTTTCTGGGGAATCCAGCAGTGAAGATTATAAATAGCAATCACGTGGTCATGGGAGGGGGCTTGGCAACTAGTTGTAAATGCCAGCCTATTGCCAAGCACCTGAGTTACGGTCATGTGACCATGGGTGGCAGAACCATGGTTTATGCCCAGCAACCATTCCAAGACTGTCATAATTGTGAATGATTGTTAAACGATTGATCTTAAGTCATACTACTTGTATGATATGCCTAGTCACTCCCACTACAGCAGTTCTTTCATTAATGATAATTATTGAGCTATTTAATGATTATTTACTATAATTCTCCCTCAGATGTCATCTTTTATATTATATTTTATATTGTATTGTATCTTATTATTTTAAGATGGCTTTATCACTCTTTTTATTAGTAGGCAAGTAAGTTTATTGTTGTAATTATAGGTCATAACATACAGTATACCATAAAATATAATAAAGTAACAGATTAGTAAGATTGCAAAGTAATAAGGGCATTGTATGCAAGAAGATTAAAACAAAATAAAGCCATAGGTACAACTCAGAACTTCAGTAATTTATTTCTAAATTTAAATGACAGCAGAGCAAAATAGCAAGCTGATTGTTAACAATTGGAAACCAGTCTGCAACATGACTGTTTAATTGTTTGAGATCTGATCCTTGAATTTACCTACCAGCTATAATTTGGGCCTAAACTCCTTATAAATGGGGCAGGGGAGGACATAATAAACAATGCCTTCCACTTGACCAACACCACAAGGACATAGATGTTCTTCAATGGGGCACTTGCAAAATCTCCCTGGACTTCTACCAATTGAACAATAATCTTTTCATCTCACCCCCAGATCTTAGCTTCATGTAGCATCTGGGCTATCACCTTGCTCTGGAATATTTTAAATTCAGTTGCCCTCCTTTAGAATATAAAAACTTCTGGGCAGTTGTTAAGATAGTAATTAAACGTATTTTCAACATAAGGAACTTATGAAAAGTGATGCCTAGGTATTTAAAAATGTAGCATTCCTCTATCTGTTGACAGTAATTGTCCAGCTGTGTTCAATATTTCTTCTGCTAGACACTACCTTTGTTTTACTATAAGTTATCCTCAGTTTTTTCCTTTCGCAATAGTCAGCTAGTTTGACCAATAATCGTCAAAGGTCATTCCTGATACGGGAAATAAGAACCATGTGATGAACATACATTAACAGTGAATGTGGAGAAGAACAATCCATTTCACATATGCTATGGAGCATACAATGTCTTTCAATATGTATGGAGGAAGACGTCATACTGGCGAGGGAAAATGCTGTCGATGTGGCCCAATACTGGGCGAATGTCATTTAATTTTAGTTCTATTTAATTTTACATACTTTTTACATGTGCTAAACTTTTATGACCTATTTTACACCTATTTTATTTTCTCAGTATTGAAGGTTAAATATCTAGAATTTGAAGGTACTTCTGACATGAGTAAAAAAAGAACACTGAAATTTTTCATCCATTAAGCGAGGGGTAGAAAAATATTTGTGACTTAATGGCTTCTACAATATCAGTTTTCAATGAGACCGCACAACACATATCTTACCTACTTCTGACAAAAGTCTAGTCATATACCTGTGGAGATATCGTATCTTTTCCAGGGGGTTTTCATTCAATTAAATAAATATTTTTAAAAGGAAATTATTTTCATAATCTCATAAAAATAAAATATGCTTACCACTTTGGTGAAGTACTGTTTACACAACCAAATATCCAGCTATTTGTATCCTTTTATTTAAGAGGAGAAGAAACAATAAAGAGAAAATAAAAATGTATGTAGATTCCTACTGTATTTTTTTAACCTAACCTATCAATAATTTACTTTAAATTTTCCTAAAAATATTTATCAAAAGCAGCCCTGGCTACTAGCAATGGTGCAAACAGCTTTTGTAAATATAGGTAGTCCTTGATTTACAATGACAATTGAGCCCAAAATCTCTGTTGCTAAGTGAGATAGTTATTAAATGGGTTTTGCTTCATTTTATGACCTTTCTTGCCACACTTGTTAAGTGAATCATTGTAGTTGTTTAGTTAGTGACATGATTATTAAGTGACTCAGGCTTCCCCATTGACTTTACTTGTCAGAAGGTCGCAAATGATCACATGACCCCGAGACACAGCAACCATCATGAGATATTTGCAAGCATCTGAATGTTGATCACATGACCATGAGGATGCTGCAATGATTGTGTGAAAAATGGTTATAAGTCACTTTTTTCAGTGTCATTGTAATGTCACTAAATGAACTGCTGTAAGTCAAGGACTGTTGAAGTGCTGCTAGGATAGTGATAGTTTTTTCTAAGAGTGAAAAGAACAGAACAATTGAACATTCTGTTGAAGCAGGCATTAAAAACATTTTCTAATGCTTCCAAGTGCTACTAATACTTTGAAACAACATCCATTTTTTTTAAAAAAAGACGATGTCATGGAAAGTTTGTGGTCTAGTTTCCCATTATGACATCATCCATCTTACGTAGAGATTAAGAGAAGCTGTTGCCTTAAAATTCCTTAAAACAGATGCATTATAATATAACAATTAAAATGAATGTTAGGAAGGAAATAATTTCTCACCAATATACTGTTTTGGCAGTAAATATGAGTGAATGATTTTCTTTGGCTTGAGAGGGAAAAACTAAAATATTTTCCATCTGATTCCTATTTAGAAAAAGACATAAATGTTTAGTTGAACATAATAAACTATTACACTGAGAAATTGTCCTATAATATTTTAAATGACAGAGTAAAACATTTAAACATTGAAAGTATTTTATCATAGACAACAATGAGAAATTGAAGAATGTTATTTCCTTTGTTTTCCATGCAAAAGCCACAAATATATAGTGATAACTCATGTTAAATGTTACTGTGTTGCCCCGAAAATAAGACCCTGTCTTATATTTTTTTGTACCCTGAAATAAGCGCTTGGCCTTATTGCTATGCACTCAAAAGCCCAATTGGGCTTATTATCAGGGGATGTCTTATTTCGGGGAAAACAGGGTACTTATCACCCAACTACAGAAAAATCAGCTAAGTGAATCATTAAAATATTTCTAATTTACATAGCAAAAAATGGAAACAATGATTAAGCAAGTTTGTCGCAGCAGATGCCTGCACAACCATGAAACTAAACTAAGCTAAAATTTGATACCGGTAGCAATAGATTTGCTTCAACCTAGCCCACAAACAATGTTGCACTTCTTTTGACAACTGGCTTGAGGCATCTTTTCCGTCAATATGCACAGAGAACTTCTATATTTGCTTGCAAAATTCAATAAAGCAAAATAGCTTTTTTATTTGCAATCTGAAAGCTCAACAGGGCACCAACAACATCTGTAAGGCATGTGACTATTACATGCTTTTACATTTTGAAACAAGCCTGAAAAAGACAGTTTAATATAAAAGGAATATATAGAGGGACAATAATATACTTTAACAACTCATGAATTCCATAGCAAAGAATTTAATTCATCAGTAAACCTACCTATGAACACTATGATGATGTAACATAATTCTCCCTCATGCTTTCCCCTGCTGTTTTTATTATGTCTGCTGTTTTTATTCACTAATCCACTTGTCAAATCTCGTTGGCTTGGACAGTTTTTTAAAAACATCAAGGCAGATGTGAAATGTAAAATGAAATGAGTGATTTGTTCTGAGCTTGGAACATTTGGTTGTCTTTTTGACTTGTAAACTTTTCAAACCTACAAAGGTTTTGCACATCTCAACGGCTAGATTGGATATGTGGAAACCTTGGTTCAATAATTACAATACTATTTTCAATTCTAGATTTTCCATCAGAGAAAAAGCTGTAAATAAGTGGTAGAGCACATATTTTTCATAGGGAAGGTGCTAAATTCAAACAGTAGCACTACTAGAGATGAAAAATAAACCTGCCTAAACTTAAAAAGGACCTCATAAAAAAAATGTTTACGTAAGCTAATAAATAATTCCATTTTAAGTGAAAAATATTACTTACATTGTATCCTTTGTAGGACCATTTTGAAGTTTTTATATTAATCCAAACTGATGCTTCTGGAAAAAAAACCAATACTTTTCTTCATACTGGATTATTTTTTTTCTGCTGTCCTGCAGTACCACACCACAATAATTTTGTTGTGTAATCTAAAATAGCATGCCTCTTTTTAACATAGAAAAACAAATATTTTTGAAATGATAAAAACTAAATTCTTCTCCTCTGATTTTAGTTCGGAGTAGGCAAATTAGCAAAACATTACCAAATATTCTTTTTCAAGATTTTTATAAATACGTAAAGCTTTTACATCTTTATATTTAATAGTTTAGCTGGAGTAACAAACATTAAATCATGAAACACTGGTGGTTGAAATGATGAAAACAACATAGGAACCTACTTCAAAAGGTTTTTTTTTTTTTTTGGTCATACCATCATGCTGTCTGCTTAGAACAACATTATGAGAAAACATGGAACAGCAACACTTATTTAACCTATGTATTTGCCCAGGCCCAGATATCATACAGAGAAGGAATAAGCATAGATACAGAGAGATAAATGTTCCTAGCAAACACTCCAGCATTTACAGAAAGGAAACAAAAAGCTACCTTACGATTAGGGAAGGGAACTGATGCTAGACACCATTTATGTCTAGCGTCAGCCTGCCAATGGCGTAGCCACACTAAACGTCGGGCTGTGATCAACCAACATTCACAGGCTTGTTTCCACAAGCTCTATTTAAGTCTCTGTTATTTAAAGCAGTGAATACAGCACAGCTCGGAGGTATTTCACAGCCAGAGCCTACGCTGGCTCCGGGTGCCTTAGACCCATTGTTTGCCGAACCACCAAAACATGTGATTGCCATTCCAACACCACTCTTTTTCTAGATGTCATTAAGAAACGGTGGTTCTCTCCGGCTTCAGCCCCGGTACCTTCTTCTATTGACAAAAAGAATTTCACTGTATCTTCTGAATTGTCTGCCCTGCTTCAAGTGCCTTCCATCGACACACCAGTGGCAACCTTATTAACCTCAACGTGGTGATCCTGGTGATCCAGAGGAAGGACTTTGGCCGGAAGAGTGCAGGTCGGAGCAAGTTCTGCAGCGGGCTCATTTAGGGGCGGCCTGGGCGATCAAATCCGCCTCCAGAGCATCATTTTTCAATCGATCAACTCTTCTGTGGCTTCGCCAGCTACAGGAAAATCTTTCACCAGATGACTCAAGAATAAAACAGGACATGAACAAGACTGTAGCTGCAGTGCAGTTCTCTGCAGATGCTACTTTAAATGCAGCTCACTTTGCAGCAAAATCCTTGGCTTCTTCCATCGCAGCCCGACGTTTAGTGTGGCTACGCCATTGGCAGGCTGATGCTAGACATAAATGGCGTCTAGCGTCAGTTCCCTTTTCAGGCACAAAACTATTTGGGGATCCCCTAGAGGCTTTCCTTGTAGAAACTAAGGATAAGAAGAAAATATTACCAGCGGTCTTCCATAGGGGGGAATCTCGATTCATACCCTATACACATTGCTTTTTTTTTTAAAAAAAGGTTTGTATTCATACTGGAAAACTGCAGTTATAAACTTGAATGCCTGATCTTGAAATAAATTGCTTGGGTTTTACCATAGTAATATTCCCTGCCTTTGAGCTTTGTAATGCTACAATGTTACGCCAGCATTGCACATGAGAACCTTAGCAAAAAAGAAGCAGCTATCTAACAAGTTCAGAGCTGAGACAAGATCTGATCTATGATACCCTACAGGTAGTCTCATTTAGTGACCATAATTGAAACTGACAACTTGGTCACTAAGTAAAGCAGTTGCTAAATGAAACCAGTGCTATGTTTATGATCGTATTTCAGCTTTCCTTTGCCAGTGAAGGTCATAAATGTGAGGATTGGTTACTTTTTTTTATCACTGTTGTAACTGTAAATTAGCATTAAACAAGACAGTCACTAAACAAAGACTACCTGAGTGTTGTAATTCAGTCTCCTATTCTTTTTTCAATTAGCTTTTAAATTAACAATAGTGATTTTGAATAGAAGATTTTAAATCATTTGAATGGCTTAATGATCTGAGCTTTGCAGCAGAAAATGTTCCTATGCTACTTCCCATAACTTAAGGGGAAAAAACTGAATGGAATATATTGATTCAATTCCTTTGGATTTAATGTTACTCTTACTCATCAAAGGAAGTCATACACATACAGTAACACTGGACACACTAACCTGTTAACTCAGTAAGTGATTCAGGTCTTTCTTCAAAGAGTTTTCCTGGATACCTTAAAAAGTGGTGATTCAGGACCAGAATTTTTCTTTGGGGATTTTCTGTTATCTATCAATTAACAAACAAACACATAAAGAAAAACTTTAACAAGCTTTTGAGGCCTAATGTGAGGCTAACCATTATTAATAACATTGGGAGATAATACTTCCCAGACACAAAATCAACAACTTTTCAGCTTCAAGTAGAATCACATGGGTTTGGGCACATTTGCAAAAAGCAGACCACAATTCCCCAGCCCCTTTCCTTTCTAAGATAGACAGAAAAGTTTCTCCTTTTGAAAAAAAAAAAAAGCAAATGTTTTGGATTACAGGTTGGAAGTCAAGAGGATTAATTGTTTTCCCTCAGGCTTAGATTTAAACTTGAATCTGCAGGTAGCAGAATTTTCCAGCAGAAAATTAACATAGAGGTAGTATTATTTCCAAGGCTGCTCTATTCCCTAAAGGAATAGAAAAAAGGTAACTAATTTTGTACTAATTTTAATTTCTGTGTTGCCTGGTCAATGCTTCAATTTTTTTTCCTGGTGTTTATGTTCTCCATACATATTTGGAATATTACATATTTTAATGCAATTTGGAAGCTCTTTTACAGTAGTGTTATCCTAAATGAAAAGCAAATCTATAATCTGTGGCATCTGCCCAGAGCCTTATAGTGCCTTTCATAATTTTTCTATGTGATTTCCTTTTCAGTATAAATCTGTGATTTTTGAATAACTTTTATTTCTATTTCCACTACTGATGGGTATTTTGAATATGAAAAGGAAGTTGAAAAGGGATTTTTATGTTTTCTTTTTTAATTGTTAATTTTGTCTATATCTCATTAGATTGAAAAATATTTACACCAAGGCTGGAGGAAAGTTAGGTATGAAGTGGGCTTCTTAGAAAGCACACTGAGACTCTTACACTTTTATGAACTCAGCCCTGCCACTACAATGGCAGTAACAGCCTGGTTAATGAAAAATGTATTTATAATTCTAATGAGATCTGTAATGTAGGTAATATTCCTAACACTGCTATCTTCCTTTATTTGCAAGAATGTAAAAAAAAAAAAATCAAACACATGCTTTTTCCAGAAAGCATGCACAGATCTTCAAGGAATGCAAACCTGTTTAGTATTGTCGTCAATAAGGTCAAAAAATGCTCTGACGGTAGCCAAGTTCAATTCCTTACACCTAAAAAAGAATACAAGGGAAATATGCTTATAAAAAACAGACAAATTAAAAGGCAAATAATAGTCAAATAAAAATATTTGAACAGCAGTATATCAGTCCTTATACCAAAAAGCTTTTAACTACTCACCAAACAATGGAAAGATGATCTGTGGAAGCCCAGACTCGAGGAACTGCTGAACTCTGATTAAAAGAAGAATTGTATTATTCATTTTAAAACTGAACATCCAAACATTTATTTATTTACTAGAAGCTAATATCTTGCTGAAAAAAATACGGCTGAAATCCTGCTTACATTGTTATGACTAAAATCAAAAAACCAAGCATGTTATATAGAACATGTGACTCTTTCCTCCCTCTTTGAACAGCAGACAATTCTGCCTTATTATACTTTGAAATGTCTGCTGATTTTTCCATTTGGATGCTGCTGTACTCTTGCTTGAGAAGCACCAGGAAAATATGGTCTTGTATACTTCACATAAGAGTTCTGTATTATTAATTTAAACTGGGTGCAGATTCATATTTCTTTATTGATTCAATGAATTTTTGAGACGCCTCATTCACTGAAGCAATAAAGATTAAAAACTGAAGTACAATTATATAAATTGGATACAAACTAATTCTTAGCATGAGCCAACAGTTTAGTTACAGCTAATATGATTTAGACATCCTCTTTTAAACAGGTTCTTTGTTCAAGGGATTTGGAGTAAAATCCAAGCTAGACATGGCAAAAAAATAAGAACATTGTGGAATCTTTGTTCTATGAGTTTCTTTGCTTGCAAACATTTCATTCCCCAACTAGATAATATCACCAGTGCTAGTGAAGGTACGTTTTACTCCCTGTTTATATATAGTAGTTTCCATTTACTAGTTGGGTAATGAAATGTCTGTAAGAAAACAATCAAGTTCAACTCTGAACTACATATATTTTCTTCTATAGATAAAATTCTAAATCAAATATAAAGTGCTATTTCTTGAGGATGGAAGAATCTCCAGATAAATGTAGCAATGAATGCTACTGCTTTCACTCAAATTGAGATCTCAATTTAGAATGTCACATTCAATTACGGCAGTTGTTAGGGCAAGAAAGGACTAAACTATTCAGGAATATCAACAGTAATATTTAACAGTCATCAAGAGCCTTGATAGTACAGTGGTCTACGCACCCTGTTATTAACACAGCTGCCTGCAATTTACTGCTGGTTCGAATCTCTCCAAGGCTCAAGGTTGACTCAGCCTTCCATCCTTTCTAAGGTAGGTGAAATGAGGACCCAGTTTGTGGGGGCAATAAGCTGACTTTGTATAAATATACAAAAGTATGAAGGCTATTGCTTAACGCATTGTAAGCCGCCCTGAGTCTCCGGAGAACAGCGGCATATAAATCAAATTAAAAAAAAATATCTGAGGCTTAAAAGCAACAATTAAAGAATTTACCGCAACAGATAAAGCACAATTTTGACTATTTGAACTGGGCAGAAAAGCCAATCCAGAGCGAACTTGATAATCTCGAAATCCTCCTGCTACAGAAAGGGTTGTTAGATTCCTTATTTCTTGAGCCTTCTGAATCCAGTTATGGTTCACAGTTGAGTAAAAATCTATGAAAAGAATGTTCTTTTAAATATCATTTTAGCAGTTTTGTTTCCTGAGGTTCAGCAATATCTTCAGTATAGATCATTTTGTAGCACATGTCAGCATATCTTATAATTCCTCATTTTTCCACTATCCAATTTCAAACAAGAAAAAACTAAGCCAACTCAGCATACCAATAAAGCAAAATAATAAATCTCATTCCAGAAAAATGTAGAATTAAGATAATTTAAATCTGGCAGATTAAAGCCTCTATTCTATATAATATAATCACAAGTTGGTTAAAGATATTCTAAAGAATTTTGCCTGCCATAAACATTTTATTATCTATATGTAAGAAATATTTAATGAAAATTCATATTGATATGCATTAATTTCAAAGTTGTAATCATTTTAACAGCAGTAATCTTATCCCAATGTGACATTTCACCATATCCATTCAAATTACTTCTATAGATTTAAACATATTTCAACATATAAATCCATGTATTTTATAAAAATCAAACAAACCTTAAATCCTACTCATACATACAATACATTCATACATACATACATAGACACACACATGCATACATATATTGCAATAATTTGGATTATATGTTTTAATTGCTATTGTGTATAAAGTGGGCATTTTTATAGACCAAGGGGTTATTTGAACATATACAAAAAACATTTTGATGTGGGAGATTGAAATATATTCCAGTTGTTCCCCTGATAGATAATGCATCAAATTGGGCCAGAGAAAAATGTCTCCTATGTGAAGTATGCATGAACTTAGAAAAGATAGTCTGGGTAAATCCTGGATGATGGTGCAATTGTAATATAATAGAGATGGAAAAATGTAGCTTTATCTTAATGAATCTGAGATCCTGTGTTTGAATTCTGCTAAAAAATTTATTGAAGTCTAAAGTAAAGCAATCCACAATACATGAAATGTTGATTAATTTGCCTTCACAGTTCAAGATAAGGGGCTCCCCCCCAAAGATTTACTTGCTCGAGACCTTAAAAGGCATATTCTTCAATGGGCCCCAGAAGAGATGCAGCCCAATTCTACTAAATATAGTGGGGAAGATATTCTATTGAAATGCCAGTGCTAAGCAAGGGGTAAATACTTTAAATTAGCTGGCTATTTTGAAGATTTTGAGAATTAAAAAAAAATTAATTTACCTTCAACATGCATGATAGTGCTTCAAGGTAGATCAGATCAGGAAATAGAAACAATAAGAAATACTGAAATTCTACTTGATGTGGGCTTTCAAAAGAATTTTCTTTCTGTCCCCCTTTTATATGATTTTATATGATTCTTTCAAAAATGAAAGATAAAATACTGAAACATGGATCAGTTAGCTAATGGCATGGATATGGTCTAACTCTACCAAACTAGTTTTTTTTAAGTGAAGCCTAGACTGTGGGGTCAGAAGAAATGCTATTCTCCAGGAACAGGATTAGCTACAAGAAACTGGCTTTGGGTTAACAAGAAAAATTGGGGATACTGTTGAAGATATTCCTTCCTATCAAATAGATAAACTATCAGAAGTGGTCTCTAGTTTGATATGTAAGAACTTAATATTCATGCTCAGACTCTCCTAGTAGTCTGTTTCCAATTAATATCAGAAATAACCCTTGTTTTAATTTTTAAGAGTCTTGGATATGGATATGTCACAATATCATCCAATTGCCCACAGAAGTGAGGGATCTGAAAATAATATCTGAAGAATTCTGGAGTATTTTGGATTTTTCAGAATCCAAAGTTAGTGATCCAATCCAAACACTATGTAGAAATAGAATATGATTGTTTTTAAGCCCCTGTCTTGCTTAAGTGCAGGCACATAAGTGGCCATCATTGATGCTGCCAGGACATATTTAAGTACAATTATTTTCATCATAAAATTTAAGGCTACCTGTATATGCAAACCATGATTAAACAAGTATGTATTGAGAGAAAATATTGATATCTTCCACATTATTCTACTCTACAACACTTTTCTGGTGAAACTGCTAATAATAGTAAGTATAATAACAGAAGGTGAAGTTTCTAGAATTTCCAATAGTGTTTTTCATTAAATCAATGGGAATGAAGCTTATTCAGTTACTCAAAAGTGAAAAAGTAAAAGCAAAATAGAGGGGAAAGGCAAAACAAAACTTGACCAATCCAAAATTCTTAGGGGTGAACTTACCAGCAAGATATTGATCTAAAGGCAATACAGGTGCAACATGAGGTGTCGCTTGAGTAATAAGAATATTGAGAAGTTCGGGTTTAAAATGTTTAAGAATCACTAGTGCTCTTGCAACAAGACCACCCATGGAATGACCTACTACTGCAACACTGCGGGGAGCAAATTCATGACCCTTCAAAAAATAAAGAAAAATAATCTCACATCAGGCACAATGAAAACATATAAAAGCAAAAATTCTTTCCCATTTAATAGTTAATATGTCAATCTTTTAAGGTAGACCAGACTAAGGAACAGACACTGTTGCCTAAAGCTATCTTTATTAGAATAGCTATAATACACGGGCGTCAAACTCGCCGCGTCACGTTGCTGTCATGTGACATTTTGCAATGTTTTTCCCATTCATGGAGCTGGGGTGAGTATGGTCTGCATGACACATCTGGCCCACAGGCCGCCAGTTTGACACCCCTGCTATAATAACAGAGTCTTTCAAGTTTGAATTTGCTTCCCATGCTCCCTCGTTTATCTTCAGGTGAATTGGGGGGAGGGCCTGTCTGAGGTGTCTTCTTAAATCACTTTCTTGGTATGGGCTCAAGCCACATATATTTGATCACTGCATGATAATGGCTCTCTCTGTTCATCAAGGCCATCTTCCATATTTTCTGCATCATGGAGATAATGGCACAAAACAGTAAAAAGTTAACATTGTGTTTATCTTCATACCTTATATAATTTAAGAATTATTTTAATACACTCATGCACAAATCTCGTCTGCCTTTGTAGGCTTCCACCATATAGTGCAACAAGTTCCTCGTTGAAATTCACACTGAAGACATCAAAATGATATTTGAAATCCATATCTTCTGCCTTTCTCAATGCTATTGATCCAAGAGAACGTACTGAAAAAAGCATATATTAGAAGCAGAGATAATTAAAATCCTGGATTTGGATGGTGAAGTAAATCCCTAAAAGAGGCAGTGAGGAGGCAGAAAACAAAACTATGAGGATTTCTTTTTAAAATCCTCATTCTAATTTTTATGTCTTCAAACTCCAAGTTCTAAAAATCCATGCTTACTATGCAGTGTAATTTGAGAACAACAATGTTATTTTGAAATGGAACCTTAGAAAAGTTGAAACATTCTCAGCAATTTTAGTGAGCTCCATGGATTCAGAGATGTTAAACAATTAATACCAGGGAAAGGCAGTTGAAACAGTGGTGGGGATTCAATGTATGGTACTCCAAAGAAAGTGGATTATCTGACCTTTGTAGTCAGAATTCAGGCCTGGCTGTGGAACAGAGACAGCAATGATAGTAGTAATTTATCTTTACCATGCTCAAGATGAAGACATTGTATCCTATCTATGCCATATTAGGTCTCTCCATGGCCTTCAATATTGTAATCCATGGTATACTTTTGGACTGCCTATGAGAGATTGGGGGTAATATATTGTAGTTGTACCAGTCAGAGAAGGGGAAGGGAGGACAGGGAAGGAGGGGCTGACCTGTGGCTACTACTTTGTGAAAGCCAGATATCAGTCTTCTCCCATGCAGCCTCTGGAAAAGGTCATACAATAGTTTGGGATTGGGTATCATTAATGATTCACAACTGTATATCATTAAGTATCAACTCCAGACCAAACTAGAATTTATTGAAGCTCTATCCTGATGCTTGGAGGCTTAAATTGAGAATCCTAACAAGACACTTATTGTCCAACAGAGATATTTGTCTGCTCCAGTAGTCTCTTGACAGGGACTAACAAGCAAGCCTGTGACTTTTTGGTTTTTCTGGATTGTGGCTCAATTTAAAACAGAAGGTGAAAACTGCAGCCAGTGCTGGCTTCTCCCAGTTTGGGGTGGTGTTTTGGACCTACCTTGGATCTTACTATAATGACTCATCCCCTTGCTACCATCCATTTACCTTACTGCAAAGACCTCTATATGGGGATCTTTTGAGGACTACTCAGATATTTCAGTTCATTCACAATGTAGCAGCTAACCAGAATTTGCTAGAGGGAACACATTACACCAGTGCTATGGGTGCTACACTAGTTACAGACAGATTTCCCAATGCAATTTACAGTGCTCCTGATAACTTACATAATGTATGTGGCTTGGCTCCAAATTATTTGCAGGATTGCATTTTCTCAATGGAATTTGCCCAGCTAACTCAAGCTGACCAGGAGAAACTACAAATGGACCTCTGCTTTAAGGATATAGTAGTAGAGTGGCTCCCTAGCACTGCTTTTGGAATGGTTTTCAGTGGACTACTCATCTGGCTACCACCTGGAAATATTTCAAAAGTGATCTCTTTTGGTTGGCATTTGGTCCTTGATTCCATCTTGGTAAGGTCATAGCCTGGCTTTGTTACTTCATTTTATTCTGCATTTTTTAGTTTTAATTATGGCATTTTAAAAATGTAATTAATAAATGTAACAAAATACTGTAAATGCAAGCCATTTATTATCCAGGTAAACACAGATTCATGTAAAGATTATTATTCCCATGTTACTTCCTCTTTAGGTATTCTACAGAGATATTTCTATTCCTTCGGAGATACCTTACCTTGCTTAAAACTCCCAGCATTGCCAGGAAGAAAAAGGATAGGAATTCCTGTTAAGATTAGATTTCTGTTTTCTTCTGCAGAAATTCCTTCCCCGTAGAGATATAGCTCGTAGGCTGGGTAACGTTTGGATATTTTCTTAGGTAATTTTATTCTCTGAAAAAAAGATGTATTTCAGCGGAAGAAAGGTAACATTTTGGTATTAACAGGAAAACAATCACAACGTAAATAGAATTTACATAATAAATTGTACTGTGCTATTAATATGAAGTAGAGATACTTTAAAAAAGTCTGAAACAATAAGACAGTTTTTTTAATATTTCACTATCTTCTATATGTAACTAAAGAACTGCAAATCTGAAACATTTGCATTCTTCTTCCTTCTGACAGTAACTTTGGAGAAGACCCTGAAATGGAGAACCAAAACTTAACTTTGCTTACACAGGTAACCTTGCAAGTATGTATATAAACTTTATGGCACTAGCAGGGGAAAGTGTTATTTTCCACATCCAACAGATTTAAACACATAGTTCAGCCTTCCCCAAGCCAATCTTTTTTTGGAATTCTCATTAGCTGTAGACAGCATGTTGAACTGGAATGGGCCAACTTGCCATGGTCAATTCACTATGGCCAATTTACCATGGCCAATTTGTCATAGCCAACTCATCATGGCCAACTCACCACGAGACAACTTGCCACAGGGCAATTTAACAATTCAATTATTTAAAATAAATAAAAAAATATTTTTGTCATCTCTTTTTGCATCCTTTCTTTAACGATGCTGTTCCACCATTTCTTTGATATTAGTGTAACTCTTTTCCCACAGTGAGTTGTTACATGGCAAATTGGCCGTGGTGAATTAGCTGTGGCAAGTTGGCCATGGCAAATTGTCATAGACCCATGCTGAACAGCCAGAAATAGTGAAATGTGTAACACAAATCGTAGCAGTGAAAGCTACCCTAATACTCATACAGATCTAATGCTTGTGTGTACTATTTTCTATTAGCAATTATGCTATGAGAAGTAGGCAGATGAAGCCTACTTGCAGGTTATTACAGCAAAAGAAGTGTAAAGATAGTCCTCAAGTTATGACCACAATTGAACGAAAAATTTATGTTGCTAAGCAAGACAGTTGTTAAATGAGTTGAGCCCCATTTTACGACTTTTTTTGCCCGCATTAAAGGAATTACTGCAGTTGTTAATTGAATCATGTGGTTGTTAAGTGAATCTGGCCCTTGCCACTGACCTTACTTGTTGGAAGCCAGGTGGGAAGTTTACAAATGGTGATCACATGAGTTTGGAACAGTGCAACTGTCATAAATACATGCCAGTTGCCAACTGGTTGAATTTTGATCATGTGAACATGGGGATGCTGCAATGGTGGTGTGAAAAATGGTCATAAGACACTTTTTTTTCAATCCCATTGTAACTTTGGACAATCCCTGAATGAACAGTTGTAAGTCAAGGACTACTTGTATTTGTCTTTTCACTACTCCTTAGATGAATAGCAAAAACTGTAGAAATGCCAAGCCCTTCATAGCTATCAGACTCAGGAATCAAGGAATACTTGAATTGCTGGAATGCTACTTATTGCTAGTAGGGTGGTGTAACATAATCTGCTTGCCAAATAAGCCAATAAGATAAATCACTCTGAATCCCATTTACCCCTCCCCCTTTCCTGGTTGTATGTAATCTTTCCTATAATGGTTCTGTTTCCTCTTTTGTTTCCCCAGAGTCTGTTAGACACTCCATCACACAGATTTAAAATTCTGCTATTAAAATAATAACTATTTCAGTTGATTGGAATTGTTCTGGGGGATTCTTATTTAGCTTTTATGTACACAAGCTATACATTGTACAATATTTAATAGCTCTATATTGTTATGTTATGATTCTGATCTATTTTGAAAGTGCCTGTAGAAATACAGGGTAGAAATACACAAAACGCAAAATAGAAAACAAAGTGCAAAGAGGAAATCCCAAAAGACAGTAAAATCACCTGTGAAAACCGACAGAAACTGTTTGAATCATATACTGTATATGGTGCATTTTTTAATGGCAAAAAGAAAAAAGGAGAGGATGACCAGCAAGAAAGTGGATGAACTCAGTTATAAAGCCAAAGGGTGTGTCGCTATAAGACTTGAAGTACCAGGTTGAGAAAAGAAAATCTGTTATGTGGTTGCTAAGACTTGAGACCAACTTAGATGGCATATAATCATTAAATATTTTTTAAAATAAATTCAGTTTCTACATTTCTGAAAAGGAACAATAGCTGTTATGTTACCTCTTATTAATTTCTGGGATCCTCAAGTCACCATGCTAAACCCCCTCACATATAAATATATGTAAATATAGTAAATGTATAGATATCTTTGTATACAATCACATAAATTTCATATGCTGCTCTATGTAAAATGTGGTTTTCAAGATATTCATGGGAAAAGAACAATTCTTTATAAAAATTATTTCTTGCCAAATGACATTGAGATAACGAGGCAATAAGACTATAGTATATTTCAGAATCCGATGTGGATTAATGGGAATTTACTCTTTGGAGGTACACAATCTACCTATTCCAATTTGGCTATTAACTAGATTAGGCAGTTTTACCAAGTCTGAGCCTTAACTATTACAACTAGCTTCTTTTGTTTTATCAAACCAACATAAAATGAAGATGATCTATGAAAGGCTTTAATTTAATATTGCAATACCTTTGTGTAATTAAATTTTGTAATGTTTTTCTACTTTATCTTAGCTTTAAACATAGTTTGGTAAAAACCTTTATTGATTCTTCTTCATATTTCTGTAGATATTCCATCAATTCTCTGTAACTTTATGCCTTGGTAATGATCATAGTGCTGATCTAATTTCATCTTCTTATATTAGATATTCTTGTTAAGTAACATGACTTTTCTAAGCTATCTTGCATGTTAACATATCTACTATCAAATTTCAGAATTCTCCTTCCATCTTTGTTGGTTTTCTTGGAATTGGTTATTAATTATCCATTGATATCCTTTTCTACACCAGCATGAGGTTGGTATTTCCTGAGTTTGAAGATCTTTCAAAGTTTTCCCTGTATTTCCATGTCTGTTTTCAATTTCAATATGTTCATGTAATATTGTTTCTCTTGCTTCTAGCAAGCATATAGTTAAGAATTATTAACAATTCTTTGTTAAATTTCTTCGTGAAATCCTGATTGGCTTCTCTTGCATTTTTGGCAATTTCCAACATTTATTTCATAATCCATTTGCTTTCTTCTCTTTCTTGATCATTGTCAGCATCTTTTAACATTCATCCTTAATAATTTATTTGATTTCATTCCATAATTCTTCTAGTTCCTCATTAATGAGGCTCAAACCTTCAAAGTAATTATTGATAGTCTCCTTGAAAATGGTGGGATATGCTCAAGATTATATACTGGAAACTGTCTGGTTTTCTTTTTCCACTTTAGCTTAAATTGTAACTTGCAACTTATCTATTCTACTATTCTAAAGTCAACCCTGGTCACATGTTTGCTGTTATAATTGAACAATTTTTATACCAATCAGGGATGACATCATAAGAATTGGTATAGAATCAATCTGAAACTACATACAAAAATAGCAAATAAAATGGTTTCCTTGCCTTGAGATTCCATATTATACAAGGCATATAGAAAAAGAATTCTGGCAGTTTTCTGAGCAATTTTCCACTTCAAATTTGCATTACTGCATAGCTCTATTAACTCTTAATATTTAAACATCTTCTGCCTTTTACTTAATTTCACCCAAAGTATTTTAAACAACACAATAGTTTTTTTTAAGTTTGACAGAAATCAGATAAACACATCATAAAGATAACCAGTACTTGTCTTTCCTGTTGAATTTGCTGCAAAATTCTAGTAGTTATACTGACATTCCCACACCCACCATATGTTAAACTAGCTATTTATTATACTTAACAAATTTAGCCCACAGCAGCTTCCAACTACCAATTTAAGTCATGAGTACAACATCTGCAGAACTCTTCTAAAGTCTTTTAATAGTCTCCATTTCATTGTATTGTTTAAAAAAATCCATTGTTTTAGGTAATAACACTGTAGATATATATTACCAGGAAGCTGTACCACAAGGTATATCATTTATTTATTTATTTGCTAAATTTGTTTGCCACCGATCTTGCTGTGATATATATATATATATATTCTTTCCTTTTCGTAGGCTTTATGTGTATTTCTCTTCAGCCAGGTTCTTCCTACGTAAGGTAAGATTTTTATGCAGCCCTAGTTCAGTGAAATCACAATCCACTAGTTTCTAGGCTTTTTTTTTTTTCTGGCAGCCAGCAAACACTCTGCTGCCCATTGGGAGATAGAAATAGATCTATCTTCGTCTCCTTAGTCTCCCAATGGGCAGCAGAGTGTTTGCTGGCAAACAAATTTAGCAAATAAATAAATAAATGATATACCTTGTGGTACAGCTTCCTGGTAATATATATATATATGAGAAACAGGCTTCGACTCAACCCTTCCAAGACCGAGTGGCTGTGGCTGCCGGTGTCCCGGTATAGCCAGCTGGCGCCATCGCTGGTTATTGGGGGCGAATCATTGGCCCCCACGGAAAGGGCCTGCAACTTGGGCGTCCTCCTGGACACACGGCTGTCTTTAGAAGAGCATATGACGGCCTTGGCCAGGGGGGCTTTCTATCAGGTTCACCTGATACGCCAGTTGCGCCCCTTTCTAGATCGGGACTCCTTACGCACGGTCACTCAAGCACTCATCACTTCTCGTCTGGACTATTGTAACACTCTCTACATGGAGCTCCCCTTGGGGTGCACCCGGAGGCTCCAACTGGTGCAGAATGCGGCCGCACGGGGGATTATGGGAGCGACGGGGCACTCCCATGTGACTCCTCTCCTGCGCGAGCTGCATTGGCTTCTGGTGGACTTCTGGGTGCGCTTCAAGGTGTTGGTGATCACCTTTAAAGCGCTCCATGGCTTGGCCGGGTTACCTACGGGACCGCCTTCTGCCACCAATTGCTTCCCACCGGCCAGTTCGCTCCCACAGAGAGGGCCTCCTCAGGGTGCCGTCAACCAGACAATGTCGGCTGGCGACCTCCAGGGGGAGAGCCTTTCTGTGATGGTGCCTGCCCTCTGGAACAATCTACCCCCAGAGATACGAATGATCCCAGACCTCCGGACTTTTCGTCGGGCCCTTAAAACCTATTTCTTTCAGTTAGCCGGGCTGGCCTGATTTTATATCAGTTTTTAAAATTGATACTAATTTTAATTGAAATGTTTTAAATTATGGGCCAAACTTTATTTAATTATTTTAAAACTATTTTAACTTTTGTGTACAAATTTTTTATTTTTGGCTGTTCACTGCCCTGAGTCCGAAAGGAGAAGGGCGGTATAGAAATTTAAATAATAAATAATAAACACACACACACACACACACATGTGTGTGTGTGTGTGTGTGTGTATATATATATATGTATATATATATATGTGTGTCTTTGGTTATTCGGGTTTTCTCCCGCATATATATATATATATATATATGAATATGGCAAGGGCCTATAGACTGATACCCATTTGCCTGGAATAAACCTCACTGAAACTATTACTATTGACTACTTTAACAGTGTAGAACTGTTTCCTATATAAGTTTTATATTTGAAAGCATGCTAAATATTTACTTTGTTAACCAAACTTTTGTTTTGACAAATTGAATCAAACAAATTAAGTCCTGGTCAACATTGTGGCATCAGTTCCATATATTACACTGCAAATAACATATTTTAAAATACTTTCCACAAAAAAAATCATTTTTTTCCCCAAAAACAAAATTGTAATTGTTTTATTACAGGAGTCCATATGAAGCATATCTCTCAAGATCCTTTTCCATTAGAGGCATCAGCAAGAAATAGCATGGGAGATATCAAATACAAAGTAACCTGCATTTTAAAGCTAAGTATCAAAGTTCTTAAGGCATCTCAGAAAGAACATGCTTTTAGAAAAACAACATTGTGTATTCTGTAGTAACTCAGTGATGACCAACTTGGGATCCAAAAAGCTTGTATACCACTTCTTCTCACATTAACCTGCCTATTTATTATGAACACTGGATAAGGGCCATCTCTGAGATCCTTTTGCCAGAAAAATTAATTATAAAATCAGAATGCTATCCAAGGCACATTTCTTGGAGTCAAATCCGTATTCTTCTGGGGAAAGTATTACATTATTAGGGGCGGCCCTGCATTCTCAAATTACGATTTATTACATAGTTGTTTGCTTTAATATTTTATTCTATGTATTAATGTTCATTATATGTTCATTCCCTACTTTAGAAATAATCATTTTTTGTGGATGTGGGATATTTTAAACAAACAACTTGGGAAGAAAAAAAAACACCTCCAGTTTTTTGCTTGCTAAATATGCTATATAAAGAATATCACTTCAAGATAGACAAAAATAATTTTTGAATAACACATATTGTAATTATAAAGGCAAATTAATTGGTTCATTTCCCAAGCCTAAAACAACCACATGAAAAGAAAATGATACTGAAGAAAAAGAGTTTCAGGAACTTCTGCTTTTGCTTTCTTATCATACCATCACACCAATTACTTGTGATACATGTCTACACTGGTTTTGGTCTGTAAATTTTGCATTGCATTACTCATAATAGTAAAGCTGCTGACATTATAGCCATCTTTAAAAGGAAGATATGAAAAACTGACAGAAAGGAGGATTTATGTCCAGCACAAATCTTTTCAGGATAAAATTGACCTATTCTGCTTTTGAAAAGACCATTGCATTTTTTTCATCATAGTTATCCTCAGAAAAAGATAATGATAGTAGAACGCTTTGAGAACCAGGAAGCCACAAAACAAAATACATTTAGTGACTGTTCAAACTTACAATGGCAGTGAAAAAAGTGATTTATGACCATTTTTCACAATAACAATCTTCGCAGCATCCCCATGATAAAGTGATCAAAATTCAGATGCTTGGCAACTGGTTGAGATTTATGACCGTTGCTGTGTCCCAAGATCATGTGTTCACCTTTTGCGACCTTCTGACAAACCAAGTCAATGGGGAAGCCAGGTTCACTTACCAACTGAGTTACTAACTTATCAATGGCAGAGATTTACTTAACAACTGAAACAAGAAAGGTTGTAAAATGGGGTAAAATGCACTTAAATGTCTCACTTAACAACATAAAAGTTGGGCTCAGTTGTGGTTGTAAGTCAAGACTACCTGTAGTACTCACTTCAAGGAAAAAGAAAAGTTTTATCAACATTCACAGGGAAAATACTTTGTGACTATTGCTATGAATCCAATGAAACCTTACAGTTCAACATCCACATTCTCTCACTATTAAGCAATTACTAAACAGCAAACGAATTGGTAACTTTCTAGCGAGTTAACAAGGGTCAATGCAGCTTTGACTTTTGGCTGAGTGCATGAAAATAGAAACATTGACTCTTGAGAGCCAAGTGTCAAGCCAACTTGAAAAGCATGTTCTCCACAAAGGTGAGCTGGGCTGGTTTTTCATAACAATTAAGCAATTTACTGAAGGCTTTATTCCTCTAGGGCAGGGGTCTGCAACCTTAAACACTTAAAGAGCCATTTGGACCCCGGTTTCCCACAGAAAAGAAAATACAGGGAGCCACAAAACCCTTCCCATGCTTGACTATTTCTTGAGCAGCCACAAAACTGGCATATGTAAACATTCTGTTTTCTTCTGAATCTTTTAATTTCTTGGATTTATCCATGATTCTCCTACTGGGGGTTGAAAAGCTCTATAAATCGCGTGCTGGCGGGTGTCGCAATTGGTGGTTGTGATGCATATTTTGAGTGACAGGGAGCCGCAGCAGAGGGGTGAAAGAGCCACATGCGGCTCCAGAGCTGCAGGTTGCTGACCCCTGCTCTAGGGCAGTGGGTCTCAAACTGGTCTCTCTTTATCCCAAAAGTGCTTTTTCAAGAGGCAACTGGACTTTTCCCACAAAGCCCAGATGCCTGTTGAAAAAGTACTTTTGGGACAACCTTTACCTGGATGACTGAAAATCTCCACAGAAATACCCTCTTTGCATTTAAAAAAAAAATGAGTGAGGACCCCAAAGAGTTTTGGTTAAAGTAGTTATGTCTATCAATATTTACCCTATTAGGCATCAACGCACTGTAAGCCGCCCTGACTCTCCGGAGAAGGGCGGCATATAAATCAAATAAATAATAATAAAAAAACCTGAAACATTTTAAAATATTTATTTTTCGCTTCACGGACCCCACCTGAAATGGTGTCGGGGGTCCCCCGGCCACCTTTGGAGAACCGCTGCTTTAGGGCATCCTATATAGGTGCTATATAGGCTCCCACTGAACAGAGGCGAGACCACACACACACACCCCAGACGGACAGGCGCCGATGGAAGGAAACCAAGCAAGCCTACGAAGATGAGAAGGGGCTGAAAAGGGACCGCTACCGCTGCTATGTGCGGATGAAGGGCACAAGGCAAAGGCGCTCTTCCTCCGAAGGAGCTGTCCCTGAGACGGCTTTGCCGTCGGCTGCGGAGAGGAGCCTTCGCGGGCTCTGGTCTCGCCGGGGACCAAGTTCCTCAGGAACTCCATTATAGAGAAAGCAGGTCTTTCTTTATAGGAAGGGGTGGGGGGGGGGGGCGGACGGACGGATCCAGCCTCTCGGGGAGAACTGGCGGAGGGGAAGGCAGAACGGGACACCTTGCAGGATGCCGCCGCCTGTCACCCAGCCACTCACCAGGTACTCCGGGTAGTCGAACATGTAGGTCATGCTGCACCGGTTCTCTTCATACTGAAAGAAGACGTCCCGGGCTCCCAGCAGCACCAGAGCTGCCAAGACCCCGTGAAACAAAATTCCGGTCACCCTTCCCGCCGTCCACATGTCGTTTTCATCGGCGGCCGCCTCTGCCCTCTCGCCGCCAGGGCCGCCTCTGCCCTCTCGCCGGCGGGCCACACCCGCCAGGAGGCGGGGAACCGCCCCGAGTTCCTCCCTCGCCGGGCGGGGCGAAGCCGTGGAAAGAGCCCGGCCTTCCGCCATCTTTGGAAGGTCGGCCCAAAACCGCCTCGGAATTCTCGGGCGGGGTTCAGGGAGCTTTTCCGTCCGCCATTTTGGGAAGGTCACTCGGATCGGGGTGGGCGGGGCGAGTGGGCTGCCGAGACGGCCGGTGGCTGAGCCTTGGCGGCTTTCAGCGGGGAACCAACCCCGAAGGTGCTTTTATTGTTTTAAGCACCTTTGGGACAACCGTGACCTGGATGACTGAGAATCTCCATAGACTTCCAGCGGGGAAGATTTCGCGGAGATCGCTAACTGGGAATCGGAGGTTGGGGAGCCCGATTAGCAGCTGCGGAGGCTCGCATCTAATACCAATTTAAGCCCGAATCGTAAACGAGCACGGACATGAAAAAACGGGAAGGAGGAAGAGTTCCGACTATCGTTGGGAAATTAAGCCACATTTTTGAAAGATGACGTGAGCGGCTTGTTGGACGAAACGTGTATTATTGAATCATAACACCTATTTAATAATAAAATGATAATTAACACATAGGAAAGGATGACTCTTGAACATCACCCCTGAGCGAAGCTAATTTGCTTTGTGGCTGCTAGATTGCAAAAAATTCGGACAATCTGCTAGAGTTATGAAACTCTTTTGACTTCTTGCTGTCATCTGGTCGTTTGGATTCATCAAAGCCGTTTTCCTCCTATCTCTTGCTGGCCAATCCTTCACCTGACTATATAAAGCCACATGTTGTGTAGAAACTAAATTTAGTGGCGTTTAACCCAAATTAACCCCTGCTTGCAACTTGTTGGCAGTAACATGAACAATGATCGATAGCAAAATCAAAGTTGATAAAATGATAGGAGAAAAAAAGGACACAGGCTCACTGAAAAGGCTGAGTCACATCTGGAATAGATGAGTTGCTACATCATACTATGCTTGACTATACAGTAATCCTCAATTTACCACCACAAATGAGCCCAAAATTTCCATTGCTAAGCAAAACAGTTAAGTGAATTTTGCCCCATTTTATGATCTTTCTTGCCACAGTTAAGTGAATCACTGCACTTGTTAAGTTACTAACACAGTTGTTAAGTGAATCTAGCTTCCCTATTGAATTTGCTTCTATCTTAAAAGTGATCATATGACCTCAGGACACTGCAACTATCATAAATACATGACAGTTGCCAAGCTTTCTAATTTTGACCATGTGACCATGGGGATGCTGCAACAGTGTAAGTATGAAAACCGGTCATAAGTCACTTTTTTCAGTGCTTTTGTAAGTTTGAATAGTCACTAAGCAAATGGTTGCAAGTTGAGGACTACTTGCATTCTATTGACTAAGCCACAATTGACTGGATTTGCACAACATACTGTCCTATACTTTATATCGTGGTTGACATCTACTATGGAGAAATTTATGAAATAGGCAAAATCAAAACAAATCATATGCAATGCATAATCAGATTTCATTTGCGCCATAAGCATATCTCTGTTCAAACTATGCTGGATAATAATAAATACGACCAATTAAAAAATTACTGTAAATGCCCTCAAAGTAAGAACTGTATAAATTTCATTAGATTAAAAAGAAATTATGTATATGCTTCTACTTGAATTCTGCTCCCTCTTTTTTCTCAAAAGATAGTTGAAGATATTCCACAATTACCTTGAAACCTGCCAAACTTGAAATGCAAATATCATGGTGAAAAAATCTCTGCCCATCCCTTAGTTAATATCAGGCCTGTTTAACAAATAAATGAAACACATATTCTCTGCTCATGTTCTTTATGAGAGGTGTGTGCAAAACACCTCCACTTACTAGAAGGAAAGGCGTCCTTTCTTTTTGAAATATGTGCAAATTCAAGAATCAGGGTGAGGCAGAAGATTTTGTAATTGAGAAAAAGTCATAGAGCTGTTGTGTGTTTCCCACCAAAAGATCATTGTTGTACTGAAGATTCAGACCCGTACCAGCCGGGCTTCAGGCGGGGATACAGCATGGAAACGGCATTGGTCAATGATCTCTGGAGGGCTCGGGACAGGGGTTGCTCCTCTGTCCTGGTCCTATTAGATCTCTCAAGATCTCTCTTTTGATACCATCCACCATGGTATCATGCTGCAGGGGTTGAGGGGGTTAGGAATAGAAGGAAACCGTGTTGCGGTGGTTCTCCTCCTTCCTCTCCGACTGCTCGCAGTTTGTGTTGGCAGGGGGGCAGAGGTCGACCTCGAGGCGCCTCGCTTGGGGGGTGCCGCAAGGGTTGGTCCTCTCGCCCCTTCTGTTCAACATTTATGTGAAGCCGCTGGGCGAGATCATCTGTGGTTTTGGGGTGAGGGTACATCAGTATGCTGATGATATGCAACTGTACATCTCTACCCCAGACCACCCCAATGATGCCCTTGACTTGATGTTCCGCTGCCTAGAGGCCGTGCGGGTCTGGATGGGGAGAAATAGGCTCAAGCTCAACCCTTCCAAGACTGAGTGGCTGTGGCTTCCGTAGTCCTGGTATAGTCAGCTGTCGCCATCGCTGTCTATAGGGGGTGAATCTTTACCCCCACAGAGAGGGCTCGCAATCTGGGTGTCTTCCTGGACACATAGCTGTCTTTAGAAGAGCATATGACGGCCGTGGCCAGGGGTTCCTTCTATCAGGTTCGCCTGATCCACCAGTTGCGTCCCTTTCTGGATCGGGATGCCTTGCACACGATCACTCACACCCTTGTTACCTCTCGGCTGGACTACTGTAATGCTCTCTACATGGGGCTCCCGTTGAAGAGCACTCGGAGGCTCCAACTAGTCCAGAATGCGGCCACGCGGGTGATTATGGGTGCAACCCATTGTGCTCATGTAACACCTCTCTTGCGCGAGCTGCACTGGCTTCCAGTGGTCTTCCGGATGCAATTCAAGGTGTTGGTTATCCCCTTTAAAGCGCTCCATGGCTCAGGACCTGGGTACTTAAGAGACCGCCTTCTGCCACCGATAGCCTCCCACCGACAAGTTCGCTCCCACAGAGAGGGACTCCTCAGGGTGCCGTCAGCCAAACTATGTCGGCTGGCAACACCCAGGGGGAGAGCCTTCTCTGTGGGAGCTCCTGCCCTTTGGAACGAACTGCCCCCGGAAATACGCACAATCTCTGACCTCCGAGTTTTTCGCTGTGCCCTCAAGACCCTGCTCTTCCGACAGGCAGGGCTATCTTTGTAAAGTAGTTTTAAATTCGGAGTTTTAAATTTTTGGGTTTTTAATGAAACTTGGCCATAAATGTAATAATTTTAATAATTTTTAAATTTAATTGGGATTGGTATTGTTTTTTACTTGGCTATGCACTGCCCTGAGTCCTTCGGGAGAGAGGTGGTATAGAAATAAAATTATCTATCTAAATTATCTAGATATTTGTGGTTTAGAAATAAATTAGCTCAGTCCCTGAATGAGCCAACCTCATGGCATTACAGAGGTTTGATCTTGTTTTTCTCAAACCAGTATAGAATCACTATGTGAAAATGCTCTGTCTAAAAGAGCACTGGTGGAGCAATGCTTAGAAGCAGTATTGCAGGCTAACTCTGCCCACCGTTTGGAGTTTGATCCTGATGTGCTCAAGGTTGACTCAGCCTTCCATCCTTCTGACTGCAGTAAAATGAGGACCCAGATTGTTAGGGACAACATGCTGACTCTGTAAACCACTCAAAGAGTGCTGTAAAGCACTATGGGGCTGTATATAAGTTTAAGTGCTGTTGCTAAATGTGCAATGAATTATTTTGTTGTAAAAATCAAATACCCATGCTTCACATTTGTAGGAAGAAATGAAGAAATCAGGCAATTAGAATGATGAAAAATTAATCTTAAGAGTTTAATGATACATAAAATTCCAACCATGAAGCTTAGAGAACATAAATATAAAATTGTTTCTTACAAACAGCAACTTTCTGTACAATTGGCTTATGTACCAAATAATTTGGTAATGCAAAACCATCCAACATTATGGTTCCAGCAGCAGTCAGCCTGATGTCTTCTGGAAGCTTGCAAACAGTTTCCCTATTATTTACAGTATTTTTATCCCCAAAATGAGGCAAACTCAGTTAAAAAAGTACTTTCTGACCAGGATTACAAGGGTTTCAATCAGACATTTTTTAGTTATGTTCAAAGATGACCCTTAAAAATAGAAATCATATTTCAACAGATGATTTAAAAGAAAAAACAATTGCAAAACAAAATAATATAAGAAATTTTCCAGCAAATTATTCTTGTTTGGAAATGATAGCTGTAACTTCCTTTCTTACATATTAACAATCCAATAATTAATTGATTATGGGCTTTCAAGTCAAATTGATTATGGGCCTTCAAGCAACAAAAAGATAGATTCACTATTCTTAATCTCTGACTTTCTCTGAATATAGCAATGAGTGATTTTATTAAATTATTTCAAAGACCTGTATAAAATTGACTCAAAGTAGTATGTGGTCTACTCTTTTTATTTCCTGCAATTTACATTAGTTCTGCTTTTGGAATATTGAAACATTTAAATTACTGCAACTTGGTCCGCATTGGGCTGCCTTTAAGGACCAGACTGAAGGCTCAGTTTGTGCAAAATGTAGTGACTTCAGTGCTCATGGGTGTTTAAGGGTACTTGTGACACCTTTCCTGAAGGCTTTACACTGGCCTATCAGTTTGGGGTTGTAATTTAAAGTCTTAATTAATAAAAAAAAAACAGTTGCAATTTTGAATGGTTGTATGGTACCTCAATTTATTATCACAATGAGTTACGACCACAATTCTGGGCTCAATTACAGTTGTAAATTGGTGGGCATATTGGCAGCAGAAGTGAGAAGACATTAGGAAGATGTGGAGGGTACATATAAAGTGGTTGTTGCCTCACCTTCCATTCAGTGTGGTAGAGTGGTTACTGAGTTGGACTAGTAATGGGAGTGGAGACCCAGATTCTATTCCACTCTCAGGCCTAAAAGGTCATTAGGTGACTTTAGGCCAGCCCAAATCCCAAGGTAATGGTTGTGGGGAAAACAGAAAGGAATCTATGTAAGTCACATTACGTTCCAGTAAAAAAATGTGGGATATAAATGAAACAGATAAACAGACAAGCAGCTGGATGAATTCTTTGATTTTTGGAATTCTTTGATTTTTGGCAATGATCCAAGAGATTCATTGTATGTAATGCTGTCTCATCATTAGGCAATCAGTTTTATAATGGAGGACCCTACAGCCGCCTTCTACAATGATTTTAAAATTGTTGTTAATCTTTTCACTTGGGACTTATTTCTGGATAACACTACAATACTCAACTCTGGTTTCTGTACAGTTTACTACCTATGCACAGTTATTGGACACAGAAATAAGCAACAGGCCACATCCATACAAATGCCTTTCTCCAATCATATTTGGTTCTTCTCTAAAAATCCTTTCTCCCTTCATGCCTGCTCCTTCAAGAATAAGGAACAGGCCTTTCAAACTTTTACTGTACACTTCTAAACAACTGAACTTAGTATGATAATTGATAGAAGTTTATAAAAAATCCTATTTTTCAAAATCTCCAGAGGCATATTTGCTATAGAAGAACACATTTTTATTTTTCAGGTGTTTAATATCTGGAGGAATAGATAATTTTTGGAGTACCATTTTATTATTTCACAAAGTTTTTCATTAGTGATTTTGAGATATATCAGTCTCATTTATGCTATTCATAACAATTGCATTGCTTTATGTTTTTATAGTTTTAGGTATGTATTTTTATAATGTATTTTAAGCACTGTTCAGAAAGCTGTACTCACTAGTATTTTTCTGCAGTTATGTATTTCTTATTGTTTACAGGCATTCAGAATCCTGAATGTATGTAAAAGTACCGATGAATGAATTTGGAGTTGCCATGGTATTTGTACCATTTATTTGTAAAAATATCCATCTGAATGCATTTTAATATTACTGTAATTTGCAGATAAAAGAGCCCATTACAATAATACAGCATTCAGTAGTTGAAAGGATATTAAACTTGAGTGCACCCAGCCTATGGTTCAAAGTAATATTTCATATCCATTTTTAAAACCACATAATGTAACACATTGATTAATTCAAATTCCATATTTTAAAAAATTAGCACAAACCATTCAACAATATTTCATACTGTTTATTACAAATATTTCATACAAAATGTAACACTGGCACCAGATTCATGACACCATGGTTTGTAAAGATATATTGCACATGCTAAAAGCATAAAATATACAGACAAAACTACAAAACATTAGATATTGGCTTTTTAAAATGTATGTCACTGCATTACAAACACAGATAGCTGCATTTAATACACACTCAAGATTGTCACCATTTTAAAACATCCTTCCCAATAACACTGACTTAAGGTTTGCTTTGTGTAATAAGAAAATGTATAAATTCCTATACAAATTTAGCATATTAATTTTATGTCAACACAATTTTTTTTTTAAAAAAAGACAAAGCCGTAAAGCTTTGAAACGAAAACATATAGGTATTATATTGCTTCAGTATGACTCAAATGAAGGAAAGACATGTTCACAATAGATATCCAGCATACACAAATATAAAAAGGCACTCTAAAAGTTTCTTACATTATGAAACTCAGGTGCATTATCAAGTTTCTAAACAGAGAAGACAAGAAATTGAATTTACTCAATTCTTAGTTAAATACAAAGGTTTGCTATAATAGTACCAAAACACAACATGGTGCCCTTTTAGTAGTGATACAGATATCCCCTGAGCTAGTTTATCTTAACACTTGAAACAATACAGATCAGCAAGGGGTAAGTGCCATGCATTGTAACCTGGCAGCTGAAGTTTCACATGAATGGAATACAAGCTGCTAACACAGAACTGTAACTATAGAGAGGTGCATGCGTTATTACTCACCTTCTAGATCATGCTTCTCAATCTTTATCAAATCAACACCACTGATGTCAGTAGAATAGTGCTTATCTTTTGACAAAAGCTAATCAAACAAATCAAAACAGGCCATAACTGACATTTATTATTATAGTTAAAATACAGTACCTTATCTGCTACTAAACCGTATTGCCATTTAGATAAGAAAGCAATTAGAATGGAATCCATAGTCCACTGACACTAACTGCAAATTTCCCATTTTAATTAAGATGGTTTTATTACTCTTTTATATGGAAATAATACATATAAAAGAGATAGGTAAGCATATATTTGGAGAAGATGGCGCTACAAATGAATATAGGTCTATTCAGAAACAATCTCTTTTAAGTTCAAAAGATTGTATAGCCAAGGATTTTAGCCCAATAGTCTTTTCAAGACAGTAGGCTGGGATTGTTGATAGGACAGAAACACATAATGTAGTCTGAACTCAGGAATTCAGAACTATATTCTATTATATTTCTACATAGCTGTGCAGAGGATTTTTAGCATAAAGTGTTGAAAAATGTATTTATAGAAGTCACTATCAAATTATTCGGGTGAGTAGATCATTGTATTGTGAATAACTCCAATGCTGTAGAAGATTTCTGTTTGCATGGTGGACTGTCCTTTGACCTGTTCCCCACATTTGCTCTCCCCATACCCTCCTGATGTTTTGTGGAGGCTACAGTGTGTATGTGTGTGTGTGTTTCTTGGTGACTAGCTTGATATGATCAGCCAAGAAGAAGGAAGAAGAAAATGAGACTTTTTACTCAATTCTACATGGAAACATTGGTGTTTTGTTTCAAGTGATGTTTAATAATATTTAGTACTGTTCTAGAGAACTCATTTCAATTATAAAACATTATAGTACTAAGAAAGAAAACTTATAGATTTGTAAGTGTAATTTGATTTCCCTGATTGTTTGGTGATCCATTTTTTTTGGTCATTCTGTTTATTTCATGTCTTCCTTCATAGTTATACCATTATAACCAAATGCATTGCTTCTTTTTTGGAAAAAAAAAAACCCACAACAGCAAACTATTGTTATTAGATAATAAGTAGGATCCAGATGACTCACAACTATGAGGGCATCTCCATGCAACCACCGTTGCCATTCTATAAACTCAGAATTATTCTGGCATCAACCTGTTATAGTCCTGAGCTGCTGAAAACTCCTCATGAGTTGATTAACTTTCTTTATAATGGACCAACAGGGATGTACCAAAAATGACATTCAAGTTGTGCCCCGCCCCCTCAATTTCCTTCCATACTTTCCTTTTCTAGAAAAGCGGAAAAAGAGAAAAAAAGAGAGACAGTGAAAAAACATGCACAAGAATGTAAGGTCTTTATAGCTGGAGCTGCAAAGCCACATTTCTACAACACTAAAGCCTGGCAAAAGGACATGAAACGATAGTGCTATGGCAGCTTAGGAGTTATGGGAAAATGTGAGGTGAGAGTTCCCACCAACAAGAAAACAGCCTATCCCCAAGCTCTAATGTGAAAAGTGGAAAATGAGGGAATTCTCTTTCAGCTACAGCTGAGCTCTGCTACCTAATAAAAATCATAATGTGAAATTATAGAGTGTTGCTCAGATGCAAGTGTGGCATGAAACCTCTCGGTTCTTCTATACCAGAATTTATTAAAGTGTGGTCTTAGGACCAGAGGTGGTATTCAGCCGGTTCTCTCCGGATCGCATGAACTGGTAGTGGCAACGGCGGGAGGCTCTGCCCACCCTCATGTAACACGCGCCTACTGCGCATGTGCAGAAGGCTGTGCGCATGTGCAGACAAGGTGAGTGCGCTCACATTTGCGAACCGGTAGAGAAGGTAAGTGAATCCCACTGCTGCTTAGGACCCTTGGGAGGGGGGGTCCCCTCAAATCTATAAAATCAAAATTATTTGCCCACCTAGATTGAAAAGTAATACAGTATTAAAATCCCATCAACAATCACAAGAAGCAAGAGTGTCAATTTTAATTCTTAATATACTAAATATATTATAGATAAATATAACCCATTCAGCCACAAATTCTTTTGGAGTCCTCCATGATTTTTAAAAGAGGGAGGAGATCCTGAGAGAGAAAAAAAGTAACACTGTTCTATGCCAAAAGATTTTAACAAACAGAAATTACTCAATATTAGCCTTTTCCTCTTAAAGCACATTTAGAACATACAGTAATATCTCACTTCCTGAAGTGCCGTAAAACTGGGCTACTATGCTCTATAAAATGAAGGTACTCTTAATGATTGGCTCATTAATGAAATTTGTGACTTGTGCAGCCTTGGGAGATATCCAAGTGAAATTTTTGCTGAACAGTCAAGAAAACAAAGTGACTTTTCTACATTATCCTCACTTCTTTCATTTCCTTTTCTTTTTTCAAAAACTAACTAAGGTGTAAAACTACTTTTTATAAATGATTACGGTATTTCTGCTGGGAAGCACCCATAATTTCACTGCAAAATTTTAATTGTGGGTTTTAAGGAATATCCAGTAGTCCTCAGAATTTAACAAACACCTTAAAACCCACAACAGGATTTAACATTCTCTGTATTTAATAGGAATCAAGGCAATAACTAGTGAGGGCCTCTTACATTATAGTTCCTAGTCATGTACAAATATCATTTAAAAATACATATATGCTAATATTGCAATTTCAAAATGTGTGCATAAATATTGCCTTTTTCTTAAAAACTCATAATTACCATTTTGTATTTTAGAGGTCTGTAACAATTTTTACTCAATTCTACACTTGCATTCTTCAGAAAAATAGTCTCTTTTTATTTTATCATAGTCTCTTTTTATTTTATCAATGCTACAGAATGCAAATTGTAGTATGAAAAACTTCTCTAAGACCTGGTTGAAAGTGTGTGTCATGATGGAGAATTTTGTTAATAACATGGATCAAATTGAAAACCTGGAGAATATTTTATTACCCTAAATCATGGGTGTCAAACTCGCAGTGTCACGTTGTTGTCACGTGATGTATCACAACTCCTCTTTGCTAAAATGGGTGGGTGTGGCCAGCACATGATGGTCCGGCCCATGGGCCACGAGTTTAACACCCCTGCCCTAAATCATTCAAATAGAGCTTTGGTAGTAAATGTTCCTAGAATAGAAGTGCATAACTTTGTGCTTATTTATATTGTGAGAAAAAAATTAATTTCTGATATGTTAATCAGTAGTTGGGACAAAAAAAAAATCAGTCATGCGGCAAAAAGATCAATTGATTTATGGGAATATTTCTGATCCTAGTTTTTCTTTTGGTATTTTGCTGGGAATTTTCTCTCAATACACTGGCTGGGGGTTAAAAAAAGGAACAACTGAGAGTTTCAGTCAGTTTTAGTGGTACCTTTTCATCTCAGACATTTTTGTTTATGAGTGTAACTACAAAATGGCTGAAATCTGAGGAACACTGTCACCTATCTGAGAATAAAGAGTCTCCTACGAGGATTACGTTTTAGATGTGTGCAAAGCATTTTGAATTTGTAACACTTCTTCAAATACTGGTACAGTAGAGCAACAGAACAGTTTCAGTGAAATCAGAACAATATTGTGCAGAAACAGCTGTTTCAAATTGGAAATGTTTTGTAACTTCCATTACAATGCAAGATGTCTGTTTCTATTTTTTGCAATGTATAGCCCAGAATGAAAATACATTTGACTTAGATGAAGATGCAGTCTCAAGATGGAAGCTTTTCCGGCAAATCTTGTTTATAGAAGCAAAGTGAAACTTTGTTACGTTTTACTGATCATCCAAGAATCAATTCACATATTCTGTCTCTAACATACTTCGATATATAGCAATGAGTGGTTATGTTAAATTGTTTCAAATATCTGTGTAGAATAGATAACAAAGCAGCAGATAGTCTACTACTTCTGTTTCGGGTTTTTTAAAAAATTGTATTTTGCTTCCATAAACGAGGAAGTACACTTTCCTTTTGATTCCACAATTCTCCTTTTGAACTTTGACAAATTTTCACCACCACCCTTTTAAAGACTAAATCACACATTTTTTCCTTTATATGTTCCCCTCTGCTCTGCCAAAAAATACTATGCAATGTACTCCTCCACTGCGTTTGACAAAATGTGCATGAAGCTATTCCCAGCTGGCTGCATAAGAGCTGAAAATGATAACTGTGTGCATTTGTTCCATCAATCTCAGCACACTAAATTTGCTTAAATTCATAGCTAATAACACATTATAGAATTAAAAAGGAGGACAAACCATGGTCAATTTTTCTGGGCACTTGTTTCATTTCAAATAAATATAAACACATTTAACATTACAAGTACGAACACTAGTCTGGAAAAATAAACTGTGATCAACACATCATCATCATTGGTTACAAATGTCAAAAGTATCTACTAGAAAGAACCCAAGACTCTTAATTACAGAAAACACTATTTGTGCATTGGTGATTAGAAAAGTTACTTGATTTTTTCCCCTTGCATTATTAAAAAAATAATAAAGTCTTCTGAAGCCTTTTGGTCCTCATGGTATAGCTGGTTAGTTCTTTATATTTTAAGAGTCTCACTCTTCTTTCTGTACACCTTTCTCAGGCGAGGAAAAGGGTCCGTTTGACCTAGAAGCTTTGGCAGAAGGAGTAGATATTCATAATGCAAATGTTTAAAAAGTAAATTGACGCCAGCAGGACTGTTTAGTATAACCCAGTTCCCTTCTGTATGATTACTTAACTTTTCCACTTTATGTTTTGGTTTTGTCTCCTGTTTGCATCTTAGCACAGCAATGGTAAATAAGAAGGACTGTAATCTATCTCGTGGTATACTTTCCAAAAAAGTCAGACAATGCTTATGATAAAAATCACATTACACATAAAGATAACAAAAAGTCAATTCAAATGAGCAGGGTGAAACATTTAGGTGCGTTAGGCATTATATTTAGAACTGATTTTTCATAAAACAAATAATTGCTGGACAGCACAGGTAAGACAAGTTCCCAAGGATCCCTACTTGGAGAGTGCAAATAAACCATGCATGCTTGTGCTGAATGGTAACAAAAATAAGGCATATCTCATCTGCCTTTACAATAATCTCTTTGCTGCAGCTGCAGGTGGGTATGTTGCGACTGTGGCAAACAAGATTTGATCCTAATGATTTTAAATTGCAAATGGAAACAGCAAATACCTATTGTTTTAAAACACCTATTGGGTATTACTGTGATGAATTTAGAAGTCTGAATTGCCACAGAAAATGGTGATGTTGGCAGTATTTGTTCAAACCCAAATCAAAATTTGTGGCTTTACCTTTGGTTTTTATAACAAAGATACCTACAAATGAAGACTATATATCTATACAAGAGATACTAGAAATGGGAAGGTCTTCTGATAATCCAGAAACACCCTACTTGATAAATGACTTTATATCAGCAGTTTAATATAGCTAACATATTAATATAAACATAACAGTTCCCTGTTTACTTGTGCTGTCAAAACAGAAAAAGGCAGCTTCTTTTTTCTGCATATAATAGGAGGTAGAGACTTCCAGGGGAGCCCTTAGAATTTATGGAAAGCACAGTAGTGCTGGAAGCAAAACATTAACTAGAGTGCATTTTTAAAAAATCCTTAAATTTTCTAGAAGGCTCTATTTATTTGCAAATTTTAGTCTTTGCTATTCTCATTCATAAATGATGGTGAGGTGAAATTCAGGTGTTTCTAAAGAAAATTTCAGATTAAATGCAAATGCAATCAAGAAAGGGGCACTGAATGTTAAAAAGTCAAAATGTTTCAGAATCAGAATCATTGTCATTGTATCCATTTTCTGCTCCTTCATCATTCATTAAGGTTTTACTATATGAGTTAAGAGTGTTGCTCATATTGGAGCTATTGCAGAGAAGAGTCCTGCTCAAATGGTCTTTTTTAAAAGAAACGAAGTTGAGTGGCGTCATTGTACTGGAAGGAGAAAAAGGCATCATGGTAGCCAAAATGAGTGCCAGGCAGTCAGCCACGTCTTTGTTAGGAGCGCAAGCCAGGGCTGGTGTATGACCTGGGCACAAATGCAGACAAAGCCATGGTTAGTACTAAGGGAACTAGGAAAAGATCTGAGCATTCCTTGGATACATCTCCAGATGAGCTCATAGCTAGGAGATGTATGTTTAGTCACCATCACAGCAGACAAAGCCAGGGTTACTTTAAAATTAGACATGCTGGGAAGGTACATAATTCACAAAGTGGTTCTCATAACAAGCACTATTTAATAAAAAGCAAAAGGCAACTTAAATTCTCCACAAAATGAAATAAAAACAGGTAGACCACAGTCCTGGAGGACAATGTGAATCAATATGAGCCAAGACACTGTTAGACTTAAATCACAAGACAGAAGTTCATATAAGAGTTATTCTGAGAGCAATGGCTTTCACTCAAAAGAAACTGTGATATTTAAGAAAACAAATTAGTAACATAGATTATTGTATTTTTTACAAAAATAATAATCTGATTAGCATTAATATAGTGGATGATTAACTCTGCAATATTTTCTATTAGAAAGTTAAATAAATAATCCAAATGTTCAATGTTAGCTAAATTCAATCATGTTTATTAAAATGTGACAGCTGAGTCTCCCTCTGTAGGACAAGCAATGTTCTCTTTACTATATATTGGATATTAAGATAGGGAAATCTTCTCTCGTATGGAAAGCGAAAAGTAGGTGGCTTCTTAAGAAAGTGGTTAGTTTTTTCCTTCTGCTTATATGTTTCCAGAATATCAGGGAAGCTTGTTGGATATTCCATGACAAATAGCATTACAGAAATTGGATGTCAATACACACACAAGCACATACACAGTCTTTTTTAAGTTTCTGCACTGTGCAACGATAAGGAGGCTTTATAACTTTCCACATAGAAGAGAAATAAAGTATCAACAACAACAGGAACAATAACAATCTATAGAAAAAGACATTGGTATTTCCTTTCCTTAGTTAGGTCTTTCCTAACTTTCAGGAAATTGAAATCAAAAGTTTTCACTTCTGTTCTTGGTTAAATATGGCTTTCTAAAGCAATGTTTAATATTAGTTAAAACTATATTTGCTGAAGCAGATGAATTTTTCAGAACTCCCTGTTGCTAGACAGGAAATAGGAAGAATATTCAGCCCCAAGGGGAGAAAAGGTTCATTACATTTCACTAACCTAATGAATGAAGACTAAACACAAATGTTATGGGCAATCTACAGTCAATATTTCAAAAATTATTGTGGTGCACTAAATGCTAGATTGCCTATTTAAGATATGATATTAAAAAAACCACAGCTTTTAGCAAACCATCAACATGCTATGAAAGTGCAAAAGATGTTAATAGACTACATATTTGCTAAAAAAAAAACCCAATACACCTACTATTAGTGGATTGCCTTTTATACACACACACACATAATATGGAAATTGATACGGATGCCATCTGTACTTACAATAATAATTTATTTAGAATATGGACTTCCATGCAGCATTAAGTTATTTAATGGATGTTTTCTATCTGCTATGAAAATAAAGGGAAGCTGCAGAATAGTTCTGAAGCCATACAGATCCAATTACAGTTTCATTTTAATTCAAAAACTGTATCTATATAAATAAATGGCACAAAACCATTTTCCAATGGAAATGAAGGACATAGTGCCGTAGCCTGTTTCATGTAGAATGTTAATTGAAAAAGTAGTTGAACTTTACTTCAAAACTGTAAGACAACATTCGTTACCACAGACAGTGGTAGACTAACTCAGGGCACTCAGGGCAGCCATTAGTATATCCTCTTTTGTGTACCATCAATTGGCTGCCAATCACTATTGCAACCTTTCAGCAATAGCAGCAGCACTAGATATGTATCACATAATCAGAGCAACAAGTGTGCACTTGTAATGTCTACTGGAATACATGCCTTATGCTGGTGCTTACTAGCTGCTTGCTAAGACTTTCCCAACCATTTTGACTGTGAGGCTTTCACAGATGTTAACTACTAATGTAGCTAGACAGTGTAAGCCAGTATTATAGCATGATCTCAAAATTGTGAAAATAGTCTGAATGTCTTGTTCCTTGCCAACTTTTTGCAGCTGCCCAATCTTGTTGGGAGTTTTTTTTAAAAATTTAGATCTTGCTAAATCAGCCTGTCCTACAAAATGGTTTTGGATATGCCTCAGGGGTGAAATTAAAAATTCCCCCTACCGGTTCTGTGGGCCTAGTTTGTTGGGGGAGGTCATGTGACTGGGTGGGCATGGCCAACTCGACATCACTCACATCGAGGGGCTCCTCACTGGCCCCTCTCCTCCCAGCCACTCCTTGTCACGAATGGCAGGAAAATTGGGAGGGAAATATTCCTACCTACCATCCTTCCCTCAGTCTGTGCTGAGATTGAGGAATGGATGACAGGCAGGAAAATCCCCTTCCCCATTTTCCTGCCTTTCACAAAAACGGCTCCATTCCAGCTGCTCCCCACCCTGTCCCCCTCCCTCCTGGGGACTACCATAAAGAGACAGGCTGCAGCAGCTCTGTTCTGAATGGAGGGAGAAAAGTTAGCATTCTCTCTGCTACATTTAACATTGAATTCTGTGGAATATCGAGCGGCCAGAAGAGGTGAGCAGCCACCGGCCAATGGTGGGTGGGGCCAAGGAGGGGTAATTACTACCAGTTCAGTGAACTGATGCCCATAATCCCTAGCGGTTCACCCGAACCGGTCCGAACCGGTAGGATTTCACCCCTGATATGCCTTAATGGTTATAATGCTTAGTAAATTCCTTCAAAGCACACAAAATTACAAATAAGTTACTCATCTCATTGGATGAAAGTGCAACCTCTAGGAATGATTACTGAAATAAGAAAGTCAATGCTTGAATCTTATTTAAAGCTTTCTGAATAAACTGAATCAGGGCTAGTAATGAAGAATTGCTGGGAGGATGGGTTCTGTTGTTAAGGAGTTCTATTATAAAAATCTCTATGTAAGTGTTTGCCTTTCCTCCTGTTAGTGGGCAGAGCCTTGTATTCTGTCCCCTGTAAAGTTCAATAAATTTGGCTGAAGCAGATGGTTTTCACTTGTATATTGGATCTAGGGATTTTTGCCCTAGTGTCAACAGTGGGATTTGTTATACATTTATCAGCAAACCATTGGTGGAGTTGTGTAATTATACAAAAATACTTTTTATAAGGCGGTCTCGCTTAACAATGGTAACTGGGACCAGAATTTCCATCACCATGCTGTTTAGGAACAGAAATGTCAGCACTTCCAGTTGCCTTCATTAAGTGAAATCATCACAGATTGAAACTACTAATGTCTTTTTCAAGATTTCACAGAATTGGGAAAAATGCCTTCTCCAAAAACTGAGGAAGAAGATTGGTATGTGTTTGTGTGTCTGTTTCTGTAGGCATATCTTATTTCAGTCCTTTCTTCTTATTAAAAAGAAATTAAAATGTTTAACTGCCATCATACAATTCAAAATTATTTGTTGAAGAACTAGTTTTGCCTTTTTAATAAAAAGTACTTTGCATACAGTAACAGGCCTTCCTTCCCCCATGAAATGCCTTTAGAATTGTATGGCCTTTTTGAATATTAAGAAAAATATCTCTTCTTTAAAAAGTAAGGAAAGGAGTCAATGACTTCATAAAAACATGCCAGTATTTTTTGGTATAGCTTTTCTTCAAAAGTTCAGTTCCTATTCTTGGATTCTAGTTAGTATTTTACTTGTGAATGTGCAATATCTGGCCAATAGTATTAAGTATATGCTTCAGACATCCATATGAATATTTAGCATATTTAATATAAATCTCCTTTCAAACATGACAGTACATGCCAAATGGATTTAAGCTTCTCTCAATGATTTGTAATGTAGTATATAGGAATGATTTATGAGAAACCTTCATCCAAAGCACTCAGGGCCTGCAAAGCTAAGCACATAAGATCCAGATTGAGATATGCTTGATCATAGATTAGTGTACTTTTTCTAGAAGGTTACCATCTAATGATCAGTTGCAATAGTATATGTGAGTTCAAGATGAAAAGTGTTTTGCCTAAATATTATTCATTATATTATTCATTACATTTCACCCAAGGCCACAAAATGGCAGTGACTTGTTGTGGAATGAACAGGAAATAATTATAACTTCATAAAGAATGAGGATACAGTTAAAAATTATGTTATAGCCTTTGCATTCTTCCATAAAATGAATGTATTTTAATACATTTAAAATGCAGCCCTCTTCCTTATAGGATGCCTTTATAAAACTAGAAAATTCTATGTTTTGTTACTTTACATAAGGTATAGTCAACAAAATGTTGCACATGAAATAATAATGGGACTTGTTTTTATATAATAGTTTAAATAGAACTGTATTTGTGATAACACAAATTCTATTTTTGCAATTTGGAAATTAATAACCAATGTCAGCAAGCTTAAAAATATTTAGAAACACATATTAATATGTAATGAATAATGGCTGCTAATGTATTGTTCATAAATGATAATATGAATATCTTCACTTACCATTTTCATCTACTGCCTGTACACATGCTCCCTTTGCTAACAATTCCTCAACTACCATCTTCAAGCCATTCTGTGCAGCAATATGAAGAGGTCTAGAAAATGTAATATCTAGATTCAGTAGGTTTGATGTATTTCAAAAAGTCTACTATAATACTATGCACAGTTTGTTCAAGTGCTTAACTACATTAAAACACTATGTGAACTCTGATTTCTAACTGCAAAAGTATAAATTATATGACACTTTACTGTTATCAAAATTGTTAAATAAAAATACACGTTAATTAAAATTATACTCACGTTTGCAATGCATTGTTTTTTGCATTAATAAGGCTCGGTTCTTGTATCTTGTCAAGTATCAACAAGGCACATTTTTCATGACCCTGAAAAACAAACACACACATTATATCTAACTATATTTGGAACATTCTAGAACGCATAGTTTTTTAAATCTGATCTTAGTTAATTATTAAAGGAAGTTTAGCAGATATGAGAACAGAGATTTCCATCTGAAAACTTTGGAAATGCATTAAGCTGAAAGAATGAGATGCTTTTATTGAAATGTATTTATTAGTTTATTAGAACTTTTCATTCCTTCTAATGGTAGAACTTGTAGCTTGTCTATATTTCCCTCCCCTGCCAGTGATGTACTGCGGGTGGGGGTTGGGGAGACAAACAAGCTACAAGTTCTACAGTAGAAGGAATGAAAAATAATGAAAGGTCACCTAACTTGTCCAAGCTTCCTAAATGCATGTTGTTATTGCATACCTCTTAGTCACCTGCCTCTTGTTTTCTACTTAGCCAAAGCCAACATACTGCAGATGGGGGTGGGGGGATACAATCAGTTACAGCAAATCATGATATTCAAGCAAAGGAAAAAATGATGTAAATTGTTCCTCAGGTTTAAAGAGTTTTCCTTGTTCTGTAAGCTTCCTCTGTCACCATTGACTGTTGACTGTTTGACTCAGTAATGTCTGACTGAAAGAAAACCCAAGAATTGTAAAAATACTGCTATAAATCTGGGTTGTTGTTGTTTTTTAAAATTCACTTTACCTTGTTTTATCTTATTTAAAAGATTTCTTTTGGCACCTATCTTAAATGCAACTCACAACAATAAAACAATTAGCCATAAAATCATAATCATAAAACCATAAAATCAAATAACAGGAGTTCCCTAGGATAAGACAGAGTGATTATTGTCTGTAGGATTATTTCCCTTAACAATATAATAGTGAAGACTCACAGGAGCTGATAAGTAAATATATAAATGGGAAAGCTATCTTGGGTTATGGATTCATACAAAATTAGAAATTCTCAGAACTAACAAAAAGCAAACAATCTACCATATTATCTACAAGCTAAAAAACTATACTCTAAACTTTATCATTTGTCTGCATCTTACACCAATGGAACATTCAATTTTAAAAATGCAGTATTATGGGGCTCTTTTCAGACTGTTAGCAGACATATCAATCTTTTCCAAAATCTGGCATTCTGTTTTTCTTATTTCTTTCTTTTAGCCTCACTTCATACCCCAGACACCGAATAACCAAGAGGAAGAGTAGTTATCACTGGATTGTTTTAAATCTCTCCATTTTTATTACTGTCATTTTTCTTAATGCAAAATGTGAAAGTACCTCAGGATTCCAGTGATATTTAACTAACGCTATATTAGTAGGAAAATAATTTGCTATTAAAATGTGCAATGCACAATATGGACATCAGTTCCTGTGGGGATCAGTATGGCACAGGACTGTGGTATTTCAGTGTTGCCATTTCCAGGGCATAGAATATACAGGTAGTTCTCATCCTCCAGTTGCCTTGTTTAAGGACCACTCAAGTTACAAGTGGTATGAAAGTTTTACAACCAATCAATTGTCTCATCATATGGTCATGTGATCACCAATTGAGTTCTTTGCAACTGGCTTGTAACAAGTAGTTAATTAAGTTTAAGTTTACTTTATTTTCATTGCACCTTGTACAACGAAATTAAATGCCATATTCAGTGTACATTATACATAAAAAATAAAAACACACATTCTTCACGTTCTATACAATTGAATTGAAAACTCCTGATATTGCATTAATATTGCACTATACAGTAGAATTCTGGGATAAAAGCTGTTTTTCAGCCTATTTGTCCTTGTTTTTATTGTCCTGTACCATCTGCCAGATAGTTATAGTTCAAAAAAAGGGTGCCCAGGATGAGATGGATCTTTACGAATGTATTGAACTTTCTAAGGCAGCGGGAGCTATAAAGCTCTTACAAAGAGGGGAGAAGGCAACCATGATCCCCTGGGCAATGATGTTAACCCTCTGGAGCACTGTCCTATCTGCCACAGTGCAATTGGCAAACCATACATAGGTGCAGTAAGTTAAAATACTCTCTATGGTGCAGCAGTAGAAGGTCACCAGCAATTAATAGTGAAAGCAGAAGTAAAATAATAAATCACAATTATGTGTTATTTCATTTAATGATCATGGTGCTTAGGGACAATTACTGGTCCCAATTGTGGCTGCTAAGTAAGCACTACCTGAACAAACAATAAAAATGGACTTTTCAATGAGAAAGGGCAAATTCTGTTGAAAGTTTAGATGAGGATTTATTTTAACCAAACTGTTTTCTCATCATAATTTCATTTAGTTTTATGCACTGTATTTTAATATAAAGATTTTAAAATTATCACATTCATAAAATATATAGATTGAAACTAGGATGTATTGGTTGCTGCAAGTTATATGATATATTAAAAAACTATATAACCATATACTTTACACTAACCCTGTTTCAGCGCTTAATTTACACAGGAATTATTTACTCTCTAACACAAGTGTCAACATCTGACATATTTTGCACACTTCTGAGGACATGCTCACAAACAGAACCAAACACAATTTTAAACATACTTTACTGCTAGCCAAGTGCAATGATGTATTCAAGTCATTATCCATCAAGGTTAAATCAGCCTTAGCACTGTTCACCAAAAAATCTAAAATACCAAAAAAACAAAATATTCCATAAGTTTACATCCATAACACAAATTCAAGTATCTTCAGACTCTTGAGATGAAGTTTACATAATAAATTAATAAGAAAAATAAAACTGTGGTAAAAGAGATCAAAACAAAATTCAATAAAATCGCGACATAAAGCAATGTTTTTCCCAAAAGGGCTTTTAGTGTTACTATTTAAAAAGCACAGTGCAGGTATTCTAATTTTCCTTCTCAATTGATCTTCTGTAACATGAAAAATGCTGGAAGAAACTGTAGGAAAGGTAGGATCACAAATGGTGAATGATATTGTCTGGATCATGTTGGTTCCAGGATGTCACCTTGGGTTAGAAGAATGAATGGGCTCGGGGTGTTATCAGGAACATGGATGAAGGGTTTTGATTACTACTTTTTTTGCTATGGGTATTTGGTACTGTTGCTTGAATTTTGTTAAGCTGTCCAAAGTCATCTAGAATGGGGCAGCTCGGGGTGAAATGTAAAATTTGTTACTACCGGTTCTGTGGGTGTAGCTTGGTGGGGGGAGGGTAATGTGACTGGGTGGGCGTGGCCAACTTTTTTTTTTTTTTTAACTTTTCAAAGCATTTTTTCTAACGCTTTGAAAAGCCTCTGCCGATCAGGCCACTCAGCTGGGATCGTCAGAGAGGCTTTTTAAAAAATACCTCTCTGCCTATCAGGCCACTCAGCTGGGATTGTCAGAGAGGCTTTTTAAAAAATACTTCTCTGCCGATCAGGCAACTCAGCTGGGATCGTCAGAGACTTTTCAAAGCATTTTTTTTACCACCTCTTCGGCCAAGAGGTTGCAGAAAAAAATACTTTGAAAAGCCTCTGACGATCCCAGCTGAGCCACGTGATCATCAGAGGCTTTTTTTTTTTTACTTTTAAAAGCATTTTTCCATCAGAAGAGGTTGTAGAAAAAATGCTTTTAAAAGTAAAAAAAAAAAGCCTCTGATGATTGTGCGGCTCAGCTGGGCATGGTGGGGTGGGGGGCGCAGGGATTTTTGCTACCGGTTCTCTGAACCACTGGCCGCCATCGCTATCGGATCGGGCGATCCGCTCCGAACCGGGAGCATTTCACCCCTGGGGCAGCTTACAAATTCAGTTGCTCAAACAATCAATTTTTATTCCATATTTCATGTTTCTTGAATTCTGAACATCCATAAGCCTGCATGGTAAACAATTTATATGTGACATAATTTCTTCTAAATTGTTTTAGAGTTAAATTTATTTATTTATTTATTTATTTATTTATTTATTTATTTATTTATTTATTTATTCATTCATTTAATTAATTAATTACATTTATTTGCCATCCTTCTCATTTCAAAGCAATTCAAAGAGTTATACCATTAAAAGCATTAAAATCACAAAAGAAATTTCTGTAACAATAAAAATGGAAATTACAATGAAAAATAGAATTATAGTTAAAGGATAGGAAGATAAGAACAGGTTTCACAGATGGGGAGGTGATGAGCTCATTAACTCATCAACCATCCACAGTGTGATGCTCCCCCATTGGTGTCCAAGTCATCTGGCAGAGCCAGGTTTTCAGGCTCTTGTGGAGGCCGAAAACGGGATGCGCGGAGGCTGCAGTGGGTGGCGATTCCCGCAGCCTGGAACAGCTGATTGGCTGTATTCTGGGAGGCCAAACCAACCGTCAATCAGTTGCTCGTGCTAAATCAAGCAGTGCTGAAACTGACCAGGCTGTTTGCTGTTTGCTGCAAGGAGGCAAATTGCTGGGAGGCAGAGGCAGATATTTTTTTCTTGTTTTCCTCCTCTAAAGCTAATGTGCATCTTATAGTCCGAAGCGTCTTATAGTCCAAAAAATTCGGTACATATATTGTAAGGAATGTTTGTTGAAAATATAGGAGGTAAAACCAGAAGAGATAGTCTACAATAAATGGGTGCTGGATAAATGAATGTGGCCCATCTACAAAAGTGAATGGCCAGTATGAAAATACATTGAACAGACCTGGTCATAAAAAAATTAATAAAATTGAATTGCAAAACAAATATCTAAAGAAATAGATATTGGAATGAAATGAAAAGAAGGAGAAAATAGAGAAAGATATAGCTGGGTAGAGTTAAGGAGATCCTAAAAGAAGAGAGATGGCAAGTTTAAAGATTTTATTTGAAGTGATGTGTGGGTAGAAGCAAGGATAGAAAGATATGGAAAACTACAGAGAAATCTACTCAGTGTAAACTAGATTGACTTAGTTTTTCTTTTCTTTTCACTTATTTGTAATCTTCTACTTACTACTTCTCAACTATTTTGTGCTTTGCTTAATGTTGCTTATCTGTAAAGGAATACCATAATACACATATCTGTGTGTGGAGTGTATATGGTTGAATGCATGCATGCTTCTGAACAGCGTCTCAGTAAATTCCTCCTTTATACTTTATTTACAGAATCAGAGTGGTTGCTTAGAGCTTCTGGTATATTTTCTTTTCTTTTCTTACATACAGGTTATCACTTTTTCTTTCCCTCCAACTCTCAACAGCTTCTCTCCTGTCTTCCGCCTTTTTGTCTTGAAGTTTTCTTCTATTGGCCCACCTTTCTTCTAAGGAAGTTGCCAATTAACCCTTTGCCTGCATTCCAGCCAAGTAATAAACAATCTACAATAAAGATGTGTTTTTCCTACCGAACAGATAGACCTATATAATGACATCAGTTATGTTCAGTTCCTAGGAAGCAATTCCTTACCTACAGTTCCTACATGCCCCTTTTCAGCAGCGATGGTAAGTGGAGTTTTCCCTGAATTATCTGCAGCATTTACTTGTGCATTGTGACTTAAAAGGAGCTGCAAGCATTCTACGTGATCAGCAAAGGCTGCTGCATGAAGTGGAGTTCTAGGAAAAAAATGGATCATAGAAACATTTGATTAATTGAGTCATTCCCATCATTTTCCCATCATTTATTTTTATTTATTTCTAATTCATCTCTTAATCTAATATTTCAGGAAAAACATAAAGTATTATTCAAGGTAAAACAAAATTCAGCGCAGAACAAAAGCCACATAAATCAATAGCAACATAAATCTGATTCCTTCATTTCCTTCATTTCCTTTTCGTTTTATTAGATTTCTATACCGCCCTACTCCCGAAGGACTCAGGGCGGTGCACAGCCAAAACAATAAAAACACATACAATACAAAATTTAAAAATAGAATAAAATCAAATTAAATAATTTTGGCCCCGACAAATTTAAAACCCCAAACTTTTAAAACCAATTTAAAATTGAATATATAAAATACAAAAGATATTTAAAATTTTAAAAAATCTTTTCTAAAAGAGGGGGAAAATTAGGCCAAGCCGGCCTGGTGAAATAGTAAGGTCTTTAAGGCGCAGCGGAAGGTGCGCAGATCCGGGATCCTCCGTATCTCTGGGGGGAGCTCGTTCCAGATAGTAGGTGCCCCCACAGAGAAGGCTCTCCCCCTGGGGGCTGCCAGTCAGCATTGTTTGGCTGACGGCACCCGGAGGAGCCCCTCTCTATGGGAGCGTACCGGCCGGTGGGAGGCTATTGGTGGTAGTAGGCGGTCCCGCAAGTACCTGGGTCCTAAGCCATGGAGCGCTTTAAAGGTGGTAACCAGAACCTTGAAGCGCACCCGGAAGACCACCAGGAGCCAGTGCAGCTCGCGCAGGAGTGGTGTTACATGGGAACGCCATGTCGCTCCCATTACCACCCGCGCGGCCGCACTCTGCGCCAGTTGGAGCCTCCGGGTGCTCCTCAAGGGGAGCCCCATGTAGAGAGCGTTGCAATAGTCCAGGCGGGAGGTGACAAGGGCATGAGTGACTGTGCGTAACGAGTCCCGATCCAGAAAGGGACGCAACTGGCGAATCAGGCGAACCTGATGAAAAATCCTCCCAGTCACGGCCGTCAAGTGCTCTTCTAAAGACAGCCGTGAATCCAGGAGGACACCCAAGTTGCGAGCCCTCTCCGTGGGGGCCAATGATTCGCCCCCAATAGTCAGTGATGGCGTCAACTGACTATAACGGGACGTCGGAAACCACAGACATTCAGTCTTGGATGGGTTGAGCCTGAGCCTGTTCCTCCCCATCCAGATCCGTACGGCCTCCAGGCACCGGGACATCACTTCAAGGGCATCGTAGGGGTGATCCGGGGTGGAGATGTACAGCTGGGTGTCGTCAGCGTACTGATGGTACTCCACCCCGAAACCACGGATGATCTCGCCCAGCGGCTTCACATAAATGTTGAACAGGAGAGGCGAGAGGACCGACCCCTGCGGCACCCCACATATGAGGGGCCTCGGGGTCGACCTCTGTCCCCCTATCAACACAGACTGCGACCGGTCAGAGAGAAAGGAGGAGAACCACCGCAACACAGTGCCTCCCACCCCCAACTCTTCCAGCCAGTGCAGCATGATACCATGGTTGATGGTATCAAAAGCCGCTGAGAGATCTAACAGGACCAGGACAGAGGAGCACCCCCTGTCCCGAGCCCTCCAGAGATCATCAACCAACGCGACCAATGCCATTTCCGTGCTGTACCCGGGCCTGAAGCCCGACTGGAACGGATCCAGATACGTCGTTTCATCCAGGTGCTGGGGGAGCTGTTGCGCGACCACACTCTCAACAACCTTCGCAACAAAGCGAAGGTTGGAGACCGGACGATAATTTACCAACATTGCCGGGTCCAGGGAAGGCTTCTTGAGGAGAGGCCTCACCACCGCCTCTTTCAAGGCGGCGGGAAAGTCACCCTCACTCAGTGAAGCGTTTATAATCCCCTGGAGCCAGCCTCGTGTCACTTCCCGGGAAGCCAGTACTAACCAGGAAGGACACGGGTCCAATAAACAAGTGGTCGCGTTCAGTCTACCCAGAATCCTGTCCACGTCCTCAGGGATCACAGGATCAAACTCATCCCAGATAACATTCTCAAGGCCTGCCCCTGTCTCTCCCCCTGAGACTACCCAGTCGGAGTCCAAATCTTCCCGAATCTGAGTGATTTTGTCATACAGATACTGAACAAAATCCTCGGCTCTACCCTCCAAGGGGTCCTCCCGTGCTTCCTGGTGGAGCAGGGAGCGGGTCACCCTAAAGAGGGCGGCCGGGCGATTATCTGATGACGCAATAAGAGCAGCAAAATAACTACATTTCGCTGCTTTGATCGCCACTAAGTAATTCCTAATGTGGGATCTTACTAGTGTCCGGTCAGATTCAGAAAGACTGGCCCTCCAACTACTCTCTAGGCGTCTTTTCCGGCGCTTCAACTCCCTCAGCTCCTCGGTAAACCAAGGAGCCAATTGAGATCGGCACCGGGTCAGAGGCCGCAAAGGCACGACCCGATCCAGAGCACCAGCAGCCGCCCTATCCCAGGCGGCCACCAGGTCTCCAGTCGAGGCGTGTGCCAGAACCTCAGGAAATGGCCCAAGCTCCATCTGGAATCTTCAAATCTTAAAGAAAAGGGATAGATATTTAATAATTACTTAAAAGGAGACAAATTAATAAAAGGCACAGGAATTTCCCAAAGCAAGGAACCACAACAGACAAATTTTTACTATAAAATTTCTGTGAAGAATTCTTTATGAAGGCAGTCAATACTTGTTTTTAGCTGAGTTCAGGATTAATTATCAACAGTATCACATGCCATCACTCTGCTGATCATCTAATTCCCACAATGCTGTTTTAGGCTAAAGATGTTTACCCATGTAGTAGGCTGTATTGCTATTATCCTTCTCAACTTCTCATCTTTTCATTTTTCATTCTTTCTCATCTTTTCATCTTTCCTACTATCTTCTCCTACTGGTATCTTAAGATTTATCACTTGTTGTTTGTATTTTATGATTAATTATTGTAATTATTTTTATGATCTATGACCTATCACTTTGTTGTATGATTGAGAGGTTATGCACTGGAGACAAGTTCCTTGTGTGTCCAATCACACTTGGCCAATAAATTTTATCCTTCCCTTCCCTTCCCTTCATCTATGAAATTGGTAACCCCAGCTTTTTAAGTGTTCACTAGTTTTATTTCAACCCATTAAATGAAATTTGGTATTCTTCACTGAAGCAAATGTCTTTGATTTGGTGGAAATCTTTATTAGTGGAATGGAGACTCCCGTTCCTTTTATTTCCTCTAGCATCCTCTTTGAAGAGTTGGGTGAGGTGCTCAATAGGGAGGAAACATTGTTAAAATGTTTTTACGTTCCATTTTACTGACAGATGAAAGGCTTCTGCATTAATAAATGAATACAAACCTCTGCCTCAATTTTTAAATGGAACTATAATTCATTATAAATAAAACAAATTAATAAACTACACAACATTTCATCAAAGTAATTCTTACCTTCCTTTTTCATCTTTGCAATTAACAATGCCACCACCAAATGCCCCAATGAGTAGTGAAGCACAATTTTCATGATCATTTATTCTGTTAAGGAAGGATACAATTTAATTCCATGTAATTTATTTCATTAATTTGATAGCATAGTTCAACTAGATTTCCCTAGGTTTACTTTCAATACAGGCTTGCCATTATACTTCAGTCCAGAATGTTGGTACCCTGGATTTATAGCTTTGTCCATAGCATAGTTTGCCCAGTAAAACATGTACAAATTTATGAACTGGTTCACTGACCTTTATTCTCCTCAACTGCCTATATGTGCACGTGAATGAACAAGGAACTACCAATGTACACAACCACACTCCATTGGCTTTTTCAGAAATCTCAATAAATGTATAAGGGATCAGAGGGGGAATCAAAACATGAGTGAGGACAGTTCCCCCTTTCTTCTTTCTTTGTACGTTCACTTTCCCCTTTATACATATTACATACTGTATATAGACCTATAATTTTTAATAGAAATGTGTGAAATGACTTCCTTAAAATATATTCATTTAAAGCAAGGTAATATATTTTTTAAGTTTGTTTCTTATTATAGCTTTCCTGTTCATGTAACTCTGGCAGTCTGGGATGCTACTTTCATAGCTACTTAGCAGCAACGACAAAACTACAATAATACACTTACAAAGGAGACAAGGGAGCTAAATACTGAAAAAGTCTGTGATGTAATTCTGTCCCCATTTTTACTTTGACTACATCAGTATTATTAAGGATAATAACATCCCCAGGCATTGATTGAAGAGAGAGTGGGAGTTCTCAACATGGTATCACTAATCAAACAATATCACTGTCACTAAGTAAGTCTTCCACAATTTATTTCCAGTAATCAAACACCTACTCAGCTGTCATGAGTTAACTCCAAAAGTTTCTGTAATTAATATGTACATGTGCAAGATGTTCCAAGATTTTTTCCTCTTTCTGATCTGTGCCCATTTAATACTTGGATGAGAATCAACAGAGAATATTGGACTGTAGGCTATGGATATTAGCCTTAAAGTAATTGCCAACCATTTTTGTATTACAGGCAAAAAATGAAAATAATTATGACCATGTCTCATTAATGTTCAGTTCAGGTCAAAGCCATCTTTCAGACCATAATTTGAAATTAAAGTTTATAGAGTTTATTAAAGTTGCCAGAAAAACTGGCAATCAAAACTACATAAACTATAATGAAAATGGTTCATTTCCTAGTACAGAAATTTGCTGAGAAGGCATTTTAATTGCTCATAACTGTGTGCATGGGTGGATTGGGGACTAATATTATAAAAATAGCACTATCTCAAAGGTTTATTGTTTTTAAATTCCAAGTTAACTTGGCACACAGCCTAGGCTATAGGAAGTGAAATTTACTGCTATTTCTACTTACACCGCACAGTGCAATGGAGAAAAAGAGTTTCCATGAAAGTTGCGAAAAGCTTTATGTTCCAACAGTACCTCTATACAGTTTTCATTTCCTGTAAGAGATCAGATGATAATTTCAAGTTCCAAAACAAAAAAAGTGCTTAATATTGTCAAAAGAACTATGCTTTATCATTCAGTTTGATATTGATTCTCTGAAGATACTTTATCCAGCATCAAAACGGTGCTCTGTTTCAAGTCAGCATATTGTTCATGCTGACTAGAAGAAACTTCTCTACAGTGGTTGAACTGAAGGTACAAGTTACTAAACCTGAGATAGTCTGCATATGTTTTGTGATTCCCATTTTTTAAAAATAAAATAATTTTATTCATTTGGTAATATAAAAAGTCACTGGGAGTGCTGTATGGGAGGGCCACAATTCCATCATATTGCTCAATACAAAGCATCAATGTGTTCAAAACACATATATCCCCCAGTTTAAGAATGTCCCCAGGTCTGTCCTTAAGTCAAATTTGTATGTAAGCTAGGAGAGCATTATTGCATAATATATTGTCTAAGTAGTATGATATAATGAATTGAACTATTGTGAGTTTAACTTGAATCACTGTATATTTAACTTAACTATAGGTCATCCTTAAACTGGGGCTTTCTTAACCTGGAGACTAGCTGTATTGCATCTCAGTGGCAGGGAAGGGGAAATTCTGACCAACTGAAAAACTGCTTAGAGCTTCAGTGTCAGATTGAAAACTGGACCATTCACAAGAAATTGGGTCAGCTGTCAAATGGAGACAATGCGGATCATAAAGACATGGTGTTGAACTGGGAATGGTGCCAAATCTCTAATAATTTACAACAAGATACAATTATTGTTTTAGAAGCTCTGTAATCTCTCTTTGCATGCAATTTCCATACAACACTAAATAGCCAGTAATAAATATCTGCTTGGCATAAAAGATTACCGTTATAAGAAGCCCAGTGCAATGGTGTATAATTCTGATTATCTTTAAAATTGTAGTCTTCCGAAAGTGCCAACTGCATTAATTCACTCAGCCATGTGGCGTGACCACGAGCTGCTGCATAATGTAGAGGTGTCCTGCCTCTGGAATCCTTACACAGAATTAATACTTCTTGTTCCAACAGCATTTGAATGCATTCCTCATGCCCTGTCATAATCTTTTTCAAATAAGATTTAAAAATTAGATTGATTTTAGTAAAATGTGCCTTTCAACTCATAAAGGTGTGCAAGATAATCAACAATCCTAAATAAATATAAACAAAAACTGATTTTTTTTTTAGTAACTGAAAAAGCTTGTCTGAAATATTAATGATAAAGATTTGGATTGTTTCTGGAATAAAACATGTTCTACTTGGGCGGTCAGTGACAAAGATTTTTTTTAGTAACTTGCATATATGGAAACATGGACATTGGATACTATCTTCTCTAAAAATTTAATGAAAAGAAATACTTTTCAGAGTGTTCTTTATAAAAATATATTCACATACTGCATCAAGGGTCCTTCCAGACCAAGAGCCCCTAACATTACCAGTACAAACCCAACAACTTTCAAAGTGTTCCAAGCATGCTTGGAATAGTGACATTTTTGATGAACATCCACAAGAGCCAATCTAAAATGTTTATGGTGATGATGCATCTTGAACTGCTAGAAATTATTTTAATTTTTCCCCATGCATTCTTGGAAATATAAGAATTTTTTAAAAATTGGGCTGCTTGAAAACAATAATAATTAATTAAATAAATATGAGGATGAGACATCTTTGAAAAACTTGTTCCAAGAATTTCATTATTTAAATTTGAAAAGTAGAAGAACAACTTAGAAAATTAGATATGCTAAATACATTAACATATGTCAGTAGGCATACACAATCTTACTATGAACCCACTGTGCTTTGCATGAAGGATTATTGACAAAACCTATATGTAAAGCTATGAGCAGAGCCCCCTCCAAAAGGACTGTCTTTCTTCTAATCGTCGTAAAACCTTAAAGCCTTAGTAATAACCAATTAAAATTTAGGTTGCCAAAATTCTGCCTCTCTGCCTAAGAAACTCGATTGCATCTCCACAAAGGCAGTATTCTGATACCTTTTCCAACTCTAACATATATTTCTAAATATGACCAAACTCTTCCTCCAAGATAGTGCTATATAACTGTGGACTGCACAGCTTTTGTCATATTTTCTTCTCCAATCAAGAGATGTATTATATCCATTCTTTTATAAAACACTGCTTTAAAAAAAAAAAAGGATTAATTGAGACATCTAAAAGAGCAGTTTCCAGCAAAGGTTTGCAGATCATTGTTGCTTGCATTCAGAGACCTACATGATATATGTTAGAATCAAAGTCAGCTTTAGTGTTCTGTATTCTTCTCTACCATTATTAGGCATATGTGCAATTGAAAAAACATACAGCAGAAACACAGGATAAAATGAGAAATTACCCCTCGATGTAAAGCAGTACATCCCAGGATATCAGCTGCATCAACGGATGCCTCTTTTTCAAGTAACAAAGAAACAGCGTCTATGTGCCCATAAGCCACAGCTAGCATCAGTGGAGTTCTAAAAAACGAGAGGCCCATAACCGTCATCATATATTCCTGATTTGTGACTTTATTCAAAAGTATTTGCCACTTCTCCAAACACTGTAAAATTCATTAATATATATATGTTTCCAGAGATAGCTATATTTGGTAATATTGGAGGTTCATGAAGCATTAATATTCAAACTTTGTCCATTATCTAAAAAGAAGCAGCAAAATGTTTATTTCTAATTAGTTGGCTTTACCTAGTGCTGCGTCTCCTAACTTAATTGTTTCTGTTTGGATATTCTTAACTCTAAAATGAACATGAAAAGGAATAGACATCAATCCAACCTACAATTATGGAAATATAACAGTATGTTGAAGTTTTATCCCAAACATATCTCCCACTAGGATTATTTTTTTTAAAAAAAATCAAAACATAGTAGTAACACTATACATAAATAAAATAAATCTATAGCTAATCATAGTAAACCATTGCTAAGATTTTTATTTGAAATGAGACTGCATTTAAAAAGCCTCCATATTATCACTGAATCATTTATTTGTAAAAAGTTATGCTTAATTCTTAATTTTAGTTTTGAAAAAATAAATGTAAAATTCAATCTATGGAACAGGCCAGAGTCTACATAAAAAGGTTTATGTGGAAACATTTCCCCATATCTATTTGGGAATTTGCCCATTTCGAATTTGTCCATTCTGGGAGGAAATGGATAGACAAAAAGTTATGGTAATTCCATTCTATCCTATTTCCCATAACACATGGCTATATTTATGAACCAACTTCTGGATTTTAATTCTTTGTCACACTGCACTATTATCAGAGTCAATTTATAAAATCTGGAGGAAAAAACGTTTTCTGCCCTTCAGCAATTGACAGCTGTATGTTCTCAGGGGAAGAGGCATGGGGAAACCAGAGAGAGATTCATTGCATGCAGAAATATGTGCTATTTTTCTACATGCACAAAGATTTTTATTTATTTTTTATTATTTGCTAGATTTTTATCCCACCTGTATTCCTTTTGAAATTGCTGATGGTTCAAACATACCTAATCCTCCTCCTATTTTTCCCACAACAATAATCCTGAGATGTGGGCTAGGCTAAAAGAGAGGGTCCGGTACCCAAAGTCTCCCAGCTGGCTTTCCTGGGTTAAACTATCGGATATAATCACATATACAAGAACTGACTCCAAGAAGCAAGATTCACAGGGAGCTAGAGTAGGGCCATCTTTCAAGATTCTGGTTCATATTAACAGGAGACACATTCAGTCCTTTACTTCAAACTTTTATTCTCACTACCATTTGTCTAAAATGTAAAATAAAGAACACACTTCTAGCATCTGGCATGGGGTTGGAATGTTTTCTGTAGCAGAAATCCCAGAGGACATCTACTGGACATACACTGGCAGTGCAACACCAATTATAATCTCATTTCGTCAGGGTTGCTGCAGATTTGCTTTTTCTATTTCTTGCCTCACAGAGGCTTAACCATGATTCTTGTCCTTGGTTACCAGTTTCTTACAGCTGTAACGGTTGTGTCCAACTGCTTTTCTCCTCTTTGACTCCAGTATTATTAGCTGAAGAACAGATAGCAGCACCATTAATTGGTTAGCCATGGCGTGGGAAGGCGATCCTTAATTTTAAGATATTAAATTAACTTCTGAACATCCTTGAATGAGGACATAACCACGATTGATATCGAAGTGCTACTGCTTAAAATGATCTCAAGGTCACTCAAATTATAAATTTCAAAATGAAATAAACTTACTGTCCTTTGGCATCCACTACGTCAGGGTTATCTGTTACTTCTAATAAAAGTCGTAGACATGATGTATGCCCATTGATGACTATGAAGGGGAAAGACATACTTTAAATGTTTTTCAAATAAAAGCCGTGAAAGAGTCAAACTTGTATCAAGTAATATTTAGGAGAAAATGTTTTTGAATAATTCATTAAGAAAGAAAAATATTCATTCCTGAAGTTCATCTTTTAATATAAGAAGCAAATTTAGATATGAATTTTGATGATTTAATTCATATTCATTAATAGTTTAATTATGTAATGTTTATTCTCCAAAAATATTGACTGCCATTAGGAAGAAGAGCCAAAATATATATTGTCTTTGATGGGATGAGAAAATAGAGAGTTGAGAAATGACATTCATATTTTTGTACATGCATTACATTTTTCAAGATTGTTTTGACCACTGCAGTATTATCCAAAGACATATGGAAACTAGCAGCAGCAGCAACAATTTTGAGTTTCTACTATAAAGAAATCCTACCTAATTCTAGTCAAATATGGCCTGCTTCAACTACTATTGGTGGACAATGTAAACCTGTATTTAGCCAACAGAGGTCTCTATCAGGCCATGCTAAGATAATGCACCATTTCAATACAAAATAATATACAGCACTTGGTTTATTTGTTAACTAGTCTAAAAATAAATGGTAATGTATAATCAGTTCTAAACTATGGCATAAGGAAAATTAAGTAGGTATATCCAAATACAGATGTGCTGATCTAAATTCAAAATGCCTAACAACAAGTACAACTCAAGAGGAGAAACAGATCTAATTCACAGCATGCTGACATCACCAACTGGAGTCTGGTTCAGGAGGGGCAGAATTCTGAACCTAGGAATTTGTTCTAAGGACTAGGACGTGAGTGGAACTTCACGGGCCAATCCAATTTTGGTTATGCTAAGCTTTCTTCATTTCAGTGATATAATTATGAAATGTTGGGGTACCATTTGGTTAAGCAAAATGATCACGTGCAACTAGGGATCAGGAGATCTGTAAACTTATTACTGCTCAACCCTGCAATAAATCATGATAATTTGATGAACTGGTAATAAGATTCAAGGATCATGATTCGCTATAGTTGTCTGATTACACACCATCTCTGTTTTGGGAATATAAGTAGTCCTTGATTTAACAACCATTTATTTAGCTGTCATTTGATGTTACAGTGACACTAAAAAAAGAGACTTACAACTGGTCTTCACACTTACAATTGTAGTGTCCCCCTGCTCATGTAAGCACAATCCACCCTAGGCAACAGGCATGTATTTATGATGGTTGCAGGGTCCTGGGCGGGGGGGGGGGGGTGTCACATGACCACCATTTATGACTTTCCCAGCTGTCTTCCAATAAGTAAAGTCAATGGGGAGAACTGGATTTGTTTAAGGACTGTGTGATTCACTTAATGGGCAGAGTTATTTGCTAAATGACTGTTACATAAAAGATTATAAAATTGGGCACAGTCATGGGATTTAGCAAAGGAAATCCCTTGTTCCAATTGTGGTAATAAATCAAGGACTACCTGTAAGATGTTGTGCTTACTTTATTTCTTCATTTTTGGAGACTTAGTAAAAATTCATTTTTAGCATAGCTCATTAAGAAAGAAGGAGGATTTCCAGGGGGAAAAAACTAGAGATTCTCACTCTTATATTTTCTTATTCATAAAGAAGTCACGTGAAATAGTAATTTTCTAAAATTGCTATAATTTGTTTCTTTCTTCAACTTGAATTATTATGTAGAACTCTGAGGTCATACAATACACAAAGTTACCTTATCATAACAGCGGGAACAGAACAGATATAAATTACAGTTTGCAATTTTTGCTGCAGTTATCTCCCACTACACTTCAACTCCCAGAATTCTCCAGCCTGGAGAATTCTGGGAGTTGAAGTCCACAAGTCTTAAAGCGGCCAAGTTTGAAGACCTCTGCACTACACTAAGGAGATAATAATCTTTTCTGTTTAAGAAGGAACCAAACTTTGTCAAAGCTGATATCCCCATGAGCTTTTCTGCATACCTTTCTTTTTAACTGTAGTCAGTGTATCAAAATAATAGCATCTCACCTACCTGAGGCATGGAGTGGGGTTCGTTGTGTGATGTTATCTTTCACTGTGACAGAAGCACCCTGATTGATGAGCGCTTCAACACATTCCATGTGTCCTTTAAATGCAGCAAGGTCCAGGGCAGTACGTCCTTTTTCATCTCTAATATCCAAATCTACTAGTGACTGAAGCAGCACTTCTAATGCTTCATGGTGACCATTATAGGCCTAGGAAATAAAATGAGGTACTTAAGACAGTGATTTTCAAACACTGAGAATACACCAAGATTTCTCCTGATATGAAAACTAACAGGGAAGAAATCTCATTAGTCTCGTGAAACCTGTTTCACAATGTGGTATTTATCTCTTCAAAATAAACTATACTTTTTAGGGTTTTTCTCTGGAATTGCATTTTTAAAAGATGATTAAAACTGGTACATAAACTAACCCTGTAGGGATTTTAACCTATTAAAATTAAATGAATTTAGAATAATTTTTGGAAATAAGTAATACATGCATCCCAATAGAAAAGAATCTCAATTGGGTGACAAATATTTTTTAATTTATTTATTTTTTTAAAAAAAATGTTTTTATAACCTACAGCAATCCAAAAGAACCCTGGGAGGCATATAACATCAAACAACAAAGAAAACAGAGAAATGAAATACTAATAAATACTTAAATCCAAGAACCATCAACAAGTACAATCTCCCCGCCCCACCCCCCACCCCCCACCCCCAAAAAGCTAAGAAAGTCTCAGATAAAAGGCAAGATAGATGCCACAGTCAGTCAGCTGGACCAGAAGCTGAAGGAAAAGTTTTAACCAGTTTACATAATCACAACAAAATGGAAGCTGCACATACTTTGGGGAGGGGGAATACTTCGTAAGCTGTTCTGTGTATGTATTTCTGTAATGTGGTAATGAATATTGGCCAACTATTTTGCAAAAAAATCCTTGGAACAGTTTGAGGGGGCAGCTCAGGAATGGGCACATTAACTGTAAATAACATATAAACAATTCAATTTAAACCTTCAAAAGTTTCTCAGATTCCATAGTGAGTATTTTATAGGTAACCCTCGAGTTACTACCTCATGGAGCCAGCCATATACCTGCTTGGCAATTTTATGATTTTTTTGAGGCAATCATTAAATGGACGTGGCCGTAAGTGTGAACACCAAGGTAGTTAAGCAAAGGGCACAGTCATAAGTGAACCCATTGTTCACTATGGTACAGTTTTGCTTGCTTTGTTTGCTTACCCACATTTGCTTCTCTAACTGTGATTGCATGCAGAGCTGCAGCTGGACAGATATTCTGAAATTAACTCTGAAGTGCACAAAACTGCATTTAATATTAATTAGAGGACCTGTGACTCATTGGATCATCATTTCAGAGATATTTCCTCAACTAAACAGAGAACTAGAATGACCATGGGTGGCATAAAAAAATCAGTTGGAGCTGGAGTGAGTTATGACTTCCTATTGACTTCCCCATTGAATTTCCTTGTGGGAAATTGGTAATGAGCATTGGAAATCTTCCTTCCTCTCTTCCTCCCTCCTTCCCCTTTTCCTTCTAAAGGGGCAGGTAGATGACCGCAACAGTGTGGTAGCGGCAGAAGTTTGACAATGCTGAAGCAGCCAGAGATTCCCCAGAGTCATTGACTGAAATAGTAATTGAACAAATATATAAATAAAAACTTCATTCTCTTTGTAGTAATAGGTCCCAGCATTCTGTAAATTAGCTCATTTGAGGTACTTTGGTTGAAAACATTTTGCCCTGAGACGCATAATTTCATCCAGTTGAATGTTACAGACTATAGGTAGTCTTTATATGAATAATTTGAACATAGTAAAGAAATAAACCATCACACAGTTCTTGAACTTGTTATTCTAAGTAGTTGCATATTTATATCAGCTCCCAAACTAGCTTAACTAAAACTGACTTCAACTCTTTCCCCATCTCTAAGAGGAGGTGTTTAGAAAGTGTTAGCTTTCATGCAATAGCGATGTTTTCACTTGGGGATCTTGGGCTTTGAATTTGGCTAGAGAGATCTGGATATACCTCAAAGAAAAGAAGACTCATCATAAGTAACAACCAGTATATTTTAGATAAGAAACAGAAGGCTATTTGATCTTATTAGAAAGCATTTCACCCAACCTATACTTACAGCTAAATGCAAAGGACTTCTTGCTGATGTTGAATCTGTTTCCTCAAAAAAGTTATTTGTTTTCTCCAGAAGCTAGGACAAACAAAAGAAGGAAATCATTTATACCTATGATGAAGAGGTAAAGTACGTAACATGTATATTTAACATGTGTCCCCTGAGTTAATAAGAGACACTAAACCTAGATGGAAAGGAATTGATGTTTGTGAATTGTTCTTCCCTAAAACTTTTCCTGTCTTTTAATTTGCTATGAAATACTGGGGATTATTCAGAACATCTGAGAATTTTATGCAGAGATTGCAAGGAAGATAGTAACAGCAACATTTATAATACGTCTTCATTTAAACAACTCAAGGCTGGATGCAGAATGCTCCCACCTATTTTTCCACAACAAAAACTCTATTAGGTAGGTTGGCTGAGAATGACTGTACTAAAATCACCCAGATGGTTTTCTTGTCGAAAGAAGACCTCACTGTCTTCCAGTTTCTAGTTCAGCAACTTAGACCAAACTGGCTCTCAATTATTAATTATCTTGTGTTCTTTAAATTTCTCATCTCTTTTTCCGAATCATATCAACAACAATTATAGCTTCCTCTCTCTTCACCCACTCAATTATACCCTCATTCATTCTCTTTCTAACCAGAACCTTTCAAAGCATTTCTTCTGTAGCGCTTACTCACTTTGGTATTTAATCTGCCTTTAGTCAGTCATATCTTCTTGATTCAATGTTTTCTTGTTTTTTGTATTCAACTATTTTTAGGTTTCTCCTGCCATACCAGGCCCAGTTGACTTACTTGCAGAAAACAAGTCCAGAAGCACTCTTTTAAAATAAAAAGTATTGCTTTTGACAAATATTCATTCCTTAATGAATATTAAGGATGAATATTTTTCAAATATTATCACATATTATCCATTATTTTTATATTTCCCCTTTTTCCAATAATTGTCCCATCTTAAGAAAACATTTACCAAATAAAGTCATCTACCTACTCTCATGTTTAATTATTTAGGTATAATTGATACATAAATTTTCAGATTCATACTCTTTTTACTGCATCACACAAATTAAATAACATTTACTACAAATCATGTATTTCTCAATAATTTACTGAAGAACAAATAGTAAATCTTTAACTCATTCCGCCATTCTTTCACTTCAATTTCATCCCAAATAATTTAATCACTAAATCACTTCTATTTTTAATGTCATGCATTCTGATGGAAGCTTTTCGTTTAGCCTCCTCTGTACTTCCAAAACAAATTTTTATTTCTCTCAGAATTACCCTACATTTTGTCTGCCTTTTAACATTTAACTGTAAATTGATTTTTTATTTCAGTCTTTGTAATTATCTTTTTGTCTACATACACATTATAAAACTTTCATTGTTTTTTGCAGCAATTGTTCATTTATGTTCATTTATATACCGTTGTTATTAATGCCTGAGCAAATTGCATTCATTCAAAATGTTGTAATTTTGAATGTTATAATTTCCCCCCAAAACTATTATGGTTATTACATTACTGCCATTCACTGGAACATAACATGCAACTATCACCAACCTATGGATTTCTACTTCATATACAACCAGAACAATTTAGATTATACTAATTTATATTTTCAGACATGATTTTAGCCTTTTCATCACTTCACAAGGATGAATTCATCAAGTCTGCCCCACAAGATCAGATTACTTGCATTCAGATCTATGTATCCTTTTCCTTAACCATCGATAAAGTTTTTGTTTCATTTTACACATATTACAAATCTGGAGGAATAGCAACATTAAGTAGATGTAGTGGAACATATATATTTTTGGATTCCATCCCTCTAGATTTTTTTTTAGACTCTTGTTTTATATATACGTAACATATATGTTTAGCATTTTTTTCCTTTTAAATTAGATTTCGATATATCTTCTATGCTTTTTAATCCTATGAATCCCCCTTAAACTGATTGTATCCTACCCACCTTATGCTGGATTACAATGTAATAAAGATTTGATTTGATCACATTCTTAGTACTTTTCGCTTGTAGATCAGTTTATCAGATTACCTAACACAATTGTATCTGTGCCAGATGCAAATTCCATACAAATGGTAAGGATAATACCAGCACATTTAGTAAATTTTGTCTAGGATATCAGGAATTCAGTCAAAGCCCTGTTCACCACAAGCACACTCACACTATTCTATTCAAGCTAAGAATACTAATCTAGAGGCTACACATTGTTGCCTGTGTGACACCAACTAGAGTGTGTGCAGCGTATTGACACATGGAATGATAATTGAACTGAACACTTTGGGTGGAATGCTGACTGTCACTACGGTACATTTCTTTTCAATCTGTGTGAGACAGACAAGCCGCCACCTTCATTGGAAGGCAGATGCCATTGACTTTTAAACATTCTTTTAACGTGTTTCAGTTAAGATGTCAAGAGAACCAGACCTCGGTAACAGCTGCAATAGATTTTATTAGATTTTGCCAGTGCATAGTATGAGTATAGTACTTCAACCATTTGTTTTCAGTTTCATGAGCTATGACTGTATTAATCTCAGGCACATAAACTCTAAAAATAAAATGCCTGCTAACTCTGTTCTTGGTCTTTGCTGCTCATTCTTCAAAAGGCCTTCCAAATAAAAAACCAATTTTATTATTTCTAATTATTTTTATCTCAGTCCATGATTATGACCAGGTTACCCAAGGATCAACATGAAAACACTAGAAATCTTTTTTTATACAAGGTGACAAGTCAATTTCAGAGTGAAAAAAAAGGATGGAGATAGTCATTTTTCATGGGGAAAAAAATCCAGATATGGAAGTATTTTTTAAAATACAGTCAAGCTATTAATCAGAAAGCAGATGAGATACAGGTAAATAAAGGTTAATTGGTTTGCTGCTGAAAATACTGAAATCTGTTGTAATGTAATCATAAACACAAACTTAAAACTGAGAGCTCTTTAGGTTTTCAGCTGCACACAGCAAGAAAATAGGCAATGACAAATTTACTGAAAAAAATAAACTTTTAAAAAACCGCTAACGGTTTTCCAGCTCTTAACAAACTTATTTCTTCATACTAATTGAAGATAAATTACCATGGGAATTTTCTATAATTTTATATGATGCTATTAAAATTGATGTCCTGGAAAAATGCTTTTGCCAAGTTTCTATATAAATACCTCCAGGCAATAGGATTTGTCAGCCTAAACTGGCTCATAATAAGTATTTATTGACACATTTGAAAAAGGAATAATGTGCCTTTGGGGAGTACAATTATGACTCTGACTCCTCTGTGTTTGATCAGCAACTATAATCACACGAATTAGGTATCTGAGATTATGCGTATTAAAGCACTAATAAATTTTCAGTTTCACTGGTGATGGGCCTTGGGACTTAATGTTCTCACCCTTCTGTTTAACTTCTATACGAAACAGTTGGGAGAGGTCATTTATTATTTTAGGGCAGGATTCCACAAAGTAATCAATATCAACCCCGAAGCTTGAGGGACTATCCACTATTGCTATTGTTGCTGATATATTGTATCACTATAATTATGATTATTGTAATTCACAGTACTATTAATTGAAGTAGCATTAAATTATTTTCAAGTCATAAATAGAGGTAATTGTACTATCAGAAATCTCATGAAGGGGTTGATGTGCTGAAGGTTTTGGAGCACTTTGGTTAGGGCCTGGTGCCATCAATATATTGTTGATACCTAATTGTAGGTTTTGCCCTAAGACCGCCAAACAGTGCTATTGATGTTCTCTCCCAATGTTTGAGGATGTGCAAGTCTGGTGGGGAGAATACATCTTGACAATGTATTTGGATCCCCCAATTCTGGGAATTCTCCGTCTTCTGCTTGGATGGGAATGTGCTTCCCCATTTGAAACTATTGTGCAACCTGGGGAGTTTCTTGGATTCACATTTCCTGCTCAAAAAATAGGTGGCAACTATGGCAAAGAAGGCCTTTGCCTTCATCTAAGCCTAAGGCATTGTCTTTGCACTTCTGCCTAGTTCAGGAGATCGTCCAGATAATCAAGCACCCCCTTGTAATCTCAACAATTGGACAATGCATTTCTAAATGGGGGTTACCCTTAAAGACCACTCAGAAACTACAGCTAGACCAGAATGCAGAGATGCAAAGAGTAATGGGCACACCTCAGAATGCCTATGTGACACCATTGCTCTGTGAGCTACATTGGCTGATACGGTTTCTGGGTGCAATTCAAGATGCTGGTTATCTTTAAAGAAAACCCACCATCTTATGACTGTGAAATACCATTGAACGATCACACTTACTATTGCTGATCACTAAGGGCTCAAAAGAATTAGGGAAATCAAGAATGAATTCATTGTAAAATGAAACTGATTTTAACATAGTAAAAGCAGACTACCGTAATGCTCACTTATCCATTAGTGCCTAGCTCTGTCATTCACATATTTTATAAATTGTTGACCTCTCAAAAATCTTGTCATTCCTTTTCATTCTGAGATACTATTATGACAGCACAACTACTTTTTTTAAACTTCTGGACTGTGACATTTGATAGTCAGTCAGCATGCTTATTTTAAAAGTAAAGATGTTGAACTATGATAATAAAAAGGAATTCCAACTTATAAAATTACCAAAAGCTATAAATTTAATAGCTTTAAATATTTCTGCTTTCCTATGGATCAGCTTCTGCAAAATAGTGACACAACAACTTATTATCTAACTAATTTCACAAACAGCCTTGTACTCACCAAGTACTGTATATTGCTATGGGGAACTTAGATAAATGCAGGTATGAAACCTTTTGGCCACAGTGACAGTAACAAACTTAATTAAGTAATTGCACAGCATATAGTGGAGCTGATACTTGCTTGGGTGGGTTACAATGCACAAGCTCAGATACACGCAATCTATGGCAAGGGTTTCTGGAAAAACTATCCCTTTAAGATAACGACTTATAATGATTGGACTTTTCTTGAAAAATTAGGAGTTGAATGGTACCAAGAACTTTCATGAGAAAATATTAGTTTACTTTGATAGCTGGCCTAACAAGGGTGTTCTCAAACAATGTATAGCAAATATTGAGTAGGCCATCAAGAAAGTTAGTTCCAAACATTTTCACTCATCACATCCTCAGTGCATATCCCAGAGGATATTGTCATGTTTCGATCATGGCAAGTGTGTGTCCTTTTCATCTCCTCATCACTACATATTCCATAGGCTTCTGAACTTGCAATCCAGAAGAATTTCACACCTTGATTCTGAATATGCTTGGCTTCTCTATCAACTTTATGTTGAAGTAGTGAAGTAATGAAAATGCTTGTACCTCTCCTGCATAGCCATATTCCTGGGCAAATTTACAAGCGTAACATTGTTCAGTGTCAAAGAATAATGATAATAGCTCTGCAAAATTAAGGATATCTTTTATTTGGCAGTCACTTTTGCAATGCAGCATTTCAGCACTGTTTCAGGCCTACTCACCAGTTCTAGACACTGCCTGTGTCCATAAGCAGCAGCATAATGCACTGTATTATAGCCATCTCTATCTTGGATTGAAGGGTTCGCTTCATTTTGAAGAAGAAATTCTAGACACCTGTGAATTGTTTAGAAATATAAACCAAAATGTTACCATTTAACTATATGTAATGACTGATACCGAGATAAACATTCACTGTAATATTAAAACTGTGTAATACCAACTTTTTATTTCTACTTTTTTTTTTAAATTTGATTTACATGCCGCCCTTCTCCGGAGACTCAGGGCGGCTTACAATGTGTTAAGCAATAGCCTTCATACTTTTGTATATTTATACAAAGTCAGCTTATTGCCCCCACAATCTGGGTCCTCAACTTACCTACCTTAGAAAGAGTGGAAGGCTGAGTCAATCTTGAGCCTGGTGAGATTCGAACTTACAGTAATTGCAGACAGCTGGTGTTAATCACAATGCTATCAGTCTGCTGAGCCACCAGGCCCGTGATGCTTAACAGAATCCTGTACCTGTTGAATCTTCAGTTCTACCATATTCACTGGGATTTTGTACAATAGTAATGGCCTGGAAGTTATATTCTTGCTATAAGATCCAATTAAAAGCATTCCCACTATACCATTTTCTAGAATGTTTTGTTTCTATGAGTGAATTAACCACATATTAAATACCGTGTTTCCCTGAAAATAAGACTCTGTCTTATATATTTTTTTGAACCCTGAAATAAGCGCTTGGCCTTATTGCCATGCGCTCAAAAGCCCAATTGGGCTTATTATCAGGGGAAAACAGGGTATTTTTTTCCTATGCTGGGGATTAGCCAGATTTTAGTTACATTCTTCTCAACTGAGGGTTCCAATATGTGGCAATAAGAGTTGCTATCTATACAGCCAGAGACAGCTTTTGTGTTTCAAATAACCACACAGTGATAATGAGAAATGCTTTTTGTCACTTTAGCTCTTCAATGACTATCTGCTGAAATGTTATTTGCTATACAGCTATTCAAACTGAAGAAACTGTTCTGGATATTGGAGTCTAACATAGTTCCCAATAATTACTAAATGTTAATGTCAACTGTTTTATTATGTTTCCTTTCCTTTTGTTTCCTTTTTTAAGGAAACTCTTTATGACAGAGATTTGATACATCACTAACCACTATGCATATTCAAGATATTAGTTATTGATATAACAAAAGGTACAACAATAATCAGAAAGATATACCAACTTGAAGTATCAAGTTTATGAAGGAAAGATTTTCCTTACAGTACTTATTACAATCTTCTTGACATAAAGACGACAGAACCAATTTTCAAGCCTTATTAAAAGGCTACAACAACAGCTAACACACACACACACACACACACACACACACACACACAAATCTTTAAAAACACCAACATACATAGACATAACTAGGTCAACACATGTAGACAATCTTCTATGGATTTCTGGGGTGGGGTTTGCCAGGAAGGAGTATAGCACTTTGAAATTAGGGGATGTTAAATCTATTCCTTTACAAAAGTCAGATTTGCTGAGATTTTTAGACGTCTATCAATTATTACCTGCTTTAGGGATGGGGAATCTGTTAGAATTAAGATTTTGATTATGAAAATTAATGGATTCTAGTTGATTCCAGATAACAAAGGAAAATTTTCTGGCATAGACAGCAAATGTTTGTTTGTGAACTTCTTCTTCTAAATCCTTGGTATATACCAAGCTGAAATAAATAGAGACACCTGCAGAAAAACTCATTTTTGGACACTGTTAAGATCTCATTACATTTTCCCACCACCACTGGGAATACCACTTAGTGATATCCAGTGGAACTTTTCCAAGTGACTTGGAACCTTTCGAGTTCTCATTAAATAGAAGAATGTAGAACCTAACTAAGGTAGTTTCATGTGACATGCCACCAAGATCCTTTGAGGGCAAAATTTATTGTAATTGTCTTGACTTGGATTCTGCAGTTTTGGCAATTAGATAGTAGTTGAGTCCAGGAGAGCTTCAAGGCATAACAATGCGTTCAAGGAACTGTATAGAGTTCAAATAGACATTTATTTGGTCAAATGTTGCGTCTCATGGCTTATTCAGGTAATAGAAAGGGAGTGTTTAGCTAGATCCAGGTGTTTATACATTTCTTCTTAAAAGCAGGAATAGTAGAATTTTAGTTAAAGAAAATAAGCAAACATCTTTCTGGGAAGGGTGCTTGAGCTGTTGGTAGATAATCAGATCCAGACAGTCTTGAATAAAATTGACTTTTAACAGAAGTATACCTTGGCCTTGGTCTTAGTGGTCTTGGCACTAAATGTGCCTTGATTAGGTGGTGGGATAATACCCTCTCTTTACAAGCAGAGAAATGTGGAATTCTATAGGACCTTTCAAGTGTTTCTAATACAATCAATTATTTTGGAGTGACTGAGTTAGGTCTATCTCTAGACAATGCTACTGGGGAATTTCTGCTCAAGGCTATATCATTTAAATGGCTTTGGTGCCATACTGTTCAATGTTTACATTAAACTGCTGGGGGAGATCATATGAAGTTTTTAATGAAGTCCCATCAATTTATTGATAACCTGCAGTTCTGTAGCACCCTATCAGTTTCAGGTAGATTAGTTAATGTAACACTTCAGTAATGGGGTTTATTGGATAAAAGCCAGTAAATCTAGCCTCAACCCAAAAAAGATGGAGTTTTGTTAATGGACGGTAAACAATTTAGGTGAATAAGTGACTCATGTTCAGTCAAAATGATTAAAGCAATATTATTCCCCCAAACTGTAAGCATTGCTCTTTTTAGCTCTGCATGCAATGCCATGATGCATGTATGAAAGGAGCTGTGCTTGTGTCATGATGTTGCTTTTGTCATTTTGTAGATGCTACGTAACTTTTTAAAATAATTAAATATGAAATATGTCAGTACACATAAACATACATCTACATCAATAAACAAGAACCCTACAGTAAGCATTTTATGGTTTCAGATGTCAAATCCAGCAGTAAACAGAGACACAGAACAAAACTAAGGAATGACATAACTGCAATCCACAGAAGGAGAAGCATAATGCAGAGATGTGGTCAAAGCGCTGTACTGATACCAAACTTACAATGCAGCTTCTTTTTCTTTCTTTTCATTGGATCTTTCAATTTCTTCAGAGTTTTCATGGGAGTTACCCAAAATATTCTTTCTGAATGAAAAAGGCAACTCATTTTGAGATTCTTTGGTATAAACTACTCTTTATCGTTTCACTTCAAGCAGTAAATACATTTATGAGTGCTACCAGGAAACTTTTTAATATAAATGTTTCACAGATTGGCACGTGGCAAGAGTCATAAAGAGCACTCAGAAATGGGAAGTATTTCTAGGGTCCTCGTTCTACACCACAGCATCACATTCAGCTACAATATTGTTGGAATTGCTTTCTGATATTTATCATTTCTGCTCATCTTTGCTAGAAACAGTTTCCCTCACTAATTCCAACCTTGTCCTAAATATCGATTCAGCTATATAATTTCACCGATAAAAGTCTCCATGAAGCTCCATATTTCCATGGAGAAAGTAGTGTATCCAATCTAGAAGGAACGTTTTATTGGATACTCTACACAAATACTACTTATGTGTTCAACTCCTCTACAATTTTCTCCATTCTAGACTCTTCCCAAAAGGCTTCTGCAATGGCAGAAATTGCAATCATGTCTAATTCAATGTAGGTACAATATGAATTGGTGTTAGCTGTGACACCAGTATTGGAAGACAGTGGAGTAATTAAAAAGTATTATTCAATTTTAAAGACATTATTTTCCCATTGGCAAAAGTACAGGTAGTCCTCGACGTACAACAGTTCACTTAGTGACCATTCAAAGTTACAATGGCACTGAAAAAAAGTGACTTATGACCATTTTTCACACGTATGACTGTTGTAGCATCCCCATGGTCATGTGATTTACATTTGGATAGTTGGCAACTGGTTCATATTTATGATGATTGCAGTGTCCTGGGGTCGTGTGATCATCTTTTGCTACCTTCTGGCAAGCAAAGCCAATGAGGAAACCAGATTCACTTAATAACCGTGTTACTAATTTAAGAAGTGCAGTGATTCACTTAACAAATGTGGCAAGAAAAAAAATTGGAGCAAAACTCACTTAACAAACTTCTCACTTAGCAATAGAAAATTTAGGCTCAATTATGGTCGTAAGTCGAGGACTACCTGTATAGATGAAACACGTAGAATAGCTAATCAGAACAAGTAACAATGACAGCCATAGTTTCCTCCTCTCTAAATCCACACACCATTTCTTATGTAAGCACAAACTAAGATCTATGAAATACCTGTTTGCAATAGCCTGCTAATTCATTGAAGGAGGCATGAGGCCTACAGCTTCATAATTGCTATCTTAGCAAGGCATTACATTATTAATTCATCTTAATGATGTTCTTAGCTTGCCCATTATTATAGTCATATTCTTCTTCAATACAGAAACCTTTTATGTATCTATTTAACTTGCAACTGACAAGTGAGCTAACAGCAGTAAGAAAACATTGCCATAGTTTCTCTCAAATGTTTAACAAAAACATTGTGGTTCATTTAAATTCTTCTGAAATTGATTTGTTAATTTTTAATTTTAACATAGACAAAAACACTACTGAAAATGACAAAAAAAAAAAAAAATCTAAATGACCAAATACCACATGTGTGTATTTACAGTGATGGAGAATAAATACAAGCAATTATAGAAATACAGGTGGTATTTTAATTTATGTGTACAACTGTACACACAAGTAGAAAATTTGCAATATGTGGAACTGGGCTTTATTTGATTGATGGTTTAAAGCATTATAAATAATTTCACATATAATATTACCCTCAAAAGACAATATAAATAAATACCATGCATACGTGAGACATTATTTAATTAGATTTCACAGTCTACTCAAACTACTTGGAAAATGATATAACATAGAATTTTTAAATGTTAACTGGTTGTATCTCTGGTTAATATACAGTATTATTCTCATTACTAAACCAGTTCTCCCATCACCGTTAAAGGTTTAATTAATACTGTATATGTCCCTTCAAGGTCACTGTTTGCAGAACTGTGTAGCGCTTAGAATTACAAAAGCTTTTTTTTTTCTAAAGCAATCTTTTTATCAAGACAGCTCCAAGTAATATTATGCTAAACTAGGTATTTTTTCTATGCATGACTTTATTTTTCAATAATGAAAACTAAGGGGGAAGGAGATTAACTCAGTCATTCATCATAATTCTCTGTCTTCAGGCACACACTTTTCAAATAAATCTTTTTCTCAAGATTTAAACATTTTTCCAATAACCTACTGAGGAAAAGGTCATGAATTTGATGGCACATAGTAGTATGATCCACCAGGGAATTTTTATGATTTTAATGTTTAAATTATATTGAACTCAACTACCAATGGGCGAGATGATCCTAGGGTTTTTTTTTACTTCAACTGTATGGAAATTCATAGCTCCAAAGAAACCAGCTATTCAATTATAGCCTTTCCCCAGAGCTCAAGATATTCTTACTTGCTCTCAGAATAGAGGCAAAAGTGCCTGAAGTTTATCATTTTTAAAATATGATTAAATCATGACTCTATTCTGTTTCATAAGCACAAATCTTGGCTGAGCCCAGAAATTTCTTTCCAATTTTAGTTTTCTAGATAACAATGTGTGTGTGCTCACACATGTGGTACAGATATACATATGTCTATGTATCTGTATACATGCCAGGATGTGTGCGTGTTTGTTCAGTGAAGTTCTGCTGACACTGAGATAAAAAGATAGGTTTGTTAGGATAATGGTCCTTTAGGAGGTTGGAGAACACTTCACATCAGCATAGGAGATAATATTGGGGTCTTGGCTAATGAAACTAGAGAAGAATAAAGAACACATGAACTATACTATTCATCCATTTACCATGGTAGAATTGTTCTTTTAACTGAAGCAAAAGCTCCTTTTACAATATATATATAGGGTAGACTAGTATTTTTCTTAAGGCATACTTAATTAAGGAAATGCTCAGTTCATAAGGTCTATTTGATATGTTAACATGGCAAGCCTTCTTCATGTAACTATAAATCAGATACATATACCAAAAACAGTAAGTTTATAAGGACAGCAGGGATTGTCTGCAGCTGTCCATTTTTGCAAATCATGTCAAAATACATATTTACTCCTTTCAATGCATGAAATTATAAATGTTCTCTATTCCCTAAATTTCATCATAATAAAAAACTATTTCTTTAGAATTTGATGGAATTGTTTCAGATATTATAGGATATTTATGTTTTGAGAAGTAGTTTATAGAGAAATACTTCATTTAAAGTTATCATTTTAAAGAATATTTTTGCTAGAAATCTTATGCATCTGATATAGAGAACTACATTACAAAATGAGCATCAAAGCCAGAAATATTCTGGCATAGTGGAACACAACATGCTTATAATATCAACATTCACTCAAACTGAAAGAAAATTTAGAGATTCAATCATGGGGATCAGGAGCATTAAGCATATAAAGAGGATATTTTAACTCCATCATGTCATGCTCCTTACAAACTTTCATCCCATTGCTTGAAACTTAATACTATTTTACATCTTTATATGATAAGAGTTTTCTGAATGTCTCTTCTAATTCAAGAAAATTCAATATTCAGGGGAAAAAAGCCTTAAGAATACCAGTCAATAAGATTTTTGAGCAACAGGACAAAAAAAAAAGCAGCTGTCATTTTTTTTGTTCAGTAGTTTTGCTAACACTTTGGAAAGCATATAAAACATTTATATACCATATCTAACCATGTGAAAAACAGTAGCAAGATAAACACAAATAAGGGAATAAAATATAAAGAAGTTGAAGGTGGTTTATGCAGAAATCAGCAACCTGGAAGAAACTATGCAATTGCAAAAGTAACTCAATATGGAGGAGCAGGTAGTTACTGAAAGCAATTCTAGCAGCTGGGACATTAAAGAGGTATTTGATTCAAAGGAGAGTTTTTGCTTAAATGAGATTGCTGGATGAAGAGAATAGAAATGACAGAAAAGAGAACAGAAATGAATTAGAAACAAGGAATACAAATAAGCTTGTTTACTTTCTGTCCATGTCTGAGGCTGCAGCATAATGTAAAGCTGTTCGTCCCCAGTCATCAGTTTCATTAATATTGGCCCCCGCAGTTACCAGCATCTCAATACATTGAAAATGACAATTTGCAGCTGCATAGTGCAAAGGTGTTCTGCAAAATAAATAGAAACATATTAGCCAAGGCACTACTTGAGTAACAGGATACGGTTATGTTAACTGTTTCTGACAGCAGCGTTACTATAGGGAGAATCCATTTCGAGATACAACAGCAGTATTTAATTGAATGCAGAACATATTCTTTCTTTTTCAGTGAAGATTTGAAATAAGTACACAAGAAATGGCTAAGAATTGAACAAACAAAAAGGGTAGGAAGTGCTATTCAGCTAACTATAAACAAAGAATAAACCATAATAAACCACTGGCTTATTGTAAAAATAAGTAAGATTTGTTATAAAGGAAAACATTATACAGAAGCTGTTGTTATTGTAGTTAGAAGATACTCATATGGCCTTTATTGCATGCCCAGTGAAAAATTAATGATTTAATTTTAGGGGAAATACTTTCAGAAGGTAGGATAAGTGCATTGTTTCCTCTTCCAGATGACAAAAAGTTGCTTGGTTAAGGTGCAAAAATACAAGGGATAACTCAAGAGTGACTAGAAGAAAGTTAAAAAACTGCTTAAATAATGACAGAGACAGAGCAATGCTCTATTCTACACTTAATCTTTTTATACTGAATTATTATTTCTGCCATATACTGTGTTTCCCCAAAAATAAGACCCTGTTTTATATTTTTTTGACCCCTGAAATAAGTGCTTGGCCTTATTGCCATGCACTCAAAAGCCCGATTGGGCTTATTATCAGGGGATGTCTTATTTTGGGGGAAACAGGGTAGATGAATTCTGGTGCAAAATAATATAGAACTAAACTATTTAAATCTTACTAGGAAAGGGGAAAGAATATACCATTAATATAGCATGCATCTCTCTCTTTTAGGATTACACTTTGGACAGGAAAGGTTTATTTCCTATGAAGGAAGTTGTAACCTTATACAGTAATAAACATAGCCATTGCTGTCATATGTCTCAGTCTTAATTCTATCTTGTTATGTTTGCACTTCACCTAGTTGGTATAGTATAAGTAAATTTATTATTGCTGTTGTTATTATACAATCTCAAACTTTTACTTTTACTTTGAGGAGAGGAGAGGGGAGGGGAGGGGAGGGGAGGAGAGATTAGGACCAGTTAATCTACATCCTTCAATGGATTCCCAGTCTGAAAACAACCTATTTCCCTGTTGCCAAACAGAGGTCTCCTGCATTATCAGTCAAAAGATACAGTGCAAACATTATATTTTTTTCCTCCCTGACAGATTTCCTCAGAATAAAATATGACAGAAAAATGATGGGAAAGGACAAGAGGATTACAAACTAAGAATGTTCACATCTGAATTCAGTGCTAATCCCACAAACGAAGAAGGATAAGCAATTGAGCAATAGCAGCCTTATCTGAAATGCTATGTGATATTCTTGATCTTGCCGGAAAATTATTGGTATTAAGAATTGTATTACATGTTTTCCAAAGATGAAGTTTGGCAGCCAAGCATGAGCTCCTCTTAATCCTGCTCAGTTAATTCCAGCATCATGAAACTAAGATCTAGACTTCCACATTGATTTTTGAAGTTTTTATTAAGTTACAAACCTTCCATATTTGTCTTTTTTATTTACATCTGCTCCACTGCTCTGCAAGAGTTTCACACACTCAACATTGCTGAAAAGATACAGAAAGAAAAGGATGCATAAATAAAATAAAATAGTGCTGATGAGGAAAAAAGTCTAAAGTTTAAAAAAATCATGGTTAACCTTTTAGGAACTGGGAGCAACAAACTACAAGATAAAATGTGAGTAAAACATGAACAATTAGCCATTCATGACATGGTTCCAGGTTACTTCAGGAAACGTTTAATCTCAATGGGATTGGCCCACCCCACCCGTGCTGCCAGAGGAGGCATGCTGCAGGCCCTGTCAGCCAAGGAATTCCGGTTGGTGGGGTCCAGGAGAAAAGCTTGTCCTTTCGAACATCTATCTCTTTGGAGTGAGGACGGTTCTCACCAGTGGTGAAATCTAAAATTTGTTACTACCGGTTCTGTGGGCGTGGCTTGGGGGGGGTAATGTGACTGGGTGGATGTGGACATTTTAAAAAAACTTTTAAAAACATTTTTTCTGGCAAAGAGGTTGTAAAAAAATGCTTTCAAAAGGCTCTGATGATCCCAGCTGAGCCGTGCGATCATCAGAGGCTTTTTTTTTTTTAAAGCATTTTTTCGACTTGTAGAAAAAATGCTTTTAAAAGTAAAAAAAAAAAAGCCTCTGATGATTGTGCAGCTCAGCTGGGCATGGGGGGGGGGAAAGGAATTTTTGCTACCGGTTCTCCAAACCACCCGCCTCCATCGCTACCGGATCAGGCAATTTGGTCCGAACCGGGAGCATTTCACCCTTGATTCCCACCCTCCTGACCTTCATGCAAGACTTTGAAGACTTGGCTCTGCCAGTTGGCCAATAGGACAACATCACACTGGAGGTGGTTTATAGATTAATAACAGATCCCACTTCTCCCCTACTTGTCCTATGCCCTCCCTCCCTCCCCATCTTTTAGTTATAGCTAATTTGTATTTTTATAGTGTTTTATTCTTATTGGATACATGTTGTTGCATTGTTTTTCTTTTTCTTTTTATCATTGTAAGCCACCCAGAGTCACCGCACAGTAAGATGGGCATCAAACAAATTTAATAAATAAAAATGAAATTAAGTGAGAAAACAGTGTTTAAGCATGTCTTCCTCAAACTCTAAAATATCATTTGTACTGGTTAGCATGTATAGGAACTGTTCACAAAGCCTTTATCAGAATGAACCAGTGCTCATTTTAGGTGACAATACAATCAGCCCGTGGAAAAGAAAGATTCAGAATTCACACCTGCATATGTGAGCCTCTGACTTGGGCATTACAAATCTAATCAAGAATTTTCAAAGGAAACAATCATGTGAAAATTTCCACACAGAGATCCCAATATGCCGTCTTAATTGCTGTCTGTACAAGGTTAAAAAATATTTGGCTCAAACTGAGAGCAGCTTCTAAATTTATGTACCAGCCCTGCATTATTAAAAACAGAGGTCTTGCTTCACTTATTAAGGTAGACTTGCTAATTTCTAATTAATTATTTTCTAATTAAGCTTCATCAACCATAAAACTATATGTTCTGAAAGTATTGAAGATGATATGATAGAAACATACCAAATAACGGCACATATTTCCTGTGATTTTTTGAGAATTCTAAAATTGGCAAAAAACCTTCTCCAGTGGGATGAACGTGCACACCATGGTAAAAAATTTGTATAGCATATTATTTTAATTCAACTCTCTGAAAAAATTTTTTTTTATTACTGTACTTTATGACTGGCCAAATATTGACTCACTGCTGTACTCAAACATTCTCTCCTCTCTGTGATATAGTGGTATGAATGTTAGCAAGTGCAAAGGTAAAGACATTCCAAAAATAATCTGAGTGTATTTAAACCAGTACTGTAAAGGCTTAACTTCATAGTCACTGTCACTGCACATTCAGAACTGATTGAACTGTTGTTTTGCTTGAAACAATGGAGTAGCTACTTAACAAAAAAACAAAATAATAATTTGTGGACATACACCTGTCAAGATTGCTATGGCAGTAAAGCTTTATTTTTTAGACAAGAATCCATCATGTGTTAGATCAGCCTTCTCCAACCTGGTACCTTCCAAATACATTCAGGTTTCTGAACCAGAATGGTCTTTTTATTAAAAAAAAAAAAGTATTTAAATTTCATTGCTTGATGCAACATAAGCAAATCTGCCTACTTAGGACAGGGGTGTCAAACTCGCGGTGTCAGGTTGTCGTCACATGACATATCGTGACTTTTTCTCCCTTCACTAAAATAGAGGTGGGGAATGGCCAGTACATGACGCATCTGGCCTGTAGGCCATGAGTTTAACACCCCTGATTTAGAAGGACACCTCACCAACATTCAGAGAATCTTAGTTCCAGTTAAATACATTTAGCAATATAACCCTAGAAACAGCTGTTAGTAGTTTACAGCTGAATCTTAACATCTTAATGTTTAGCATTTTTATTTATTATTTATGTATTATATTTTTATCTGGCCTTTATTAGTTTATAACTCAAGGCAGCAAAAATACATTAATACTCCTTTCCCCTCCTCCTTTCTCCATAACAGCAATCTTGTGGGAAACAGTGACTGGCTGGCCCAAAGTCTCCCAACTGGCTTTCATGCCTAAGGTGGGACTAGCATCAGTTCCCTGATTTTTAGGTCAGTACCTTAACTGTTACAGCAAACTGGTCCTCTCATGTGGCCAGCATACAAGAGCTTCATTCTAGATGAGTCCTAGTTATGCTTATTGCAATGAAAGCAAGGCAGGAATAGGAAGGAGCTGGCTTGCAGCTGCAATACCTTGTTTCCTTCCCATGTATGGAAGGACATGTCTTGCTGAATAGCTCAAGGAAGGAAGTCCCTTAGTCTCTTTTTTTTTTGTCCTGGCTAAAGAAGTAGACATTCCACTTTGATCCTTCCCAGATCTACTGAGATTGCTCTGTTCTCTATTACCAATACCTATCAGCCATGTTCAGAGTTATGATACATACTCTTAAAGAATCTTTTTCCCCCTGAACCTTTAAACAATTATTACTTAAAAACGTGAATAACAAGAGCATTCTTTTAAAATTAAATTAAATCACATTAGTCAGAAAGAACCACTGCACTCTATTCATTTTAACACTGCTTAATTTGTTCAAGACCCCTTTGACATGAAGTTATCCTGCACACAGCCTACTGTGATGAATGGAAACAGCATAAAAAGAAAAAAAAGCACAGCTCTGGATCATTTCAATACATTCATTATAAGGTGCAGGGGAACATTCTGGTGAGAAATGTCTTGAATGAGCTAAGAAACCTTGAAATAAATTTGATGCATCAGCTATTTCAAGTGTAACTAAAGGAATTAAGTTCATATTCTTCTTCAGTCAAGCTCTTGGCTGGAAGAACTTTGTGTTACTGTGCAGTCCATGTAGTCTGTGGCCTGCTTTTCCCACTCTCACCTCTTAAAACAAGTCTTCAGATGCATAAATTTTAGAATGGTAGAGGTTCATCCTTCTTTTTTATAGCTTGCCTTTGATACAAGGGAAGGAGCACTCTATTAAAAGGAGTGATTGGCTGAGGAACTATGAGTGTTTATTTTCTTTCCTGTCTGGCAACTCTGTTTTCCAGGACAATAATTTACAATTTGGCCTATATTAAAGAACAAAGTATGGGCTTCTCTGGTCTAGCCTGAATGTGCAAGGAAGAGAAATCCTACCCATTTAGGAGAGAAAATAAACAAACCTAGAATATAACTTTTGCCCTTGAATGCATGTCCATTTAGGGTGTTTGTGTGTATGTATGTGTTTATTACTATCTGGGCTAATTCAAATTTGCAAATGTAGAAACCTGAAAGAATTTTGGCTCAGTATAGGAATGGATATGAATACACTGTCCCTGTCCTGCTTATCCTTTATGGCACAGCAGCTGATTCTTTGCAATACACTGGAATGGCAACCCTTGTTTCTGGGTAAGGGGAAATGGTAAAGAGAAATGGCCCCTAGCCCCTGGGAAGGATCGCACAATGCCCCTACATGTCAGTGGATAAAAAGGGGCAAAAGAGAAGTGGCTCGATTTGGGCCTCATATCTCTTCTTTTGATCTCTTCCCACAATACTTGGCCTGTCAAAGCATTTTATGTAAGAGCCAGAACCTGCCATTAATTTGTAAAGATTCATCTTTACAAATGGGGTTTTCAGCACGATAAACTGCAGCGTTTGTGTGATGGGTTAGGAATACAATGACCAAAAAAGGAAGAAAAATCAGTTGAGGGCAAGGAAGCCTAGTCTGCGATAGGGGAAGAGTGATACCTACTTAACTGAAGCAAAACAAACATAGTTTGTTATGTGCAAAAAGAGGTGGGTTTTTCCCCCTCTAAAGTGAGGTTTGTGTGTGTGTGCGCGCACACTCATGCATTCCACACAAAACAGGGGCCTCATAAATTACAGTAGTTTTTGTGTCGTTTTGTTTCTCTTTGGGAAAAAGAATTGCAGGGAAACCACAGGGCTAAAATTACATATATCTATTGCAGTTGTAATTTCAAAACTACTCACCCTCCTGCAGCAGCAGCATGGAGGCACGTCCTTCCAAATTTATCTGGGGTGTCTATATCAAAGCCTGCAGACAGCACGTGCTCATTACTAAACAAGGACACTATGCTATACTTTTGTCCTAGTTAAACCGCAAGAAACATTGCAGAGACAGAAAAATCAGTTAGTCAGAAAAAAAAAATCAGAATGAAGACACAACTGTAGTCAGCAAGAGGTTGTTATGGAAACGGACAGTGGCTGTTCAAGCTTGGCCGCTACAGAAAAAAAAAAGAACCATAAAGTCAAAAAGAATCTATTTTCACATCCACCCCATTGCTATTGAAGTATTTAAATCATGCAGCAGGCATTTCAGGGGGAGACTTTCAAGAGAAGTGACAGCAGGCATGAAGGCAGAGAGCTCTGTGAGGAAAATGAGGAAGTCACAAGAATTGCCTCAGCATGCATCAAAGAGAGTTTTTATTTACTAATGGCTTCAGATTTTGCACGGGAACAGGAAATAATCACTTTCTAGAGAAGGACAGATATTTTGTATGGAGAGCAGCACATTTTTTTACTGCAGCAAAAACCTAATAAAATCCACAATTAAGGAGGGGGTGGATCATCTCTGTGAAATTGCAAAAAAGGAGAAATGATTATCAATTCCCTTAAGGCAACAGACACAAGGATGTCGAATTGACTTCTGTCTGCTTCTTTATCTGCATTATCTCCACCTCATTCCTTCACCAGAAGTTGAGGGGGGCTTCTGCCATAGAGAGATGGAGCAATGGAAAATGGCCAAGGCCACAAATTGTTTGAAGTGACTAATAAAAAAAAAACTGAGCCTCACTTAAGATATTCTACAGCTCCAAAATTAGATTTAATGTTTGTTTAGTATAATGACGATGACAAAGATAACGAACTCAGAGATTAAAGAGTCTCATCATAATTCTCCCACACTTCTGCAATCTCATCCACTCTAGAGAATACAACTGCTCTAATATTGGCATTTGAAAATGCAATCAATCACTATCTTACTAAAAATGTCTAAAAATGTACTTGTAAAAGCAACTTCCATTATCCTTCCTTTGCCATACTGTACTGATTTTAACATTAATGGACAAAATAACAAATGCTCCCTCTACAGAAAGGCGTCTTGTAAGGATTAGAACTGATGGTAGATTTTGCCCAATGGAGGACAAGACCTAGTTGGTAGGCCAGACCAAGGGACAGCTGCTTCACTAATTTTGGAGAGCAAGTAGGCACTTGAACTAGCCCATATTTTGGGAAACTGATATTCCAAAATCAAAGAGTAGCATATTGGGCTTGGATAGTAAAAACAACCATTAATTCTGTTGTCTTCTTGTTCATCAAAAATGGAGATGAAAAATTGCACATAGAGTCCCTGAGCATTGCTTGTTGTAAGTCTGGTCCTCCCATATAGTCGAATTAAATTGTCCTAATTTATGACATCAAAAATATTTATGAGACAAAAAATAACTATATGTAGCCTCCTTTAATCTAGTTTATTAGTTATGTATTTCTATAGGACTGCAGAGCGCCACACAAGTCAATAATAAAAGCCAAGTGACATTGAAATTAGAAGTTTAAAATAAGATTAAACTCTCCACAAAGGATATGGTAACAAAACAAGTGAAGGCTACTAAAAGGGACAACCTGATTTCCTGTTTATATAATGCATTACATTTTTGTCTTGAATCTGGGAACCAAAAAAGAAACAGCCTTACATATGTCTACTCTAAAGTAGATTCTATTGGCTTACTATTAAACTAGATTTGTTGAGAATTTTGGTTTATTAAACAGTAACAGTCAAGCAAGCTAGTTCCTACGTCACAGATATTCCTATCTTGAAACCTATAAGCCAGAATGGAAAAATAATCAGAAACATACCAGCCATAGAAAGCTTAACATTGGTGGTGAAATTTGCAAATCCTCTAACAAGCCAGAATAGTAAATAAGTTATGAAACTCAAACTTTGCAATTTGGGTTTGGATGTAAAGTTAACCTTATTTTGACTGACAGAAGTCATCGTCATTTGCTTGAGATAACCAGACGCAGCTGGAGATTTAGTAAATTCCTGGTGGTGAGAAGAACTAAGAACCAAAATTCGCACAAACCTGGTTTACACTGTGGCAAATTATTGAGAAAGAGCCAGTTTATTACCAGGTAATCAGGTAGTTGTTTCATAAACAAAAAGCTCCTTTGATTCATAAAAAGGATTTCAGTTTAACAAAGGTTTGTTCAATGTTGCAGCGGTGTTCCTCCACCCACAATCAAGACCCATAGAGTTGCTCTCCACCTTGTCCCCTCTGCTTGTAGATTTTGTAAGGTTCCGCAGATAGAACAGCAAATGACAAAAATCACTCCCTCTTTTCCTCCAGAAATAGTACAATATCCTATAACAGGTGCTCGAATGACCATTCTCTATGGCCATTAAAGAAGGGGACAGCATTCAGCATGCTTTAAACACAGACAATGCATAAAACAGGATTGTGTACACAGTCAAATAGGAACACATAGATTTGCACATATAAGCATACAACAGCATGTGTTTGAAACAAAATGTAAGGCCTTGACTTGCTAAGTACACGGACATACATTAGTGACACATAACCAGCTCATTCACGAGGTTAGTTTTATATTCTCTTTTGCCTTTGCTTACCTGATGAAAGCAACTTCCTACAGCAGTCAGCATGTGCATTAAGTGCTGCCAAGTGTAAAGGAAACATGCGATGGATGCCACATCTGCAAAGCAAACAAACAAACCTCTGATATAAACATTTCTTCAAATAAAGTTTGTAGACCCGTCTCTCCATATATGTCTCTCTTCTACATCTATTTGCTACAGGAAAATTTGGGTTTATTTCAGAGTGATAAGACGGCAATATGTTTTCTAGTGATATATGGTAAAGCTTTACAAACATTTCCTAAATAACAATCCCTTCCAGAACCAATTTATAATCTCCCTGTCATACAAATATGTACAGGAATAATCTACTGGGATTCATTAGAACATTACATAATATCCAGGTTACGTCTTAAAAATTTCCTATCTGAATATAAATAAGTCAAATTTAGTTATTTACTCCTTCATCCCCCTACACATAATTATCTCAGATAATGTCCTTCCACTTTGCTTCTTCAAGCATTCTATTAGCAAAGCTTCTGCTTCTGGATGCCAATCTGGAAGGACACAAAGTGATCTTGACAAAGAACAATTCAAATTTTCATTTTAGGTCCCAGATATATTATCCCATCCTGACATTGATGTCTACCTAATGATTCCAAGCCGGATTCTCACTTCACTGGACATCTCAGGCACTGACAGAGGTGTTTTATTTGATCAACATACAGGTCATTGAAGCATGAAATAGAAATTTTGAGCGGATAACCTGGATTGCTGAACCCTTTTCTCTCACTGATGTTCATTTCTATCTTCAGCAGTTAGAAAAGGAATGGATTAAAATTCATATAGAAATAAGCCCAAAATATTGTAGATCGTATCCTTCTAAACCTTCTTTCTGTATCTAAACAAATAATAACCATTTATGGTATTTTTTTTTACCAGAAAGAAAATATAGCAATAGTTCTGAGTTGTAGACTCCAATCATATTATAATATTAGGTATAGAAATGGTAAAAGTTGAAATATAAATATATTTTAATTTGTATTAATTACAACTGTAAACAATTTGTTGATCCTGTCTTGCTATGGACTTTAGTCAAAGCTACTGGTGTCATACAGAATTAATGGGTTTAACAAATTAAAAAGAGTCCAGCAACCATTAATCCACCTTAAATATTTACAAAATATTGTCAACTATTGCTAAATAGGCCATTTTCCCAATCCAAAGTGATGATGCACTCTAAAATTAATGATATAACCAGTGGTGGGATTCTGTCAGTTCTAGGCGGTTCGGTCAAACCATTTGTTAAATTGCTGGCTCGCCCCGCCCCTTACCACCACTATTTATTGCCAATAAATAGTGGTAGGCGAGGGGCAGGTGAGCCAGCAATTTAACAAACGGTTCGGTGTTTTTTTATAATTTTATTGGCCCGCGGAGCTTCAGCATAGGCTAATTAGCCCGTTGATTAGATCAGCCTTCCAACTCTCAGCTGATTTGCTCTCAGCTGTTTTGCTCAGGGCTCTACTGCTTGCTTGCAAAGTGCTGGAGCAGATTTTTACCCCTTAGCTATGCTGAAAAATGAAACTGAAAGTAAAGCAGGCTGTTGGCTTTGCTGTTTGCTGCAACGTTGGAAAATTACGCAGGCAGATTTCTTTTCTTTTTCCTCACCAAAAAAGGTAGGTGCAAACAATGGGAAATTTAGGGAAAAAGAGGAGAGTTCAAGATTTTAAAACACAAAAGAAAAAAAGCTCTATTTAACTAGGGAATTGTAATAATTGAGATACTATTAATTGTATATTGTGTTGAAAGCAGAAATGGTTAAGTTGTGGTTTGGAGGAATATATGGGCGAAATTATTTGGTTTATTATTATTGGTAAATATAATTAATTGATTTGTAAGAAATTGGATTGCATGGAAATAATTGGAATATTCATGTTCATATTGATTAATATACAAAAAATATAGTTATATAACTAATTGGTTTATATTAAAATGTTGAATTTATATTAAACAACTGTAATATTACATAATTAACCAATGTGAGGATGGATATAAAAATAGATGACAATGCGAAGGGGTATAGTATAGAATAGAAGGGAAAAATTGAATTTGATTAAGATTAGGGATGAGGATGAAGGGTAATATTAGTTTTTTTAAAAAAAATAGATTAGGAATAAATATGGCAAAAAGGAAATATAGAAACTGTAAATTTAATTGAAATGACTAAACACTGTTTAAATTTGTGTACCGGCCAAATACTCTGTTCAAAGAAAATACATTGTATGTTTGTATGTGTGTTTCTAATTATTGCTATTTATTCATATTTGTTCTCTTTTATTCTTTAAAGTTTAACAATTCATTCTTTATCTTAATATCTTTATATTTGTTTGGGGTTGCCTTTCTTCCATTTCATCTTTTTTACTGTACAGCAATCTTTCTCCTCAAACCTACCACCTCTCTCTTTTCTTTCCTTCTTACTTTCTCCCCCCTCCCGTTTCTTCTCCCTACTTCTTCTTCCTTTCTCCTTCTCCTCTCTTCCTCCCTCTCTTACCCTCACTCCTACTCTAATTTCCCTTCCTTTCTCTTCCTTCCCTCTCTCTCCTTCTTTCTTCCATCTCTCTTCTCCTTCCTTCATCCCTCTCTATTGCTGTATCCTTTTGTGCATATGGATTACTCAGAGGGCTGAAAAAGTTATTTTTGACTGGTCCTCGCACTTTTGACCACTCCTCGAACTTATGACTGTCCTCACATTTTACATTTTTCGTCCTATCTTGTCACCTTGGTGAAGAGAAGCAGTTGTGAAATGAGTGACACGGTCATTAAGAATGCTACAATGGGCATAAATGATGACCAGTCATAAGGGTGAGGACCAGTCAAAAGTGCAAAGATCTGTCAGAAATCACATTTTTCAGCCCTCTGGGTAATCCTTTTGTGCATATGGACTACTCAGAGGGCTGAAAAATTTATTTTTGACTGGTCCTCGCACTTTTGACAAGTTCTCGAACTTACGACTGTCCTCACATTTTACGTTTTGCGCCCTATCTTGTCACCATGGTGAAGACAAGTAGTGGTGAAATGACTGACACAATTGTTAAGAATGCCGCAACGGCCATAAATGTGAGGAAGGTCATAAGTGCGAGGACCGGTCAAAAATGTGAGGACCAGTGAGAAATGACTTTTTTCAGCCCTCTGAATAATCCCTATGTGTATATGGACTAGTCAGAAGGCTGAAAAAGTTACTTTTGACCGGTCCTCGCACTTTTGACCAGTCCTTGAACTTACGACTTCCTCACATTTTACGTTTTGCGCCCTATCTTGTCACCGCGGTGAAGAGAAGTAGTGGTGAAATGACTGACACGGCTGTTAAGAATGCCACAACGGGCATAAATGTGAGGATGGTCATAAGTGCGAGGACCAGTCAGAAATGACTTTTTTCAGCTCTCTGAGTAGTCCCTATGCACATAGCCACGCCCACCTGGTCACATGACCAGCTAGCCACACCCACCCAGTCACATGACCACCAAGCCACACCCCCAACTAAGCCACACCCACAGAACCGGTTGTTTAAAAAATTGAATCCCACCACTGGATATAACTTTACATTTTAGAATATTACTTCTTCAGCAACTTACTTGGCAGCATCAGCTCCACTGGTTATTAAGGTATTAATCAAAAGTTCATGTCCATATCTTGCAGCCACATGGAGGGGAGTGTTGCCATCCTTATCAACACAGTCAATTTCACCTCCTGGATATGTCATTTGAATATGAAAATATTACGTAAGGATCAAATGTAATTTAATGGAAAAACTAACACATTATTTGCAAGGAGTAGAGAATTTCACCCAAACAGCCAGTAGAAGATATGACACAACTGCCTTTTCACTATTTACAATATATTATTTGAGATAGAAATATGAAAACATTAGCAATGAATTTATTGAATTACTTTACTATATATTACTAATCAAGAAATTCTACACTATTAGATCTAGTGCTATATATCCTGAAAGGGCAACCAAAGTACATTACCATACAATTTTGATACTGGTACACAAAAACAGCTAACAAGCCTTAACAAACCATAATTCCACACAAATAGAACACATTATGACTTAATATGATGGCCTGATCACCATAACACGTTAAGGCAATGGTTGGGTTCCCTGAACATTATGAACTACAAAGTACCAAATTCCATCAATGAAGGACTTGACCAATTCAAAAAAAAAAAATAAGACAATTCTTTCAGGTGAAAAGCTGTGGCATTTTAATTTCTCATACAATATCTTACTTAAATGAAACAAAATTATAAATTGAAATCAAGAGTACCAAGACAAAAGGGGGGAAATACTTTGAATCAATATGACAGGATGCATGTCCAAATAAGAGTCACAGGTTAGGTTAGTGGGCCTTTCCAGCAAAAGCCACATTTGGCCTTCAAACACCTTCCTTAAGAGTTAGGCTGCATCCTCTCCAAGGTAATGAAGAAGTTTATGTGATCCCAACTCGGCTTGTGCACAGAAGTTGTGCCTTAACCCCAGCCAAAAATATTTTTATTGCAGCAAACATGAATTATGCACTTTTAGAATGTTACAAAGATTTCAGGGATGTTGACAATTTCTGTGCATTTTGAACATGCTGCATGTGTGTCCTGCATTTACAGGTAGTACAAAATAGTACCCTTAAATACTTGTAAATTTTCACCTGTTCAACTGAATGCATATTTAGAATTCTTATGTTTTACAACATAAATTTTAAAGGCAGAATTTGTAAGACAATAAGTTCAAAAGTGAATTTGAATAAATAGAAGTTTATATAACACAGATTCTGGTCCTACCCATCTCCATTTTTATTTAGGCAAGCATTTTGCGAGAACCCAATCTAGAAGTTTCTCTAATTAATTTACCAGGTATGTAAATCTGACAAATAAATTAGCTGATTTTCAGAATTTCCCATGAATTTTTAGTCAACTCATATTGCTCAATGTATGTTTTCCTTTCTTTTTTCTTTTTGCTAACAAAATTCAGAAATTCATTAGTCTGCTTCTGGCTTGCTAGTATTTCTACTGCTTTGCCAGTTATACTTAAACTATAATGAGATTACTGTATTTTTATTACACAATTCAGTTCCACATGAAACAGAAGAAAGATTTTTTCTTTCAAAGCAGGGATCTGTAGGTCCCTGCCATCCTCAATATTTTTATAATTAAAAATATTACTAAAACTAAGAACAATATTTAGTCCCTATGGATTAGTATAAGAGGCCTAATTTTTTTAAAAGGGTGAATTCAGACTTCTGATAAGAGCAATCTATTCCTTCTCTGAACAGAACAGGATGACAAAAAGCTAAAGAGAATGAGAAAGAGAGAGAAATTATCTCCCACCCAGGGTGTTTGATGTAGATTTTCTGGTCATTCATAGTAATAAACTATATAGTGGACTAAATTCTCACTGTGATTTTTTTGGCTGTATTTCCTTTTAAACTGATATCCATGTGTGTATGTATCCATATCTACAATATATGTCAAACATATATTTTCTCTTTCTACTGTTTCCCCATGTTATCAGGTAATATTTCTTACCTGATTATGGTAATCTCATTGATCAATACCAAACCTAAACATGCTGCAAAATTCTTATTTAGATTTAAGCAAACAGATATCTAGGTTTTTTATTTAAAAACCATTTCCTTGGTAAAAGGCAGTAGATATTATTAGGACTTAGGGCTAAAACTGTTTCCAGTTTGTAATGTCTTTCTGATAATTCATCATACTAACAGCTTGGACAGCATTCAAGTAGAAACAAAGACTTTCTTAATGAGAACATCATGACCTGGAATGAACCTTATTAATGATATGATGGCAAATGGAGAGAACTCAGGGCAGTACTATTTTTGGTAACAAAACCTGCATATGCCAGAATTTTTAGTTTCGCTAAAAATATTTTTCTAGTATTTTCCTGACTTTATAACCTAAGATTTCTATATCTACCACATTCATTTTGGCAACTTTGTCAGAGATGAATCAACATATAAATTTAATCACGAGAACTTCTCCATATAACAGACCAATTAAAAAATAGTAGTTTTACACCAGATTTATGGACATTCAAACCGTGCCCTGCTTATTTATATCTTCTTTGGAGATGTTCTGCAACTGTCTGCAAACTCAATGAACATTAAAAAAATAACAAGAAACTAAAAATGCCTAACCCTAACCTTATAGACAATATTCTCTCCTCCCTCTATCTAGTGGGTCTTTGACAATTTCTAGAAGGGTTGCTAATTTTTGCTTAATTGCCATTGCTGTGGTTTATGATTTTACCCTGCTGATGTCTTAATTAAGTATAGAATCTAGTTGAGTTCATTTTATTACTTATTATTTTTCTTCCTAGTCATTTCAGTTGTCTCAGACTATAAATAAAGAAATAAATAAGGTACAATAAAATTTAAATTGTTCTATTTTTCACTCTTGCTTCTTTTGGACTGTATATCCGAAAGAAAGAAAATATACAATTGTTCATTTTTCTAAAAAGATGAAAGGTTAAAACTTGACAAAATTAGTAAAGATGCTTTAAAATGATACAATATTAAAAATACTATCTTACCATTCTGAATGAGAGTTTGTGACCGTGTAAACCTCCCATGGACAGCTGTCATATGCAGTGGGCTTTTCCCATCTTTACTCTATCAAACAAACAAAAAAAAAAAAACATAAGACAGACCACACCTATTGGTAGTGAAGTGCTTATTTCCTTTAAGGTGCTCGTTTAGAAATAAAATGGCAACATTAGACACTTCCTAAACACACAGAAAAAAGGATGTTTATCAATCAAAATAATATTCAAAGCACCTTAACATTTATGGCTTGGTGAGCTTCTTTATAGAACAGAATAAAGTTTTTTACACTGTATTTGCCTCTTGATCAGGCCTTTGGGAATTTTTTAAATAAATAACTGGGTTCATGTTCTGAAAATATTTAAAATATAGAGAAAAGATGGTTAAGAAGAAATTAACATACTCTTCTAAGAAGAGACAGCATAGCAATAGCCTAATGAATCACATTCCCCCCACAAATCTTACTTTTTCTCCCCAACTCTAAATTATCTAGTGATATTATGAAACAAAAAGATTCAGGGATGGTTGCCAACCTTCTAAGTAACATTGCAAGAAAAGGTGGGGAAGAAGAAATATTTTCAGACTACAATATTGTAATTGGAAGTAATCCTGCTAAAGGATGGAGTAAGAAAGGAACATTTTGTTTCTGATCCCATTTGTGATATATAGAATACCTATAATGGGCAACATGTATAATGATGGCAGTATTTAAGAGAAGCTGAACAGCCCTTGGTTTCAATTCTTCGCCTATGAACCATGTGAAGGCCATCGCCTCATTTTTCTTTGTTCTCCATGTAAATTCATATCTATTTATTATTCACCTATTAAATTTATAAGCTGCCCATCTTGCTGTCCAGAGCGACTTTAATGTAACAGTTACCCATTCCAAGTGATTTTTGCACAAAAGGAATATGTCTAAATTGGAAAGTTAAAAATTCAATAGTCGTGATTTTTTCCCCTCTCCTTCAATAGTCATGCCTCCCATGCTGTTCAGAAAAGAAATGTACTCTGTATTTAACAGGCATACCTCAAAGCTCAGCATTTAGATGTGTAGGTGTAACACATAACCTTCACTTACCTGATCTCCGTTCCATTTATCTGCTGTTTAAAGATGTAAGAAATGGAAATCAAAAGGAAGAGATGTGAAACCTATAATTTTACCTGAATGTTTACATCTGCCCCATTATTCACAAGTAGTTCCAGACAAAGGGCCCCGTGAGTAGACGCAGCAGCAAAATGGAGGGGAGTGAATCCACTGTTATTAGGCTGATTGACATTAGCTCCATAGTCTATCAGCTCATTAGCCACAGAATCCTGCCCATTATAACAAGCAATATGAAGGGCAGTATTTCCATAGATGTTCATTTCATCAATCTGCAACGGCAAAAGATCACATGAAATCTCTCACATTAAGGCATTAGTTTTGTCTAGCCCATCCTCGTTGTGTGTTATTTCAATTTTTTTATTAGTATATCACAACATAAAATACAAAGGAAAATAAAAATGGGCAATGGGAGGGAAAAGGGAAGAGGAGAAAGTGTGGGGTAGAAGACGAAAAAGAAAAAAAAGTGTTGACTTCCGGCTCTTTTTAGCACACTAGAAAAGAACATTGCGTGTTGACTTAGCTGGAGAATTGCAGCACAAGGGTTTGTTATTAATTAACAAAATATAATCTAACTATAAAATACTATAAAATACTAACTATGCCATATGAGTTTGTGTAAAAGAAAAAGAGGTTCTAGTAAAGATAAAATGGTCCTTGATATTTCAAATAGAAGGTGATGCATTTATTTCTTCAAGAAAAATTATATCATACAAATAAAAGGTCTAAATATCACATGACTACATAAAACATATGAAAAAATAATTTCAACTTAATGAGTTCCCTTCTGTGGCTACAAATTTTAATCATTCATTTTTATGAATAAAGCAAAAAAAAAACACCAAAAAATGTTATACCCTCCACAAGGGTGCTCCTGAACTTGTTCTTATAATATTGATATCAAACTCTGAGGTTAGAACTATTATCTAACAAACAAAAAAGTGGAAATGTGGCCATTCATTTAAAGCAGGCCTGGAAGAATGAGATTATTTTAATTTGGATTTAAACAGGAGAGAAAATATGTTGTCACTTAAAGAGAGACAGATAGTGTACTGCATATTTCCATCTCAGCACTCTATTTCAACTCTATGAAATTTGTTCCAAAGGAAATATGGCTGGCCCCATGTAGTCTTCTTTATACAATATTTAAGACAACGTTGGAATTTTTGCTCTAGCATTTATAGTATAATTCCAGGGCCTGGCTGCTCCTTTGACTTCATTTTAAAATAATTTTTAAAAAGAACCTTAATTGTTATATTGTTATTGTTTTAAGGTATGTTGGTTTGATCTTTGATGGCTTTATTTAATGTTGCTTTATTGTTCTGTTACAAACTGTTTTGGGCTTCTCCAAGTAGAGAAATTGTAAATTAAAAATAACAAGATTTTTCTTAAAAAAAAAAAAAAAGAACAGGATTGCATTTTTTCAAGAAATTGGATCTTTCCCAGGCTTTTAGGTTTGCACAAAAATCTTGCATATTGCTTGTAAGTGCTTATCTTTGCTTAGATTCATTCAAACTTGGACATATGTTAGTTGGTGGCAGAAAAAGAGAAAAAGAAAAAGAAAGAAAGAAAAAAATACAAAAAATAGTATGGTTATCTAGGTTAAAGCTGTCAGTGCTGAAATAGATTATTTATATAATAAATTAAGGGAAATAATGAAGAAAATTTGTCCAATCATATAGGAGCAATCATCCTTATTTCTGTATAAGCATATATGGTCAGTTGTACATCACATGCTTCAGTGGCACCTCTATATGATATATTTTTATTATTATATCAAGTCTAAGGGACAAAGGAAGTTGGAGAATTACATTTGTGGCTGTCACTCTCAACAACTATCCATATTAATAAAGCAATAGCAATAGCACTTAGACTTATATACCACTTCACAGTGCTTTACAGCCCTCTCTCAACAGTTTATAGAATCAACATATTGCCCCCCAACAATCTGGGTCCTCATTTTACCAACTACGGAAGGATGGAAGGCTGAGTCAACCTTGAGCCGGTGAGACTCGATTTGCCGAACTGCTGGCAGTCAGCAGAATTAGCCTGCAGTACTGCATTCTAACCACTGCTCTACCACGGCTCCACGGATAATATCATTATCCAGAATAATTAAAATAATTTATAATCCAAAGAATGGTTCATCAACCTTATCAAAGATAGCACACATTTTTAAAAGATGGCCATGCATTCATTCTATACAAGAATTAAAGCTTCAACAGTCAGGATTTACAACAATTCAATCTTTACTAGCTTGTTAAAAGTAGTATTAACAGCTTACCTCCACACCAAGATTGAGCAAGTGTTTCACTACACTGATCTGACCACTGGATGCAGCAGCATGAAGTGGAGTGTAACCTTTCTTATCTTTACATGTCACTTCAGCCCCATGACTGATTAGTAATGAAACAACTTCCAAGTGGCCTAAAAAAGACAAGGAAAATGTAGTATTTCTTGTCTATCTCAGCAGTGCAATTTAATATGGCCCTCATTGTTGGCATGCCACTCTAGGTTCATAACTCAATCTCAAACAAACGATGCTCATTCATTAGACAATTGTTAGTGTGTGTGTTTAAAACAACTGAAGGAAGTTGAGAACTCTAATTTTATACGATGCATATAAAATATAAAAAATCCTGGATGATTGTTGTTCCCGTACAGGATAATAAAATCGATGAAAACTGTGTATCTGAAGATGGAAGTTTAATTGTAGTACACACACGCACACTCATCTATAACCCTCCAAGTTATCTTCAGCCCTTTGAAAAAAAAAAGGGAAAGCAACCACAGACAGTTCCAAGAGTCCAGCTTTAGGAAATCCGATACTGAAGAGATCTTCACATAAATCATTTCCCTTTTTTAAAAAAGAAATTATTTTAATTCCACTGTATTCTACTTCAGGCTTACTTGCATTTTTAAGACAATTCAAAAGTTGCATTTTTTCAGTTAGAAAAAGGAACATGAATAGCTGTTTTTAAGGAACTATATTTTTCTTTATACTTCTTCTAACGTAATTACTCCAATTGTGAGTGTTTCACTTTCACAGGGAAGATCCTATAAAAAGACTTTTTAAAATATGAACGCTAATTAGTTCACCTTTTTCTGCTATTATTAATTAGAAAAACACACATTTGACTTACAAGTACAGGAGGAAACAAATTATTTTAATATTGCACATTCTGGAGAATATTTTTGAAGAATGGACCTACACTTATTTTTAAGAGTGTTTGCCTCTATAGATAAATCATCTTGCATTTCTGCAAACTGCAGTTCCTGAACCAGCATCACTGCATAATGACAACATCAAACTTATATCAGTAGTTTCTTCAAAAACTGCCCCAACCATTTTCAGCTGACTTGCCTACAAAGCTTTGCAAAGAAAAGTATCAATTAAGAGGAAAAGTCTTCTTTGTGCAGCAGAATATGGTTGTTAAATCTAAAAGATGAGCTCCATATACTAATGACCTTGATCTTTTTCCATATGTTTTACACATTTTTGCCTTTCAACTAACATAGAGAGAACTCTTTTGTAAGTCACCAAAAGGGAAGAGTCTTTCAGCAAAACACATGGATTCCTGATCAAGAGAGAGCTAATTGAAAGTAACATTTCTAAAGAATAGTTTCCTTAGTCTATTTTATAAGATGAAGTTCTATACATAATAAATTACATGCTCTCTCTCCGATATAAATTATAGATATGATTCAGTTCAAAGATAGGATCCCTTTTCTACTTGTAATTTCAACATACTGTAGTTTAAAAAAAAATCATGATTTTTTCAAAGTTAGTATCCTTGAGGGTTCTTCTTAAAAAATCCAATTGTTGATAACATATGTCGACTTCAGCTTGACCGAGGTATAATGTCTTGGGTCATTTTTCCTTTAATTCTTTTTTGCTTTCTTTGGATAAATTATATATCTGTATCATATTATGACTAAGCATTTTGATTGTCCTTTCTGCTTGAAGACTATGTGTCAGTCATCTCTTTTCATGAGCATCAGTTTGTAAAATTTAATACTGTTTGTCCTTACTGGTAAGATTGAGTCTACTTTCTGTGAAGGAAGATGCTGAGGTCTCTACAGAAAGTTTCACTGATACCTGCAATGGCTCTGATGCATATTTCATTTATTACTACATGAACTCTGAATCATACAAGAGTTGAATAACCACTTAGTTTGAAATATTTTAAAAATATTCAAATGAACAGTGAGCAAATATTATTTTTAATTTAAAGACATTTAACTTTTTCTCCTTAAAATATGACATAAACCTTTAAAGGGATTTAATTAACCCTAAGATACAAACAGAAATAAATTATCAAACATCAGCACTAGAAGAATATGTCAAACAACAGAAGAAATTCAAAGTACTACAAGAAATATGCTTATTAAATTAAGGAAAGAGCTTGAGTATTGTAATTATTATGACTGTAATTGCCAATCATCTTAGACATTTTGCTAACAAGAAGAAAAAAAAACTCTCTTACCCTTGTATGCTGCCCAATGTAAAGCTCTTCGGTCTCTTTTGTCGAAGGCATTAATATTTGCTCCTTTAGCCAAAAGTAAACTCACCATCTAAAACAAGCAAACAGCCCCCAAATGTACATCAGTTAACAGTTATAAGTTATGCAACAATTCAGTTAATGTTGATTTGTACTTCACAAATGTGTTTACTTTTATTTATTGATTGATTATTTATTCATTTTACCCAATCCATTGGATGCAAATTAGCAGAACACTTCTGAGTCCGGTGTTCAGCTCACATCACATAAAGGGAAATGATTTTGCCAGACCAGACAGATTTCAAAGTAAAAGAACAATGTTATTAAGGCACTCACTTCAACGTGGCCATTCAGAGCTGCATGGTGTAATGCTGTCCGACCTCCTCTGTCGGAGACATTGACACTACTCAGAAGTGGAATTATCACTTCAGCACACTTCACAGCTTTATTTGCAGCTGCAACATGTAGGGGTGTCTGCCAGTTCTTGTCTCTGGCATTGACGTCAGCTGAATGCTTAATCAATACTTGTACGGCTTCCTAGAAGATCGCACAATGAAATCACAAGGAAAGCATTTATTAGACACTATAGATTATATTTACAAATCTTATACTGAACAGTTGCCTATATAATATATATAGTAATATATATATATATATATATATTACTTCTCTCCTGTAAAGTAAAATGGACTCCATTACCTTTATGCATACTGTGTTGAATAGCTATAGAAATGTTCCTCTAGCTTGACTGAAATGTTTAAATCCAACAGTGCTCAATATGGAAGAAAATGCTACGGTCGACATCCTGCTTTGAGATAAATTCATATTACTGTACGATTTCCTGTAATCATACTTCTCCAATACTTCTCCAGCCTGGATTGCAAACTCCATCATTCCCAGACTAAATATTCAATCATGTTTATTCAAAATTAAATCCAACCTAGTGGAGACTACTTATCAGTAGGCTTAGATTTGGACTATTAAGTAACTGAAAACACTTTCAAATGTGTACTCTACACCCATTAAGTGAAATCACACTTTAAATGGTTTCTCTTTTGTTAGGCTGACAGCTCTGGAGGGCTTGTCAATTTTCCACTGGTAGGAATTCTTCTGTTTACCCTCCCTCCAAATTCCTTAGCTCAATCTAGCCTCTCCTTCCTCCCACAGAGAATCAGCTGTCATTGCTTCGGACTGATACGCTATTATTAACTTTTTAAAAAGTACCAAGGGACAAAGCCTTGGTGGCTTTGTAGCTCCCTCTACTTGGCCAGATAACTTTCCAATTTTTTGGAAGAAATTACCAATCAAATACATACCGTACAACATGCAAATAAAAAAGAAAAGGGGAGATGAGGCACTGACTGAACAGTCTTAGCTGCTTGATGATTGATCAGCTGAAGGGACACTGATTGACAATGTTTCTCAGCAGAAATCAGCCAAATAATGAAATGCTGGAAATCAGCCAAATATTAGGTGGAGTCGAGGAGGAAAATGCTGTTAATCAGGTAAAACAAAAAATGCTGTTAATCAGCCAAATAAAAGGGGGAGTTAAGGAGGATAATATGCTGAAAACTCAGCCAAAATATGCTATGCTGGAAATCAGCCAAATAATAGGTGGAGTAATGGAGGAGAATGAGGAGAATATATTGAAGAATAATTATTAATAAGGGGTGAAAAAGAAAATGTTGGGTGATAATTAAAATGAAATGGTAAATTTTGAGATTTCTGTTAAAAGTTTAAGAATATAACAGGATAGATTGGGTTTAGAAAACAAGAAAAATAGAAAGAAATTTTGATTAATAAATTGAAATAAAAATTGAGTTGTATATATTTTGAAATTAAGATTTGTGGTGATAAAATTGTTAGGTAAATATATAGATTAATAGAATAGATTGTTTTTGTGTTTAATGTTGATGCTAAAAGGAGCAAGGGATAAAAAATTTAGATAAAGCGGTTTTGAATTTCGATTTATAATTGAACTTATAATTGAATATAAAAAGGAGATTTGTTTTAGTAGGAGATTAGGATGTATGATGAGATAATAAAAAGATTAATTAAGATGTTGAAATTTATGTTAAAATTGTTTGTTTTTCATTTGTTAAATTAGTGTACCCATTTGTGACGGGACCAAGACTTCATTCTGGGAAAAAAAATTCTGTTTTATGTTTATGTTGGAAAAAATAAAAAAAAATTACAAAAAAAATAAAAGACAATGTTTCTCAGCAGTGTGAGTGGCAGAAGCAGTGAGGAAAGTTGTGGGTCACTTAAAATCCTTTTTAAGGGATTGGTGGGGGGGCATAAAAATGGCAAAATAAAAGTACATTTTTACTGGTTTAATCTAGATTATATAGTAGTTAGCTGTTTCAGTAGCCTTCTGAAGAATTCTGGCCTTGTGTGAATGAGTTGAGTCACTACAACTTTGCTTCTGCTGCCATTGCAAAGGATTAAATGAACCACAGCATATTCTTTTCAGCCTGAGATAACTTCGATTTTACCTGGGAAAATTATCTGTAATCAATGACTTTATTCACATGGACATTATTTGGCTATATAATTATGTGGGTTCCCCACTGACTAAGACTGCTACATGAAGACTTTTGACATGCAGACATCTGCCCACAATGCATGACTGACAATAGGTATAGTGGAAAACATGCAGCTTCCAGGACTTGTACCAACAGTGTGGCTCCACTGTTCTTTTAATTGGCCCTTCAGACTCATTATATGCTTAAAGCAGAATGATGATCAATCTACATATACATATATATGTGAGCTACAGAAATATAACTGAGCTGCAAAAACAATCAAAAAAAGTATGTGAATACTTTTAACTGTTCAACTATATTTGAGACAGATTACAAACCATCTAAACACATTCAATAGAAACCAACAGGTTTGGCAGGTAAAACAAGTCCAATACCTTCTATGTCAAGCTCATAGCTTTATCGCTTTTCTTTTGAAATAGATGTTAAATTATGCCATTAATATGAACCAAGGAGTGGCAATTTCTATCTACCTTCCTTTCTTTTCAAGGATTTGTAGTTTATTAGAAATCCCCTTCAATGGACTTTTACCAGAAGCCAACAGCTGGGAAACTCCAAAACTGTAGCAGCCAAAGAGTACTCAGATTTAGAAACAAATTCTAAGAATTCATCCCCTTAGGCTTGGCAAGGACCCAGATAGTTGCAAAAGCAATTCTACCAATCTTTGGAGAAAAGCCAAGCTGGCAACTTTTGAAAAAGAAGATGTTCTCAACAGCCAATTCATTAGCATGAATTGTGTAGACCCAACTTTGGAAAATGAAAACACCCTGCAAAATGGCAGCTTAGAATGGGAGCACATTATAAATGAAAATTTAGCTACTCCTGGTTATTTCTCTCACTTATTAAGTCTTCAGTGAGTAAAACAAAAGAGGGGATAGGATATTAAGTATAAAAAAATACCATACTGAGCTATTTAAAAAAATAACTCCAGACAGGATAAGATGGAATTGACTTGCAAAGAGTAGACCTAAGGAAACTTGTCAAACAGGTCTTGTTGGAGTGGGCATTATTTTCAATATTTTGATAAGAGATGATTGGAGGGGAGGAGAATGTGTACAATCAAACCTTCACGACACTACTTTCTGGCACACTGCTGTCTCTCTTTAATATAGTCCTGTTCTAAGCAGGTATCCTAATCACTTGGGAACATTCCATTAAAGGTAAAGTTATGCCATGTTTTACTGGCTCATCACATCACATAACTTTTCCTTTTACAGGAAAGTGCAGGAATGTTTTCTGCAAGGATGTTGGAAGGCAGTAAGTGACTATTCCTGAGTATTTTTTAAATGAAATTGCTTTTAGCAAAAGTGTTCTTTCTTCAAAGAGAGTCTGACTTTAGAAAACTGCTAGCTAAAGTGAAGAACATTATAAATGATTAATTCTATTTATAGTTAAAATCATTAGGGATTTTAAATGTATCAATCAGCATGTTAAAAATAAGTTTTGCTCTGAGCCCAAGGTTCACAAAGTGGTCAATTAACAAAGGCAGAGATGTCATTTCTTCTGCTTCTGAAACAGTGGAATGTGGACATTTTGCCACATTCCCTCTGTCCCTCTGGTGGCTTCCCTATTCAGTGGAATTAATGGCTCCTTGCATGGTAGACCACCTTCCTGAGGTCTTAAGTACAGAACTCAACAAGATGGTGATGGTAGTAGCTGGCTCATTCCCAGAGATCCTAGAAGCAACAGGAGTGGTGGAGAGATGGCAGGCAGTTGTAGTTGTTTCATCTGTGAAAGAAGAATGGGAAAAGAAGGAGGTGGAGAGGTCTTCTGCATGCTGTGGCAACAGCACTGTTGCTGAGCTTACTGGGACTTGAAAGAGGATGCTCACCAATGGGATTGTAATGGTTGCTTCAGGGGTTTGGAACCAGCAGAAGAGATTTCAGTACGCTGATTCTATTCCATTTTGAGACCAGCATGAGAGCAAACTAAACAGAAGCTAATTCCTAGAAACTCCAACACTTCATTTCCTGTATATTTCCTCAATCAATTTCAAAGCCTCCATCAGAGAGAGAGATAGTTACAGAAATAACTGTTTTTCCTGGATTGTTCCCTCAAGAGTATCTAAGCAATATCGCTGAAGTTTCAGCATTCTCTATAAATCCAGAATCTGATAACACTTTACTGGTTAACAAGTTTTATTTTTTAAAAAACAAACAAACTGTTGTGAACTGTAGCTCACTCCATCAGATGCCTTTTTGATCTGATAAAGTGAGTTATCATACATGGAAACTGAGGCCTTTTAATAAAACACGGTTGGAAAAGATTCTACCATTGATTAAAACAACTACAAAGCGTTCTCTATAGTCTCTCTTACTTTACCAAATGCATGCTTTGGATCCATTTCCCTTTTTTTTACAGACAACTTGTGCACTCCTAATACAACTCAGGAAATAAATCATAAGCAAGGGTGGCTCAAGGTACTTTGGTTCATGTTTTCTTTCCTAGCACCAAAATAGAGATTAATAAATTGTGGATCATTTCCTAATTTCAATTGAAGTAGTCCTGGCAATCTTATTTCAAGACTGGTAACAAGACAGTATTGGTCAGCAACCTGACAACATCAAGCCAGTTTGGAAAGTACATAGTTCTGCTTTAAGAAATAAATAGTTCAGGGTGCTTTTACGGAGAATATCTCTCTTTCTGCCACTGACTACAATGTAGGTAACCATACTGTCTAAAATAGGGCTGGGTTGAACTGATTAAGTTAATGTGCTTTGTAATCACATTGCCAAGCATTTCTCTTAGACCTGCTACTTTTTAAGTGGTATTTATTTGCAACTTATCCACCAGCCTTTGTCCCTTGTGTACAAAGAAAGTAAAGGAAGGATAATGGAAGTTCTCTTCTTTCCAGTTGTTTTTGCAAAGTGAAGGCTGGGATCCAGTACAATTACTGGATTCGTAATTATGAAAGAAAGAAAATATCAGTTTCTGTTTCTTGAAAACATCTATGCTCTTCAAGCCTCTGGAAACCTTAAAACTTTCAAATAGATTTCAATTAGTTTCCCTGTTAGCAACAATGGAACTTGGTGAATGTTTAGTACTGTTCAGGCCTGTCCAAAAGCAAAATTATGGATCAGCATGTGATATCAACTTTTAATTCTATTTTTCTTCTCAAGTAAGTGTTTGTGTTTCTTACATTTATGTTTTCTATTAGTGACTATGGAGTTATATTTCATGGTACAAAATCTATTAAGTAAACCAGATATGTGCATCTAAACCACACAAGCTTTGCTTGCTAGCCTTTTTTAGGTTAAACTCAGCATTTATTCATCTGTGTCATAGACAAAAATGATAACCACATCAAAGAATACAATGCAATCATTACCAGGGCCACAAAGAATTCTGGGAAAATGGAAAATGTTTTTATTTAGTCACTAAATGGTTAATATAAAGAGGCTTGTGCTGTAATTTTATTTATAAACCCTTTGGAAGTCTCAAGCTGACAGGAAGACAGAATGTTTATTGGGGCCTTATGGATACAAGTGAGCTGCATCTTCCTGGCACATGAATAAGTTGACAATACAGAACACAACAGACCTAATGGTGAATGTTACACTACATAACCTCCAATGCAGCATATACCCACTTCCTCCTTTCCTCCCCCCCACCCCCAAATATGCCTCCTCAAATATATTAAATATATTTAACACATTAAATATATACATAGTAGCCCATTATTCAAGACACCTAACTTGGAATTACATAGACAATTATATTGAGTCACTCCTTTATGGATATGTGTACAAGAGATGAAGTAACAGTAGTGCATGTTTTAAAGTTGAAACTTCTGAAGCACATATTGCTGAAGCATTGGCTGTATTACTCACTTCACTCCTTGAAGCAACAGCTCGGTGGAGAGGGGTCAGCCACATGTTGTCCTTGGCATTGACACGGGCTCCTGCAAATCAAATGGACATCTCTTAAATACCACCTCACACAACAGTGAGGTTTGGTAAACAGAACAGCATGCAATATGGAATGTGTTCCAGACCATACTGCCCGATTTTTGACATTTGTTTCAAGATGGCTGATAACGAAGGCAAAGTAACCTTGCCAACTCCCAAAATAATCCTGGAGAGTTGAGCAGGAAAGAGAAGCAAAAAGGACTGACTTTCTTGAATTAATACCTCCTACAGAGAAAACTAGCAGAAGGAAAGACCTAATGAGGCCAGGGATGGAAATATCCAAAGAATACTATTTTGAAAATGATCAAAGGCATCAAAAATGTAATCAGAGCTATTGATTGGTTGATTGATTGCCTTTATTATTTTTATAAATAATCATACCTAATACTCTTTCCTTCCCCTCTTATTTTCCCCACAAAACAACCCTGTGAGGTGGGTTGGGCTGAGTGACTGGCCCTAAGGCAGGACTAGAACTCACCGTCGCACTGTTTCTAACCTAATGCTTTAACCAGTTACTAAAAAATCATGAATGGCATCAGCAGTTTGCTTGGAACACTGTCAAAGACCAGGCAGTTCTATCATTTACATTGTTGAGACTGATGCTGCTCATACACATCCTATTCTGTGGCTATCCATACTTATACAAGAATTTAGTTCATGTGCCCTGGCCAACTGCCTTCCAAATCTATACCTGGAGCAAATGAGAAAGCGGAGAAGCAGGGGAAGGTCCAGAATTCATACCTCCACTGAGACAGCATTTTATTGCTATATTGGATTCATTGTCTAAAACCTAAAATAAGCTGGACATTCCTTCGTTCATTCATTCATTCAATTTTTATAACCGCCCATCTCAGCTAAGTGACTTTTCCCTACTCTATTAGTAGAATCCTCATTCTACTATTTTTTTAAACAAAAGACGGTCCTTATCAATATTACTTATTTTCTTCATTCCACCCCAAATCACTTCCATTCTGTGAATAGGCTGTTTTTCCAATGTTGTGTTTTCTATTTCTAGTGTCCTATTGTTGTTTAATAAGATTTAAACAGAAAATGGAAGAAATCTTTTTGTCATCAATAGGCCCAATACTCTACGTAGTTTGGATATAATATCTTTTTTTAAAAAAGAAAAAGAAGGGAATTCACATTTTTACTGATTGCTTGACTGCAATATTTGAAAATATAAGGGGTAAATTTTTCTGGGAAATGAAACACGTTTCTAAACAAACCACAGAAGTATAGTAGATGCCTTGTTAATCAGATCTGGTTTCCACATCCCCCGCCTTTGCAAATTTGCAAGGTGCTGTTTATCTAACGTGGAGAAGTTATCTGCACATCCAATTTCATTGATGTATTTTAAAAGCAACTATTCAGAATTTCTGATTAAGAATGGAACCTTTCCCACTGCTGCAAAAGAGCCATTCAAATTAATTACCTTTTATTTTAAAATCATGTCACCCTGATATTATACTGCCTTGCTGGCTCAAAGAACATGGCTCTGTTACATAAAATTCCTCTGGACCACTATTAGGCAACATATTTTAGGTTACAACTTCCATAAGTCTCAACCAGCAACTCTCAGAAATCTGCTTCTGCACCTCACACTCAGGGACAAGACAGTGTTGGTTGACAGAAGAGCATGAATCCATAAACCAAGTCCTCCTTCCTGATTATCTGGCTGATATTCTGTATTTGATAGCACGGTACTGAATTGGGGACTAGGGACCATGCTAATCAGAGCACTTGTAACTCTTTGGAATCTCAGGGTAGAACTGACACTATGCAGCTCACCCTTTAACAAATCTAACACAGTCCTAACCAATATTAAGCGTCCTGCAGATGTGCTCAGACATTCATTTTAGCAGCTTCAAAGAGCCAAGCTTCTCTTTGAAGTTTGCTGTGCTGCTGAACACCGCCTTTGGCCCAAAGCTAGCAAGAATCAAGCAACCTAATCTGCTCTGAATTGTGTAGCTAATAATCATATCATAACATGGTTCTTTATTAATTTTAAAGCTGTGCTGACGGGGTGATTTCAACAGGGGCACAGCCAACATGGAGGGGAGATTTATACCGCTATGAGACCGTGGCCCTTGATGGTATAAAAATTTAATCAGATACATAAATAAATTAACATTGGGGGTAGGGTGGGGGAAGTCTCCTTTGTGCCAAAACTAATTTTATGTAAGCAAGTGCTATTTTTGTCAGGGTGGCAGAAAGGGGAGAAGGGTAGACCTTCTCTCTTTGCAGCATGCTCCTGATAGATATCTGTCTCGCCCAAATGGTTTTCAATTTTAAAAATTAGAGAAATGGCTGCTAGCCTTAGAGAACAGGCAACTTTTTGTAGGGGCCTTTTGATGCTAAATAATTCAGGTATCGAACCGTAAATCCCTGATGTGAAAACATGGGTTCTGTGATTTGATTGTATATAAATCCAAGCAGGATTTCCAAAATCCTTTTATCCCCCGCCTCACAATCTCAGTCTGACAGCTTCAACCTACATAAACAGTCACGCTGGCTACAGTTTCACCGTGCTGTTTTGAGACATCTGGCTGCTGGTCTTCTGAATTAACTCTGAATAATTTCTGTTTAATGGTAACCCAGAGGCCCATTCCTGATATGTCTCAATGCAAAGGACATATGCTTTATTCATTACATGCTATGTTTATTTGTACTGCTGGTGCACCAGTTCATGTGCCACAAGACTAACTATGAACATATTTCACCAAATGTCTCTCCTGAGCCTTGAGGGAAATTCAATGGGCCAATTCTTTTTGCAGGGTCTAACCTCCCCAGCAAGACTGCTACAGGTTATAAATCCTTCTTGCGTTACTTTAAATATAAAAAATGAACAGAAAAGATTTGAGGAGTTTTGCTGTTTGCTGTTTATGCTGATCAGTATTCAACCAATCCATCCTTTATGAAGCATCATCCAAAATGTAGACCTATTTTTAATAAACGAAAATGCATTAGTTTGATAGAGAGAGGCACTACAGCAAAGAAATTTATGAGTCATAACCTTGTATTACTCAAAAGGGGTACAAACAGTGATGTCCTTGATAAATAATGGCACTTCAGAGTTTCGCAGGAAGAAAGCAACCAGAAAACACACACAAACACAAAAAGGCAGCATTGACCAAACCTCAAAAACATGATTGGGTTGTCCTGCCAGGTCAAAAAAGGAAGATGTATTTATTAATTGATATACATATTTATTAATCTGTTACTTTATTGATTTCATTTGTATGCCACCCATTTCCTTTGAGGATAACTTAAATTACTACTTTAGAAGGAAATGTTCTCTAAAATAGGTCTTTGAATATAGTATTTCAATGTTTGCACCAATGTCTTCACCAATACTGAAGCACAAAACAAAGCTTGACATCCAGAAAACATATTTCAAGCATCCCAATGGGTTCATATTCATTATCTCCACAATCCTTACACACTATCTTGGGAGGAAGGTCAATTTTATCAATTTGGTAAAGACGCATCAGGGAGGAAAGCTGAGGGTAAAAGAAAAAACTGGAATGTGGATTCTTCCACAGGTGGCCCTTGACTTATAACCATAAGAGCCATGGTGATAGAATGCTATATTGTGGGCTAATTCTGCTGACTGCCAGGGCTTCAATCCTCACTGGTTCAAGGTTGACATAGCCTTCCATCCTTCTAAGGTTGGTAAAATGAGGACCCAAATTGTTGGGGGCAATATGCTGACTGTGTAAACCAGTTAGAGAGGGCTGTAAAGCACTGTGAAGCGGTATATAAGTCTAAGTGCTATTGCTATTGCTATTTATTTAACAGTGATTTGAAGTTATGAAGGTATGGGAAAAAATGACTTATGTCGCACCCTTAAAGCTGTTACTTATAATCATGGTTTGTGACTTTCCCAGTGAGTTTCTGACAAGCAATGTCAATAGGGGAAGCAAGATTTGTTTAACAGCAGCATGATTCACTTAACAACTGTTATGATTTGCTTAATAATTGGATGATTCACTTAACAATCACAGTAAAATCAAGTCTAGTAATTTGGTTAACAATCACATCACTTAGCAATCAAAATTCCAATTCCAATTGTGGTTGTTAAGTCAAGGACTGACTGTAATAACTATGAAGCACTAAGTTAGAAGCAATTTCCTGCAGATATTATTCCTCCATACTCTAATTCTCCTTCTTTTCCAATTGGGATGTTTTCTGGGAGAAAAGAGGATGTGTAGGAGGGGAAATGTGCAAGGATGCTTTATGCTGAGTTCTAACTATCACTTCATCTAGCCCTGCCTTTTCTACTTTGGAGGTGGTAGCTCTACACATGGCACAGAAGCAGAAAATTGGTGGAACCACCTATCTTCAATTATTTTGCCTGAACTACAAGAACTGATAAAGTAGACATGCTCCAGGTCTCTTCTATTAAACACTGTGATCTGATGGGATCCAGGAAATGTGCTTTCTCTGTTATGGCATCTCTCCTATGGGACATAGTTACTCCCAAGATCTGGATGGCCTTACTCCTGTTTGCCTTCTTTAAGGCCTTAAAGACCTGGCTGCTCCACCAAGCCTTAAATTAAAGTGTTAAGTAAGCCTGGCTTCTATTATTTTTATGTTGGGAAGTTGTTGAGTTAGACCTCAATCAGTGGTGGATTGCTACCGGTTCGCCCCGAATCGGGAGAACTGGTAGTGGCGGCGCGGGAGGCTCCATCCACCCACCCGGATGCTTCTGCGCAGAAGCGTCGTGCATGCACACCCACGAGCGAGCCAGGAGCAACGGGTTTTGAAACCCACCCCTGACCTCAATGTCTTTGTACTTGGTTGATTATTATTATTATTATTTAAGTACTAATGTTTTTAACTGTTGTAAGCCTAGAGCCCTCTCTGCTGGCATGTGCACCATCACCCCAGGTCAGATCTCCTTGGCATTTCTTTCATGAGCTTCTGTTTCCCTGCAAACGATGAAACAGAAGCGCATGAAAGAAAAAGATCTTACCTCTTACCGCGCTGTCAG